TGCTGACATGGAAGGAGATACACGCGTGGAAAAGATGAATAAGGCAAGAACGGAACTTTTCGAAACCTGTGATACGTATGCTCTGAGGTGAAAAAGTAGAGCCGAATTCAACATTTAAATTTATTCCTGTGTCTAATTAATTAAACACGATGGTGCGAAGACGTATGATGGAATGGAGGTATAGCTACGCCTGTTTTAACCTCGTCATTATATGGAGATGAGTGGTCAGCTTCCCTCTCGGACAGTATTAACCCTGGGGAAACAGCCCCCGTTACCGTTGAATCGGAGATTGGCTGGGACTCAAGAGCCTGTCTGGACGTTATGATGAAGAGAGAAATTTTCTGCCCCTACTGAAAATCGAACCCAGATTCTTCGGTCGTCCAACCAGTAGCTTATTACAAGAGATATTGGGTTTTCGGACTTTATCCATCGTCCTCGTTTTAAGATAACTAAGAAAAACACGAAGTTTCGGAAACTGGGTCTGTTTCCGTCCTCAGGTCCCGTGATTGAGGCTAGCTCTTTCTAAGAGACCCAACAGAATAAGTGTTTTCCTTCACCTGAGGACGGAAACAGATCCGGTTTCCGAAACGTCGTGTGTTTTTCTTAGTTATCTTAAAACCAGGACGATGGATAAAGTCCGAAAACCCAATATATCTGTGTGTTATACACCATCGTCAGAAGCCTATAGTAACTACAGTAGCCTATTAGCTATACAGACTCAGGTCTTCGGTCCGAAATTTTAGCCAGGAACCTTCTGAAACACTGTAGAGACATTCGTTTTCATACAAATAATATGTTTCTGGACACTGTCCATCATCCTGCTTTTGTTTAAAACACCGTAAAAAAAAGTAAAGTTCTCACTGTGCTTAACTAATTAAGTACTATGTCATGAAGGAGTACGGGGGAGTGGATGCATAGATCCACATTTTCTTAAAACTCGGCACTAGCTGGAGGTGAGTGGTCAGCCTCACGTCCCGACCGCTTTACTCCCGGCGAAAGAGCCCCCCCCCGTATCCATTGGCTAGGAGGTTGGGTGGACACCAAAGCAGGTCTGGACGATTTGTAGAAGAGAAAATTGTTGACCATACCGGGACTCGAACTCCGACCCCTTGGTCGTCCAGCCGGTAGGTGGTCGCTATACCGACTACGTTAAACCGGCTTCGCTTTAAAACACCTTACTCTTTTTATTTAGAACACAGCGTTTCGGAGACTGGATTCTGTCTCCGTCTTCAGGTGAAAACCTACTCAGTTGGGTCCAATCGATAGAGTTAGGCCCTATCTCCCGGTCCATCGTCACAGACTTTCAGATCTGATTCGATCTGAGCTCAATATGGAATATATTATGCCTATTTGCACCAAAATTAAATTTTGCAGACATTTTTTGTTGTAAACTCGATAAAATGGCAAAGGTGAAGTTGTCCCTGTACTAAACCGAACACCACATCGTGAATACATGCACTGGAATGGAGAAATGGCTCCACGCATTCTTAACTTCAGCACCAGATGAAAACAAATGGCCAGCTTCACGTCCCGGCCGCTTTATCACAGGGAAAGCGCCTTTCCGTGACCATTTGATGGCGGGATGAGGGGACAGTAAGAATTTTCGGAACTGTCATATGCAGATGGACAGACAGACAGGGCAATTGTACGTTTCTTTCCTGCTTCTCGTGAAGAGAACATGTACAGGCAGGTCTGTTGTTGATTCCTTGCCCAGACGAGCATATTTATGTCTGAAAATCTAATTATGTCCTTACATTACCTGTCACAATGAATGTAAATGTAAATTTCAGATTGTTACTACAAGAAAAACTAGTACAGCTGCTTTTCTTATCTGTAAGTTAGGCATCCTGTTGTGAATATCTCTAATAAACATCATATCCGTCAAAACAACTTTGCTTTTCAAGTTGGTGTTTACTGAAACATTACCAAGCTACTTTTTTTCGGTCATCGATCATCATCAGGCGTTTCTCAATAAACATAATTACAAACTATACATGCAAGTATATATCCCGACGAAGTCACTGGACTTTTCAATTGACCTAATCCTTCCAGCCGCACTATGGCCCAGGGATCGATTCAGCCTGTAACAGAAATGCGTACCAGGAATCTTCTTGGGGGTAAAGGGCGGTCGGCGCGTAAGGCTGACAACCTTACCGCTATCTGTGAGCCGATTGTCTAGAAAATGTGGGAGCCTCGACGTCTCACAGCTCTATTGGCCTCCATGGCCCGTTACAGGATAGTTTTTTTACATATAAAAATACTCAGTGTTTTATATATATGAAATATTTATCGTCAATTTGTAAAATAATATTATAATTAGTATAGCTGCATTTGTAAGACGCCATCAGCTTATAGGATTATCTTCTAGGAACTGTCAGAGTGGGATGTTTGCCATGAATGACCTTAATTATGCATTGTTTACGTACAGATCAAGTCAATCGGCCGCTTATCGCGTGACGTAAGTCTATGTAACATACGTAGGTAAGTCAATAAGTAAGTTACAAATGGATATAGAACTGATTTGAAAAATGCTTTTATTTCACAACATAATCTCCCTGTACATTGAGGCACTTGTCCCATTGTCTCACAAGCCCCTGAAAACCAGTAGCATAAAATTCTTTGGGCTGCTGTCGGAACCAGGCGGTGACTTCCCTTTCTACAGCTTCATCGCCGGGAAAATGTTCAGCCGAAAGACGGTGTTTGAGAAGGCCGAACAAATGCAACTCGCATGACAGGTTAGGTTCTCACGAAGTCTGTGCACGATGGGTGCCGCGCATGCAGACCCCACAACACAAAATGCAGAGAATGGGTCTGGCATTACAGCATCTCAATTGCTACCACGATGGACACGATATGCTAGCCCGAATTGTCACAGGTGATGAGTCTTGCTCCAAGCGACTTCCATTTGTTCGGCCCTCTTAAACATCTTTCGGCTGAACATTTTCCCGACGATGAAGCTGTATAAAGGGAAGTCACCGCCTGGTTCCGGCGGCAGCCCGAAGAATTTTATGCTGCTGGTTTTCACGGGCTTGTGAAACGATGGGACAAGTGCCTAACTTACTTACTGATTTACCCTCAGATCACTGTAGGTCAGGGTGCAAGGGCCAAGAAAGCCCACCCCTTATACATTCATTCATACCCTCGTATTTATGCGCGTTTCAAACCTTGCATAGCACTTTTTGAAGACTGACTAAAAGTCAAAGTCATGTTACGACCGACGGTCAGTAGGCCAGTCTGTCTTGGTGTTAAGTCCCATCTGGGGCCGAAGATCAGATTTCTGTTACTTCCAGATAGTTGCGGGTTTGTTGACGTGGGGCGCAATCTCTAATGAGAGGACGGGTCTGCTGTTTACAATTGCTTTTGGCCCTGACCTGCGCAGTCATTTTCTGGTCCGAATCTCACGGGACTCATGGCCATATTTTATTTACTGTCTCAATTTCGAGACTCCCGGAACCTGGAGAGCCAGATCGGGTGGCCCAGTCATACTCCCAGGAACTGCGTTTCCATTTCGCTTCCTCCTACGACTCGCAAGGCTACGGTGGAGGTATTTGAACCCGCCCCCACATGGACTAAGAGCGATTGAATTTCTTGTAATATATAAGAATTCAGTTCGTACCTCAGAGGAAATATTATGTCTCCGCTACAAAGACGAATGCTGTTACGGAAATAATCACTGTGGGCAGATTGCAGAGTATTAGCATCTTAAGAAAACAGGTGGTACATACAGTAACCACTGGGCTTTAAGGGGTTAAAATCGCTCCACTCATCCACCTGTTAGTCTTTTCGAATGAATCTTGAAATTGGATACTAGGAAGGTACAAGGTAAGTTAAAAATGTGTCGACATTATTCAACTTGGTTCAAATGGGAGTCCAATAATCAACACTTTATACGAAGTCCTGCAAGTTTTGCGTGTTTCTCGAGCTCAATTCATGAAATTCTTGAAAAAAAAACATTTCGCACAAAAAAGTTGTAGAGAAAAATGAAATACATTACTTTTGTCGTTTATTACCCGGACGCCTTACGGCTTCTGAGATAATTAAAGCCCTGTTACGATATTCGAACATTTATTGTATACCAAGAATCAAGAACGGCCTTCTGAACACGTGTAAGATAGCCGAACAATCAATAATACGTAGTTTCCTAAAACACGAGAAGACTACTGAAATCTCTTATAGTTGGTAATTAAATTAACTTTGCTCCCGCTGAATTTATAATTTTACATGTAGACTTACATAAATATATCTAACAAAAATATAATAACATACATTTTTGAGATTATCTGAATAAATACTTCACATATAAGAGCTTCTCCCTGACATGGACATTACCTTGCCATTTGTATTTCCTTCTGCCGAATGCGACTGTTAAGTGTACACTGAATACATTTAAAACGTTACTATCACTGTTCGAAGTTTGGTGCACAGTACTTTTTTTTCCAATTTTCATAAAAAATGGCATAAGCATCTTCAAGAATTCGAATATTAAGGTGAAATATTAGTAGTCGTGAAAAAACAAGTGTTGTGCAGAGGAATTTATTGACTTCGCTCAGAGTACATTCAACGCCTAAGTAAGGTAAAACTCTGAATTAAAATGCAAAAGATTCTGTTAAATGATTACTTTAATTTATACTGATATATTTATAAATCTGCAAGGAAAAATGAAAACAAAAAAAATCATCCCTGGTGGGGATCGAACCCACGACCTTTGGATTAGAAGTCCAACGCGCTATCCTCTGCGCCACAGGGACTGACGGATTTCGTTCTTCAACAATTTACTATTTTAAAGAACGATACCTGAAATATTGTTTTCATTATTTATATTGTCGTGATTTATTTGTGATATTGTTATTCACAATTAATTTATATAAACTGAATTAATCCATTTATAGAACTTCTGTTCAGATAATGAATTATAGTCCAATTGCAGAAAGTTTTACGATCGTATGTAGCTCATCCATGCATACAAATTCCGTCAATTGTTTTGTAGATGGCAGCACGGTCAGTACGTAAACTGTTGTTCAAATGAAGTTCAAATTTTGGGTTAACAATGAAAAATAATAAATTTTTGTTTGTGACAGCACTACTGTAATCAAATAAACATGGATCACAACGCTTCCTCGGCACAAAAAGTTAATCGTAATGGGCTTTCAGCAGCAGAATTTCAAAGAAGACTTTATAACTGGTAATATTTTTGTTTGTTGACATTTCTTTTAAAAGACCAAACGATGCCAATAATTTAGCATTTCTTTGATAGATGCATGAATGGGTTAGTACGAGCAAGGAAATACAAGGAAATGTCTTGTACAATTTTAAGTACGTAGATTCAATCCAGTTGTAACTAAAACGTGCTATTACAATATGTGCTATGATTTGTCTTTGTACAAAAATTAAAAGCCAATTATTTTCTGTAGTAGACTTTTTAAAATACGTTTACATCATAAGCACTAAAGGGTTAAATTACAGAATGTGGAGGTGCTCAAGAGATACCGGCCAATGTCCACTCCTCTTTTGTGATCTTAGGTTTTAAATTTTTCTTAAATAATGCAAAACTAAGGTTAGGTTTTAGTTATGTTTTTAAAGGTAAATTTTAATGTTGGTAGTGAGGGGACACTTATTCCACTACTGTCTCCACAAACTATAAGTTATATATTAATGTTAGCAGTAATCAGTTTATATGTGATATATGTCTGTCAGTTATTAATGTAAGCATCTTTAATGATTATGCATATATGAAAATTAACATTTAATGGCAATATAATGTAATATTATGAGAAAACAAGACACTGACATTTAGAACATATATTGAATTTCATGCAAGTAATTTTGTGATTCTGCTGATTATGTTTAGTGATACAGATCATGTACAAGCATGAGATATTTTAAAACGTAATTAACTGTTTCACAGTTCATATTAAGTCACAGCATATTCATATCGTCACCTGAGTATTGGAGTGTCCATCAGCACCAGATTCAGGAAACTGTGTTTGAAGGTAGAGAAACAGTTGCAGTTGAAATGTGTTTACAAGAAAACACATTCTGAAATCTTACACTGGAAGCAAATCAAACCTGTAGATATATGTGAGGAGAGTGCAACACAATATGGAAAGTCAGAAAAGTGAATTACCTCATTTTTGTCTCAAAATGGAGATAGAGTACTCCAACCTTTATGTGACGATATGTCTGCTGTTTCTGATTATAAGTCCACAGAAACCTAGAGTACTCATTTTCACTGGAGAATATGAATGGACAATGCAATATAGAATGTTACATTACACTATAATACAATACTATATAAAATGTAATGTAGTACAGGGCGTGGTTGTATTCATATAATAATTCTCAAGGAAAGAATGACATGTTAAATGCCTGTAAGAAGCTCCCTAGTACAAAGATTACCCTGACCAGTTAGTAAGGTAAAGAACCATTGGGAGAAATCTAAAGGTTTGTAATGAAGGTGGACATCTTCCATCATCTCATATTGTTTAAAGAAACATGATGTTTGAGAAGCTGGTCCTGCTTTGGTGTCAGATAAAGAGTCTGCGCTGACCCAGGGATACAGATTAGCTTCATCTAATGGGCCCAGACAGAATAGGTGTCATACTTTTACCTGATGATGGATACGGAGTGAGCTTCTGAACTTTATGTTTCTTTAACCAAAACTAGGCAATGTAAAAAATGTGTAATGTGCGAGTGAGTTAAATTACTTTTGTTATAGGGTCTGACATGACCGCTTCTGTGGTCAGAGTTTCTGGCTACAGATCCGGAGTTCCAGGTTCGATTCCCGGCGCTACTAGTTTTTCTGAGAAGTAGTGGGTCTTGAATGGGGTCCACTCAGCCTCATGAGGATAATTCAGGAGCTATTTCAAGGAAATAGAGGCTCCGTTCTAGAAAACCGAAATTAATGGCTGTGGGGGATTTGTTGCGCTGACCACGTGACACCCTCTATCTGCTAAAGTTAGCACTAAATTTACTGACAAGCAGTGGTCGCTTGGTCGTATAGTTTGCTTGCAGACTAAAACCACGGAGTTTTTTATAGGATCTGACAGTTCATTATAACCTTGAAGTAGTCTTTTACTGGATAATGATGCAAATTTTGTTTTAGGTTTGAAAATCAAGGCCTCCTAGATGAATTGCGGACACATCTCCGGCAACAGATGACTACAGCACTGAGAGTAACATCTCTGCGCCCTAGTCCTTCGAGACACTTAAAATCGAGGCTGTCACCAAAGATTCAAGCCATCAACATGTTGGTAGCAGAATTCTTATTACAGCAGAATCATCATTATACGTTATCCGTTTTCACAAGTGAAGTACCGCTACTGCGGAGTATGCCAGAATTTAAAAAATCTAGAATCCAGATTTCTGCTGGAACTGACACAGTTGGTGAAAGCATCCCTCATTTCCATCACCAGGATGTTAAAGACATCATGGAGATTTTGGGGTTGCCTTTGGATACGGAATTGGGCAACGGAATCTACCATCAATATCGGGATAATTCAGAAAATGTAGCATTACTTACATGTATTCTGCAGAATACTTTACGGGCCCTGAACAGCAAGTCTCATACTGGAGGAAACACTTTCCCAGATCTCAATGGGACAGGCCCCATTAAAGGCAACGAAAATAATGTAAAATCTAAAGATGAGGATTCAAACAAAGAAAGCAGTTCCACAAAACGGTTGGCAGATCTGTACAATGCAGAAATGCAAGAAGTGTTATATCAGTCACGACTGAAATCACAACACATAAAACAGTTGCAGGAGGAAATACGAAGGTATGCCCTTTATTTTAAATGGATTTTTAAAATTTCATTCTTTTAATAGTTGGAGCCAGGATAGCTCAATTGGTATAGTGATAGGCTATAGGCTGGATGGGCAGGGTTCGATTCACGGCAGGGGCAAGAGATTTTTTCTACTCCATGGCATCCAGAGTATCTCTGGGGCCTACCCAGCCTCCTATCCAATGGGTACCAGGGTCTCTATCCCCAGGGGTAAAGTGGTAGGGGCATGAAGCTGACCACTCACCTCTAGCTAGTGCTGAGGTCAAGAAAATGTGGATCTATATATCCACTCCCCATACACCTTCATGGCATAATGCTTAATTGGTTAAGCACAGGGACAATTTAATCTTTTCTCTTACCCTTTATGTCAGGTGAACTAAGAGGATGCAGGAATGGCCTGTTTCAAAACAATATCATGCCAACTACCATGGTTAAAAAAATGTTTAGGTGCTGACGAATGAAATATATTCAGATTAGGAAGCTTGTTGCACATATGTAATTAAAACAATGGTTACCTACCAAAACTGATTATTACTTGTATTTAAGGCGCGTGTGTAAGCACAAAATGTGTGACAGGAAATGTACATACTGTGATCCTTCACTATACTGAGGACACCTGAAGTCCCATGAATTATGGGACTGACCATGGCTGAGGCTTCTCCTTTGTGTCCATTGTTATATTCCCCTTCAGGTCCATTTGGCCTGTGACGGTCAACATAAAGCAATTGTTTTAGCAAAGGTTTTTTCTTTTAAGCTAGTGGGGTGGGACTAAGTCCCTTGTACTGCGGCCACTTCTGGCCTATTGTACCAGCCCAAGATGATAGTTAAGGATGATTGTGGAGCAATTGGTGGAATGGAGATTGGCAGAGGAAATCGAAGTACTTGGAGAAAACCTGCCCCAGTGCCACTTTGTCCACCACAAATCCCACTTGACCAGACCTGGGATCGAACCCGGGCCACTGCAGTGGGAAGCCAGCTACTAACCGCTTGAGTTATGGCGCGGCCCTTTTAGCAAAGGTTACCACTGCCAATGTTCATAGAGGGGCTAGACGATTGGAGAGGGAGCATAGCAGTTCAAGGCAGATGTGGATGTAATCAATACTCAAGATTTTCTTCTGTGGCCTCATTGTAGTCTCCAATTCATTTGTTTTCTTATAAATAGGAATTTTTCCAAAAAATAAAAGCATTGTCATCATATGAGAGTAGTCATTTTTGCTTCAGATTTCAGGATTGTGAGGTGGAAAGGATACGGAAAGAAGAGGAGGCGAAATACAAGAAAGAGTTAGTGGGAAGGGAGTCTCAGATTCAAGCAGATGCATGCCGCCGTGAAGAGGAGATTACGCGGAAGCTTAAGGATGCTGAGGATAGATTGGCGAGACAGAGACAAGATCTTGATGATGATTTACAAGTTAAAGAAAAACAGTTATCAGAACTGGCAACACAGCTGCAGGACCAGCGTTCAGAGGTTGCTCTTAAGCTACAGCAAGTGGAGGTGGGTCACCGTTAAAAAAGCAAGGATTGTTGGATGAAAATATAACAAGCAAGATGGCCCAAGTGGTAACTCTTTTGATTTGTACTCAGGCGGTATCTGGTTCCAATCTTGGCGTGAATGCCGACTATCCTGCCTGAAGTTTCTTGTGTTTTTCTTCGGTCCTTCATGCAAAATTCCAATACAGTGCTTTATTTATTTTTTTCTGAATCATTCCATATTCTTAACTTGCAAGGATTGTACTTATTTTATAATCAAACTGTTTAGGAACGTGCAGAAGAATTGAAGTGTCGAGAGAGCACAATAGAAGAAATGAAAAAGAAAGAAGCTGCCCTTTTGGCACAGAAGAACGAGTTGGATATACGAGAGCAGAAGCTGCATCGAGAATTTGAACGGTAGTTAATTGTAATAAAATTTTTGTTGGTCAGTTTTCAAAAAGTGAGGCAGGGGGAAACAAAATGTCCCTAAGATGTTAATTTATGTGATAAAATCTTCATGGGCAACCAGCCACATCAATCTGGAGCAGAAATCCAATGTTTTGGACACCTGTTACGTCTCCATCATCACAGAATGATAATTCCATAGCAGTAAAGACAGAAAAGGTCTCTGGAAGGTTTGATTTCTGATCCAAATTGTAGTGACTGGTTGCCCAAAGATTGTATCATGAAAGCTTGAAGTCTTATTTGCTGGATTATGCTTATTACCGTAATCATTGATATCAAGTTCTATCTAACATACACTTAACAGTTTCCTTAATACTGTAACATATCAATAGTTGAGTTGATTGCAGATATACTTAGTGGTTCATGGGGTTCTGATAGCAACACTATGAAGGTTACCATCTTCTGAGATGTGGTGCTGTATAGCCCGGTAGATCATTATCTATGTTTTGCAGAAACATGCTGCCTCCATCTTCAGTGTAAAAGGGCAAGGTGAGCATGGAAAGTGGTATGGATAGTATGGATAGGGAGTGAGTTGTTATTTTTATTTTTTATTTTCTCATATCCGGGATAGCGCAGTCAGTATATCGACTGCCTATGGGCTGGACGACCGAGGGTTTGGAGTTTGAGTCCCGGTAGGGTAAGAATTTTCTCTTCTCCATATTGTCTAGACTGGGTCTGGGGCCCACCCAGTCTCCTATTCAGTGGGTACCAGGGATTCTTTCCTTGGGGGAGAAGCAGCCAGGGCATGAAGATGACCACTCACCTCCAACTAGTGCCAAGGCCAAGAAAATGTGGATATATACATCTGCTCCTCCATAGGCCTTCATGGTGTAGTGCCTAATTAGTTAAGCACAGGGACAACTTAATTTCTCACACAGGTGAGAAATTTTTGTTATTGTGATCAGGAAAACTGAGCATCTGGTGAAATGAGAATTGTTAGAGGAGAATGAAACACTTTGAGAAAACCTGCCCCTATGCCAGTTTGTCCATCACAAATCCTGCTAAACTAACCTGGGATTGAACCTTGGCCACCATGGTGAGAAGTCAGTAACTGTCTGTCTGAATTATGGCTTCGTCTTATTTCTGTTGGTTTGCTTAAGGCCCCAGTACCACTTCTCATTCTTCTTATATCTGTATTTTTTTCCACACTTGGCTTACTCGAGGCAGCAGGAACCTCTGGAACATAGGAAACAATTTTTTTAGACATGGCATCATATTCCAGAAGAAAGTAATATTCATTGTCATCACCATGAGAACATTAAATTCCACACAGGATTTATTGTCTTAAATACTAGACATCAGACATTAATTCTGTTTATTGTAGGTTAAATTCTGAACGTGAAACGTTGAGTTACATGCAACGCACAGTTGAGGAGAATCGCTTGCAGCTGATAGAAGCGTCACAGTCACTAGTTCACTCCCAGTCGCAGACATCCTTTCTGCATGACCTCCAGCAACAGTGTGCACACCTGCGTTTTGAATTGGATGCTACTCGACTCAAGCTGGACAACTTGACAGAACAACAGTCTCAGAAGGCATCACACCAAGAGATTTCTCTCCATCACAGACGTTCAGTGAAAATGATGGATAAAGGTGTCCAGACAGTATTGCGTCTGCTTGCAGATGATGTGGCAACAGCAGGACGAGAAAGAGTTCAGGATCAGAACAGGGCATTGGTGAGAAGGAACACTGACTTGACAGTCCCCAAGCTGTCGCTTTTCTTATTGAGCTATATGGCTCACTGTAGATATACTAACAATGAAATTCTAGTGACGAACTGTTAAAAACACACTTCAAAATACCTCACCAAAATAACTTGAAAAGTTCTTAAAAAAAGAGCCATATTTTTACCAAGAAACTGAATGTAATGGAATAACAGTATGTACTAAATGCTGCTCTTTATAGAGACATAATGTTTTAATGAGGTTTGCCTGCAGAAATAGACTTTATCTAAAACATCTTACGTCTATTTTTCTTCACTTGGTGACAGGACATTATAATCTTCATTGTTCAGTTTGCCACAGAACAAAACAGAGATACATTTCTTTCAGCCACAGCTTGACTAACACTAACAGGTAGTGGCCGATTGATGTGGCCCTCAGATTCAAAATAACCACTTACAGACCCTTCATAAATAATTTCACTAATACGTTTTATTTTGTTATTACTATCAGATTCCATTCCCCCCTCCCCCACAACATACATTTTGTATATGCAGATACACATTATTTTGAATGATCTTGCCAAACAGGTTGGTCTACAAATAATGCTCTAGACTTGTGTTTGCGAGGTATTTGTTTCGAATCTCTGCAAGGAAATTGGCTGTCCTGACTTAAGGAGCCCATACATGTACGAGTCTGGCTTGCGAGTCCAACTTGGCTTGGGTTCCAATAAGCTAAACTTGTCTGTGTGTTGGTCGCAAAGTTGGGAGTCAGCTCATGCATTTATGGTGAAATTAATCCGAGCCTGGCTCCCGAGTCAAGCTCGCTGAACTGGACTCGCAAGCCAGACTTGTACGTGTATTGGCCCCTTTAGGTTCTCGAGGGGTTTCCTCAGTCCCTCCAGGCAAATGCTGGAATAGTACTTCTTAGACTTCAGTTACTCCTTTCCAAGTTCTTTTCAAAGTCACTATTCATGTGTCATCCTGTCATCCAATGCCATATAGTCTCAATGTCTCGATACTGAAGAAGCGCCGTTTAGTGATGTGCAAAAGGAAATAAATTATTTTAACTTTAATAAATGGACAGAATTTCTGAAATAATTCTCATCTTAAGCTGCAGTTTCCACACATAACCCCTCCATCAACTCACTCTTACATACATTTAAACCTGATTTCACTGACTGTGTGATACCAACAGTGGGAATTTGTTCATGGTAGATAACAAGATGGCAATTCCAGTTGATGTATAGGTACCCCTCACTGCCACCTACTGGTATAATTTGTAACAACTAATAATGATTTGTACATAACGACAGAATGGCAAGCCTTAGGCTTTTGTGTATATAAATTAATATGTGTTTATGCACATGAACCAGTTTGATTTTTTTCCCTTCTTTTTCAGTTAATTGCAGATTCATTCTAGATCCTTTTATAATTTAATTTAGCTGTTGTTTTATGATTTCAATACTAGTTCACAACTAGTATAACGTTGGTCTAATATGTGTCTTCTAGGAGGCTAACACCTTTTAATTCAAGTACTGCTGGTTTCTGATACAGAGAAGGTGTAGCTTTATAACTTTTACAGTGTGAAACGGTTGCTTGTAACATTATGAAACAACTGGATACAACTGGTTCATAAAAGTTATATAATTTTATAAGTTTTGAGATTTTCGTGGCAGTGACTTCGGATTCTGGCATTCTGGATTGTAATGCCACGTTAGTCTTTGTAGGCAGGCACAGATGTTCTGGAGGAACATGCTGCCTCCATCTTCAATGTTGAAGTGTCCTATTTGTTTGCTATGGACAAATGTACAGGAAAATTATGAACTAAAAATATTCAGATTAATTCATATAAGATTATCGGCGAGGTTCGTGTTAACTTCAGTGTGTGTTGTGTTCTAATTTAGGAACTGGAAGTCACACCGTCTGAGCAGCAGCAGATGGATATGTTACCCTGGGTGCAGCAGGAAAATCAGGAACTGCGAAGACACACACAACAACAATGCCTCCGTATTGACGAGCTTACCAGCCATGCAGCTGAGCTGGCAAATGAGCTAGAAGATGCTCGTACAGCCATAACTCACCTTTCAAAGCACCTATCTGCTGAAACTGGTCCTTTACACTCCCAGATACCAATGCTCATACCTCCAGGTTCCAGCACTGTCACTGTTCCACCTTTCATAACCCCCCTTCCTCCACCACCACCTCCACTGCCACCTCACAGTTCTCATGATATCTTGCGGACAGTACGGTCCCATCAGGTTGATGCAGGAGAGGAACTCACTTATGTCCAACCTCCGCCAACATCACAACCAGTTACTCAATTTTCTCCATCTTCCTCACAACATTCTAGCCTCCACCATCACAGAGTGGGGCATAAGAAGCATCCACGACGTCTCATGGCACACAATAACACAACCAGCTCAGATGAAACCAGTCCTACTGAAGAAATTCTTCAAGAAGCTAGGCGTAGACTTCATAGGCTTGAAGAGGAAAGTAAAGCAGTTGATCGTAGCTACCGGGCTTTCCAACTGAGACACTATGAAAGCTCCCATCCTATTTTGCAGTCTACTCATGTCCAACAACAGAACAGTAACTTAGGTTACAGAAGTTTCATGCCAAGGCGATCCACACATTCATCTGCAACAGGAGGTGGTCAGAACATCAGGAACCCATTTATTTTCAGAAAAACCAGTTATGATGATACACCCATATTTACTCAGCGTGTTCGAACATTATTTAACCCTATCTTTCCTCGTAACATTTTAGCATTTAGCTCTCCGCTATTCCGAAAGGAAAGAATTCCACCATTTCAGTATACAAGTAGAACTCAGAATCAGCAACTTCAAACCCCTGGATCTGTTGATAATACTGCTACCATTATTTCAGACAGATTGACACAGAAGTCTGAACCATGTGGCACAGGTAGTGAAATTACTGCGTCTAGTAGATATGTACTTAGTACTCCAATGCCTCAAACAGATTTCAGACGCACACTACAGTCTCAACCGTCAATTAGCAGTGATGTTCAGGGTAGAAGAGTACATGAGCAAAAGGTTAAGACAGATTTTACAAACAGCAACATAGACAGGAGAGGCAGTTTATCACATACTAAATTACTGGATACCTGCATTTCTGCATCTCTTGTGCCACAGCTTCACAACCCACTTCAAGCAAAAAATGTATCATTTGGTAATTCTCTAAAGACCATCACTACCTATAACAATCCCAAAGTTTCTTCTGTGACAGAGAATGCAGCAAATCCAAACTGTTCTCAGAGAGAGTTAAATGACATAGCAGCAAGGGCTGTTTACTGTACGTCAATTGATAATACTGAAATACTTCAGAAAATGGGTCCAGTAACTAAGCCTGTATCTATTGCACAAGGCTTCTCCAGAAGTGACAGTTTGGGCAGAGAGTCTCTCTTTAAAGAAACTGATAAAGTACCTTCATATGTAGCAGATTCTTCAACAAGCAGTGGACAAGATGATGACAGTTTCCCTTTACGGTATCAGAAAAATAGTTTTGTTAGAGACAGCCATGATCATAATGGAAAAAGCAATGAAACAAGTATAGTACCTGAAGACAACATTTTGAAAGCACGACGTAAATCATTCTTGTATGTTTCGCCATCCTTGGGATCTGAATTGATACTAAAGGAGACCAGATCTTCTGGTAAAACTTCTTTGAAAGAAAGTATGGAAAATACTGAGGTACAATTAGAGAAGCTGCTACCTGTAAGTGATGCATCCAGATCACACATTTCTGTCCTGGGTGCCTCATCTAGTCATGAGACAGGTTCATATGTATCGAGTAGAACCACTTTAAGTTCCGGAAGTTTAACCAGAGAAACTGAGTCACAGCCAGTGCTGTCTGCATCTATTGTTTCCAGTACTACCCTTCCTAGTGACAACAAAGATCGTAGCTTCGAACATGACTCAAACATTGAGACCTCTGTTCCACATAACTTGGGCGATGAAAAGATCTCAAATAAACAAATGTTAAATTCTAATGCTGGTACTGTCCCAATACAGGAGGGAGATGAGCCATCAGAAATGTCAGAGACAGGTACCCAAATGACTGTACAAAATAAAGAAATTGACACTGTTAAGAACATTGATACGATCACATCATGTAGTCAGGATGTTAGAGAAAATGAAGACAAAGATCATGAAATTGGTAAAGATGTTATGCATTTGGCTGAGCATATTTTAGCTGCAGAAAGCAATGATGGAGGTAATTCTGCATTAATTGTACCAGGTAGAATGGATGAAAGCAAAATAAATGATCAGGGGAAAGCACAAGTTGTGGCTGAAGAAAACCAGACAGTAATTGAAGATGAACTGTCCAGGTCTGTTCCAGAAGGCAGTCAATTACCATGTGATTTTGCAAATCCACCTGAAGAATTAGTTAAGGACCAGAAATTAACCTCTTCTCCTAAGACAGAGTCTATTACAGAGTTCAGTGATCAGGCAATATCAGTTGGAGAACAGAGTAAAAGAGATGACTCAAGTAAAGATGATTTTTGGTGACATGAAATGAATTATTGCATTTTTTGTGTATATATGATCTGAATGTAATATGTGGTTGAAAAATAAGGAATACTTTTTTTATTTGTTTCATTCTGGTCCATCACACTAACAATTACAAAGACAAAACAACTCTGTCCAGTGTGACTATTTAAGTTTCAACACTTGAAAACTTAGCACATGTTTTGATCCTTATGGATCACCTATTGTGATAATAGTTTCCAAATAAGTATCGATGTTCCCTCTGAAGATGATCTGTAAGGATCAAAACATGTAAGGGTGCTAAGATTTCAAGTGGTGAAACTTAAATAGTCACACTGGATGGAGCTGTTTTGTCTTTATAAGGAATATTACTGACTACCATTTGCATAAAAGTTTTTTTTCCCAATAAATTCATAACTTATTTTCTACGTTATTATGTTTTTATATGAAACTTGATTTTTTCATTTAATGCACTATATTCCCAATTACCTATGCTAATGAAGGGCAAAAGACATGGATAATTAACCTAACATAAGGTGAGTTTATATATTTCATCTGTGAAATTATGAATGGGATAGGCATAGCATTGTTCCCATGGCAACTCTTCCCAGTGGAGTAGGAGGACAGGGAAAGATGTTTTCTAAAATGCATTTGGGTATTCATGTAGTGTCCCATTACTTTTTGTTGAATTTTAAACAAAACTGAATTTTGCGAACAGATTTTAGTACAACTCCCCAGTATACTATGAATTATTTCATGGGTCAGACAGTTTGTGAACTATGAAACAGTAACATCTAGACTGTTTTCAGTTATCTCCTACACATTTACTGTGAGATGAGTTAGAACAAGAAGTTCTGGGAAGAACTGATCACCTAATTTTCTTTGAGATGACATGGACTGGATAGAAAAAAAAATGTGGGGGGGGGGGGACAATCAGATATAGCAAGGTGATATCACAAACCTCCTAAAAATGATTGGGGATACACGGATGAAGAGTAAGGTGATATCATAACCCTAAAAAATTAGGTGGGATACATAGACAGATGGGCATACACACACAGATAACTAACCGACAGCAAGGCAATATAATTTTTCCAGACATGTGGTAGTGTAGTTGGTTGAGGCATATGCTATAAGCCGGAAGGTCGCAGGCTTGATTTCTGGGAGGTCATTGGATTTTTCAGTTGACTTAATCCTTCCAGCCACAATACAGCCCTGGGATCAATTCAACCTCTAACAGAAATGAGTACCAGGAATCTTCCTATGGGTAAAGTGTGGCCAGCTGGTGCGTGATGCTAACAACCTCACAGCCATCTGTGAGCCAACTTTCTACAAAATGTGGCAGCCTCAATGCCTCACAATCCTATGGGCCTCCACGGCCTGTCAGAGGGATAGCTCTTTCTTTTAGGCTAATAAATGAACAAAGAACAAACAGGTTAAGAAACAAGGAATATTATCTTCTGGATATGGCGCCATGTAATCTGGCAAAAGTTCACTGACTTTTCGGAGGAATGTACTGCCTCCATCTTCGGAATTGAAAAGCAAGACAGCAAGCAGCAACCTTGCTACTTGTGTTAGTGAACTTCTACTGGAATGCATGGCGTCACATCCCAGAAGATAATATTCTTCATAGTCACAGATGTGAGAACTTAAAATCTAACAAGTTAGGAAATGCACACAGAGCATTATAATTCTGGTGCATCTGCTCTTTAACCGCCTTGATTTTCGTGAATGACACTTTTGATGCTCTTACGAACAGTGTAAAATAGGCTGGACTGGCAAAAGGAAGGACTTTTATTAAGTTTTCTCCATTTCTGATAGAAGGTCTACTAATTAAATTTATATATCTCAGGATGGCAGGAACTGCATTATGAGGTCATTGTGTTTAAGTATCCCAAGAACTGCAAATCTTACAGAAAAGTATATTGGATATAAAATGTGCATATTTTTCTTGGTAACTCTTGTTTGAAACATTCTTTGATCCAATAAATATTTAGTGAGTTATGCATGAATTATGTTGGAGAAGTGTACAAATATGCTTGTGCATTTTCATGAAAGGTGTACACTTTTGTTGTCAATTTTTAAGCAAAATTTGGTTGTACAGACAAATTATAGGAAAACTCGCCAGTGTCATGTTGGATTTGATGTTCTCACGGTTTGTGGGTTGTAATGTCACGTAGTTTTGACAGAGCCTAATTTTTTGGAGGAACATATCACTTTCAGCTTCAGGGGTGAAAGGTAAGTTAAGCAAGAAACCAGCAGAAACAGGCAACAAGAGGAGCAGAGGCCAACTAAGAACTACTTAGAGTTACAACATTTACTTTTCAGAAACTACAAGAGGAAATCAACATATCTGACTCATTAGAATTTGCACACATACTTACGATGTTAAAATTTATTTGTGCTGATTAAAACCAATTGCATGAGCTGTCTGATGTGTTGAAGAATTACTTGAAATTAATACAGGATGTGATATTTATGTAAAAAATTGGAATTATTATATAATTAAAATGTCATTTTTGAAATAAAATACATTTAAATATAAGAAAACACAAAAGTACAAAAATAATTTTTGAAATTGTGAGGACTTTTGAAGGACAAACTATACATATTTACTGTGAGCTGCTACAGCTTGAGAAGACTAATGTTATTTTCTGATCTTACAATCTTTGTGTACACCTACAATGATGTAACATTATCTTATAACAAATAACACTTTACAGTTTTCTTATCAGTGGTAAAGAGAGTAAGTTAACTGAAGTGGTTGGTGAAAAAAGGCAAGAGCCACAGAACTGCTCTCAGTTTATGTCGTCTGGTCTGCTGTAGTGCTGAATCACTATGACACACATTATCACACATGACATAACTTAATTTTCTCATTAGAACGACACAAGGAGACCAACTGTGCAGATCAGTGACATACATCCTCAGGGTGAAGTGATAAAACAGTACAAATATTGCTAAGTTTAGGCTGTTTTGGTGATGCAATATTGATGCTGATTCTATTTTTTGGCAGTGGTGCCATGTGAGAGAGTGCTGTGTTGCAAGTGTTTCAGAGGAACCTATTGCCTCAATCTTCAGGGCTGAATTGTTGGGTAAGGACTAGGGTCAGATTTAAGGTAGAGCGACTGGGGCGGTCACTCTGGGGGCCTCCAAAAAACAAAAATAGAGTGCACAGGTTTTATTGAGACATTTACTTCTCTAAAATCATGAAAAGTTAGTTTGTATTTTCAGTTATTCTAAGAAATATGAAAAGAATAAAATAATTGTCATAACCGAAATTGGTTGCTGACAGGGGCCTCCACATTTTGATTGTTCTGAGGCCCCCACAACTGTAAATCTGGCCTTCACGAGGGGATAAGGAAAAGCTATACAGTGAATGCCAAAACAGTGGTCACTCAGCACCTCAAAAGGTGAAGGCTGTGAAGGCCCATAGGTCCATGATTTATTCTGACCGTCTTACAGTGCATACACTCATTCACCCTACTCTTATCTCCTGCACCACATGTCTCAGCACAAAAGTGCCATCTTCAGGTGCTTTTCGATGTACGCCGATATAACATTATTAATAGGCCCATAGGGTTGTGAGATGTCTAGGCTTCCACATTTATAGACAACTAGCTCACAGATGGTGGTGAGGTTGTCAGCCTTATGTGTCGGCCACCCTTTATCCCCAGGAAGATTCCTGGTACTCAGTTCTGTTAGAGGCTGAGTTGACCCCAGGGCCATAGTGCGGCAAAGTTTATAAGGTGACTAGTGTCATCTCCTGGAAGGATTCGGTAAGGTAAGTTAAAGTTGTCCCTGTGCTTAACTAATTAAGCACTATGCCATGAAGGCGTGGATATATAGATCCATACTTTCTAGGCACTAGCTAGAGGTGAGTGGTCAGCTTTACACCCCAGCCGCTTTACCCCTCAGTACCCATTGGACAGGAGGTTGGGTGGACCCTAGAGCCGGTCTGGATGATGTGAAGAAGAGAAAATTCTTGACTTTACTGGGACTCAAACTCTGACCTCTGTCAACCAGCCCATAGTTAGTCACTATACTGACTATGCTATCCTGGCTTGGAAAGATTAGGTAAATTGAAAAAATCCAATGACCTCATCGGGAATTGAACCCGTGACCTTCCGGCTTGTAGCACAATGCCTTCAACTACGCTACTGCATGCCCTGACGCAGTAACACAGTACCCTGTACAGAATAATATGAATGATGAACCTGGAATGGTGAGTAAACTGTCATTTTAAGGGCACTGTAGGGAGGAAGGTGACAACCAAATGGGCCTGGGAGAGACAGGACCAAGGATAGAAGGGGGTAGCAAGTTTCTCTGAAACCTTGACAACATAATCCACATTCATATGACACAAACACACAAAACAAAATCAATAGAACAGGTGTTGTAATATCAGAAATACAATATGCACCAAAAGATTCAGTACTGAAACTTGTGCATCTTGAACGCGCGTGTGCGTTTGTTGACAGGGCATAGTTCCAGCCGCACTTGTTCCCAGTAGTGAAAAGGAAGTTGTGTTGTGCAGTTGTTGTTGGAAATGAGTCTCTCAATGGAGGAAAAAGTATTCATAGTTGAATATTATTTCTGCTCATATGGAAGCGGTCTCCAGACAACTTGCTTCCTTGGTTTTGAGAAGCCAGATGTATCGTCCAGAAACCGCTACATAGTACATGTGTCACGATATGGTGTGCCATCTCAGCACATGGTATATTAGGCCCCTATTTCATTGAGGATGAGGAAGGCAATGCTCTTACCATCACCCAAGAATGCTACAGGGATATGGTGATCGGACCATTTCTTCAGGATGTGAGAAGGTTCTGTTGAGCAAGGGGCCTTCACATGAATAGACAGTGGTATCAACAGGACGTCTTTCCATTTTAGTACTCCATTTTTTGGGGGGCACGCGGTAGTGTAGTTGGTTGAGGGGCTATGCTACAAGCCGGAAGGTTGCGGGTTCAAGTCCCGATGAGGTCATTGGATTTTTTCAATTGACCTAATCCTTCCAGCCGTACTATGGCCCTGGGGTTGACTCTGCCTCTAACATAAATTAGTACCAGGAATTAATTAAATAATTTTCCTTGGGAGTAAAGCGCAGCCGGTGCATAAGTCTGACAACCTTACCGCCATCTGTGAGCTGATTGTCTAGATAATGTGGGACCCTCAACGTCTCACAACCCTATGGGCCTTCAAGGCCTGTTACAGGGATACCTTTACTTTTTTTACTTACTCTATTTTTTGGTGCATAATGTACTATCACCAGCCTCACAACACTGACGTTTCTGCCTTGTTAACATGAAAGTATTTGGATGCCAATGTCGTTGTAAACAGTTATAACATAAATATACTTGTTATACTGATGATAATTTTAAAAGAGAGTAATATCACAACCAAATTTTATTTGAAATTAGTAGGTAGGAGGGTGGAATTAGGACAAAGACACAGAGAAAGAAAGAAATGAAGATAATCTGGCGCTTCTGATATGCTTATGTTATTTTTATGTCCTTACTAGCTGATGTATGATTTAAGGGGAATTATAAACTAAAGATTTGTTCTCAGGCTTCAAGATAATATGAAGGGCCATTTGCTACATTTAATGCAGTAGAAAGTGACAAATTTAAATGTCCCCTGCTGTGCTTAAACCACTAAAAAATAACGTTTAAGGAGTTCATTTTTTATTTGTCAATTCTTTCTCAACTACATATATGATAGCAAGTGAAACCGGAGGACTGCTGTGAATGATGAACTGTAAAGGATGTGGAAGGCAATGTTCAGGCACTATTGTAAGACACTATATGGCACTTGCTTAGAGGGACTGACGAAAATGACAAAGAGCCTGTCAGAATAAACATCCTCTGGGCCAAGACTCAAAATTATACCTTCGCATTTATTAGGGATGAGCTGTTAAAAATAATGGTCTGTGTTATGACAGGGTACAACATGCTTCCATGATTTGAAGACCACAAAGCCTCAGTCAAAATAATTAGCTCAGGTTTCAGTTACTAACCTCCTAATACAGGTTATGAATGTTGCATATTACACTATCTACAAGGCATAAAGAAAAATTATGTTTTACATTTACAGCTTTGTGGTTGCTGAAGCAGTCAATTCTTACAGACTTCAGTGTACCAGACATTCACACAAAAATGTCTCAACTCAGCAAAGAGGATCTTGAAGATCTTCTTCGTCCTCAACTTGGAAATGACTTGGTGGTAAAATTCTTTACATCACAACCTCTGACTCAGGCAGGAGACAATTATGGGAGTATCATGCTGGCAATTGAAGCTACAGTTGTACAGGGAGCAGACGGAACATCAAATCAAAACTTGTCTCTAGTAGCCAAGTTAGTGCCACCATCTGGATTTCTTTGGAGAATATTTGATCCACCAAATACAGTTTGCAAAGAAATAAACTGTTACATGTTAGTGAAGGAGGAATATAAGAAGTTGCAGGATGAAAACTGTATCCCTGAGGATAAATTTCTTGATGTATTTCCCAGGTGCTATGGTGCACGCACAACATTATCAAAGAAAATTGGAGACAAGGCTGATAAAAATGCAGCAATTCTTCTAGAGAACTTGAAAACAGCAAATTATCGTTTAGGAGATCGGAGAATGGGGCTTGATTTGAAACATGTACAGTTAGCTGTGTCTCAGCTTGCACGTTTCCATGCGCTTTCTGTGGCACTCAAGATACTGAAGCCTCAAGTGTTTAAAAATACAGTTCTGAAAGCTTGTAAACCTCAAAATGCAGGCTTTACTGAGGCAGAGTTATTAGCTAATGTACCAAAAATGTTGGAAATTATCAAGACAATTCCGGGATGCGACATCTATCTTGACAATTTACAAAAGGCTGCAGAATTACAAATTAAGACAAACCTTGATGAATCACTGTTACCACCGCGAGAACCATATGCAACACTCACTCATACAGACTTCTGGGTTAACAACATGATGTTCTGTTACGAGAAGAATGGAAATGTTCCTGTTCGCGTTAAATTTTTGGATTTCCAGATAGTCAAATATTCATCTCCAGTAAGGGATTTGATATTTTTCCTGTACACTAGCACAGCTGAGGGTATCAGGAGTGAAAACCAAGAAGATCTTATTCGTCTTTATCACGAGAACTTTACCGACTGTCTCAAGGCTGTGGGTTGTGACATCAGCCCCTTTACCTACCAGTCACTGTTGGATGAAATTGATATGTTTGCACCTGCAGAGGCAGATCATATTTTATATATGTTGTTGCCAATTTGTGCTGACAAAGAAAGTGTACCTGAACTATCTGGAGTTGACTTCGAGACAATTTTTAGCAAACCCAGCGATCTCTTCAAAACAAAAGCAAAGGAATTTATTATTGACTTTGTAAAGAGAGGCTGGCTGTAGAATGCATTTATACCAGACCAAGTATACTGGAACAGTGTACAATTAGGAAGCAAGCGATGATGGCTATATACAAGAGTAAAATTTAGTTTGTTGGTCTTGAGGGTCTCACAGCAGTGAGTATGGAAAATACTATCATCTGGGATATAGTGCCATGTAGTCTCAGAGTCATTTTCAAAGATCCTGTAACATCTTGCTTGCCTGACTTATTTTGATAGATTTACTCTTCAGTAGAGATAAAACAACTTTCAACAGGCCCAAAAGTGAAATCATATTGGGTCAAATAGGCTTGCCCATGTGGACATTATATACTGTGAGTAACACATACTCTTACAATAAACAAAATATACCATTATTTTTCTCAGAACAGTACCAACTGCCACAGCTTAAAGCAGTTATGACTTCTGCCTCATATTTGGAAACTAAGATTACTGTCTTCCAGGATATGATGTCATGTACTTTGGCAGATGGGTAACAATGTTTAAGAACCTGCTGCTTACCTTCAGAATATAAGAGTATGATGTGTGGGGAATAATTATATGGATATGCATGCTTCTTCATTCTTTCCCCATCTGAGTTTATTCACACCTATTGCTTTGCTCATAGTCTTGGTTCCCATCCTCTCTTCTCTAATCACTTTTTCTATCCTGAAAACAGATGCAGCTCTCTTCTCTTGTTTGACTGATTACTAAGACATTTCACAAAATTGTTTTCAGAACTTATTTAACTCTGAACGAAACATGAGTTTGATTCTGAATCATAGAACTAGAAAGAAGAAAGGGAGAGCAGATGTAGAATATCTGAAGGCACTACACAAGCATTGAGATACTGACAAAACCATATAAAACCTCAGATCCTTACTTAACCAATATTTGAACTGCATCCTGAATACAAGTTACAGATATCACTCCTAAGTATGCAGGAGATCCTAACAGAATCTTGTGTGGAGGAGAAATAGAAGCAAGGAAGAGATATTTTGAGTTTTAGCCTTGAAAAATGGCGGGAAATGGAAGGAAAAATATATAAAAAAATTATATCGCCAGACATATAATGTTATGCAATGTAATACAATGTTCAAAATACACATATGAACATGACTTAACCTAGATTTCAGATCTGGCAATTTTCTTAAAGATTTATGGTTACTGTGTTTATTCTGAAATCTGATTCCTTACAAAACACTTACTTTTCCTTCAATTATTCTTCAATTTTCTCATTGTTCTGTCACCATTACTAGTTTATTCAAACTTAACCCTCTTACTGTCAGCCATTACTGTGCTATAACCATATAAGATTAACCAAACTGTTTCATTGTACATGAATACTTACAAGAGAGACCTCTGTGTCCTAGATGCAGAAAGTATTGCAAATCTAATATTTTACATGATTGTGCCATCTGTTAAACAAATACATAAAGTGCATGACAATAAAAAAAAGTAACCTCAAATTACTGATCTGATCACATAATGCCAGGTATTACAGGACTTGACCATTTCATTGAATTCATATCCATGGCATTTGTTGCAGTGTATCAAAATGATGGTCATGTACACTATCACAAATGTTTTATTTTACTTTCACTTTAAATAAAATATCTGACCATGCGCACCATCACATTTTACATTTTTCAATATTTATTTTTAAGAGATGTGATTGTGTAGTGTGTTATCATTATGAGAATGCACTGCCCAACCAGCTCAATCACTTCACACACAAGGAAAGGGTTAAAAACAAAATTAATGTAAGCAACACTTTCAATTATTCTCATTTATATAAACGATTTACCCAAAACTATACCTATATTATTTGCAGATGATACTAGTTTGTTAGTTCAAACTATGATGATCTCTGTGTAAATATAAACAATGCTTTTCACAGTATAAATCAATGGTTCAAAAGTAAACTCACTACATTCAATTTACAGCTAGAAATAATAATCCTAAATCTGAAATAAAAATTGTATATGATAAAAATAATTACACCTATATCCAATATTAAATTTCTTGGAATATTCATTGATGATACAATGAGCTGGAAATACCACATTGAACATATTAGTCAAAACTAAGTGCAGTCTGCTACATAATAAGATCGCTTAAACCATACACATCCATAAACATCTTAAAAGTGGTTTATCACTCTTATTTTAATTCTATTATAAATTATGGTTTACCCTTTTGGGGTAACTCACCCCAAAGTATAAACATTTTTAGAATGCAAAAGAGTATAATTAGAATTATGTTGGGATGCAGAAGGAGGGATTCCTGCAGAAACTTACTTAGAGAATTAGAAATCTTGCCTCTGGCATCTCAGTACATACTATCTCTTATGCTCTTTGTGATAAGAAACAGAAACAAATTCATAGTAAATTCAGAGATTCATTGAATAAATACCAGACAGCAAAATAATCTCCATCAACTTCTTGTAAATTTGAGTAAATTTCAAAAGGGAGTTTACTGTTTAGGAAAAAAAGTCTAAAATAATCCACCACAACATATTAACACATTCAGGACCGGAGGGGCCAATTGGCCCTCTACGTTTCTATAGCATTGCGGACCTGGCGGGCCAATTGGGCCTCTACGTTTCTATAGCGTTGCAGACGGGCAGGCCAATTGGCCCTTTTCTGATGCGTTTATGTTGCAACCAACTATATCTCGCTGTGTGGCCACATTGCATCATAACTAACTTGTCTCTTGTCGAAGCTGGACTTTTATAACCTCGGCGGTTGCTATGCAATGAACCTTCTGTTGTCATGCAACGCTTCGAACAATTTGTTACCTTTCATTTCCTAGGAAACGCGTTTGTTTGCCCCAGGGCAACGGCCCACTGTTATTGTGTTGTCTCTGTGGGAACTCTCTGTGTATTCGTAATAACCGTGGAGACTCATTGTAGGCTGTTAACTTCCTATGGGGCTGTTGCGCAGCGATGACCGTAAGACAGCACATTACAATATGTTTATTAGTATTTATTACAAATGTGTATGCTATTGGATGACAACTGTAATTCTTAGTTGTGACTGTAACTAGGACGATCTCCACATCCGCATGAGAACGTACTCTCGACAGGATTTATGGAAGGTGAATAAATGAAATGAAATTTCTTTACAGGAGACACATGAACACAATGTCATTTTTACAGGAATAAAATTGTGAAATCAAGGTAGAGCAGCGCAGTTACATTGCATTAGCGCACAATTACAAAAATGTTGACTTTTTCACTGGCAATGTATGAGTCTTGCCAGCAGTATTCCTACACTATCAACCTGAAATGGATGGAACATTTTCTGAATAACAGACATGCCATAGATCATCAATGTAAGGTTCATGCCTAGGAAATAAATAGTGACATGTAATCTCAAACCAGAGTATCATTTCAGAAGCAGAAGACTATCTTTACATTTTCTGGATTTATAAATTATACTAAAAGAAGCAAAAAGACTTGTTAATATCAATTGGAAATGGAATAATTAAGTTCTGTAAAACAACAAAATACTGTACATAAAAGTGTCTTCAACATCTTCAAGGGTTCATCATCATTAGACAGTGATATAGCTCATTGTATCATAGTCAGAGAATTACGAGATTCTATGTACACCATAAGATGGGAACCAAATTTACCATACTGGAAATCTCAGTGAACATACAGGACCATTCTTCCATAAGCTTGACTATTTGAGGTATGACATATCCTTTGAGATGTTTCAGGCAAGCTTCACTACACTTAATTTGAGTCTTCCTCCTAGATCTGGATACTGGAAATAGTTTAGAGACTCATCTTACTTTTCTGTGGTATATACGGATATTATTATCCTCTCATGAGTTCCTACTGTAATTTTGTAAAAGATGGATTTTGTATTTTATGTCTATGTACGACAAGATACATGAGTTTGAATATTCTCAGAAGTTTTGTTACTGATATCTTTCTTCTTTGATTCTTATGACAGTTACAAATAAACAATTTAAATGTCTATGATACAGTATTAAGAAATTCTTACACATAATGAGTTTTTGAGTGTGTACAAGTTCATGGTTTAATAATAGGTCCCACAGCTCAGCAGAGGTTACTGAGTTTTTAACCAGAAAGTCCTAATTTTTACCGATGTGTAATCCTACAGAATAGAAGAATTATTTTTGTTTATTTAATAAAACTGTTAGTAGCTCAGATTATATAGCTAGAAGACTTCAGATGCTTTTTCTGTTGTTGATGTAAATGATTCACTAAAACATATTCCTGATTTATTTGTCTTCAAAAAACATAATTTTATTTGGTATACATGTGCAGATAATATAAGTTTTAAAATTACTTTTCAATTTCTGAGACGAGTTCAAAGAGTTGAGAGGAAGCAAATAAACAGGTAGATGTTTACTTCTACCAGACTATAAAGCATCATAGCCCAGAAAATGACACATGATTCATAGTCACTGCTGCAAGATCCTCAAATTCAACTGCATTAGTGTTTGCATATATGCCACTGCAAAGCACAGCAATTTAATGTTGTTTGATAGTAATAAAGTGCAGAATCTAGGCTTTAAAACAAGCCTTAAAACACTTACATAAGCACAAAACTTCAGGAAAAAATTGTATCTTTTAATAATGTGGTCTTGAATCATGTGAAATACAATAATCCCTTGCTTACTGTATTTCTGCAATACATTTTGTATACAGAGGCACAGAATCTAATGATATGTATGTTTGTTGACCATGGACAGTTCATTTACATACTCACAATGAGGTAATCTTCCTCATATGTTATTTAAACAGAGAGTAGGATTATGATTTCATTGTGTGAGATGGAGGGTCTGTAAGGTTATTTGCACATGTCTTTAAAGATGTGACATAAAAACTGAATAATACATAATAAGGTAATATTACTTACAGATCCAAACAAGTCTGCAGAGAAATTAACTGTAAAATGTGTAAGACTTGTTTCCTGTATGACCTTTATATAATGTGTGAGAAAATAAAAAAGTTATTAGCTGCAAAATCTCACTCCATCTTTGAACCTTTCAATAAACATCCTTTCAGAAAACTCACTGTGGTGAAAAGAATACTAGATGGAACTGAAAATGTTTGGTTCACAGCTGCAGAATTCAACACAGTGAAAATAAATATTCCATGTATTGTTACATCATATGTGTAATCATTTTTGTGACATACTGAATATAATAAGAGATTTTTAATTTAAGAATTGCCTCCTTCCACACCACCTTCCAATTCATCATTCATAAATCATCCTCACATCTGACACTACATAGCTTATGCAGTTGTAACAGCACTGTTAAATAAACCATGCGTCAGTCATTATACGAAGAACAGTGTTGACACAGAAAGTTCTCCAAATAGAAATATGCACAAGAAAAGCTCAAGAAGAAAAAGTACTAAATATACATCATCATGATCATCATCTTTCTTAACCCTTCATCCTGAATTTATACACTTATTATCCTGCATAAAAAAAAATTCCAATTACATGCTCTTCAAGGGAAATATTATCTGGAATGTTAGTACATTCAACAGATGCCTTTATGTCCACGTTCCTATTTACAAGATTCTTTCACAGGCACTTGAAAGCTGATATGAGGAGTAAAGTAAGTAAAAAATAAGTAAAGGTATCTCTGTAACAGGGTGTGGAGGCCCATAGGGTTGTGAGATCTTGAGGTTCCCACATTTTCTAGACAATCAGCTCATAGATGGCGGCAACGTTGTTAGCATTACACGCCGGCTGCCCTTTACCCCCAAGAATATTCCTGGTACTCATTTCTGTTAGAGGTTGAGTCGACCTTAGGTCCATAGTGCAGCTGGAAAGATTAGATCAAATGAAAAAATTCCAATGACCTCATCGGGACTTGAACCCGCGACCTTCCGGCTTGTAGCATAGTGCCTCAGCCAACTACACAGAACAAATTTTTGCATCCAACACAAACACATAAATAGTGAATTGTGTGCAATTTAAAATAATGAACTTTTATTATCTACAGAATGTGCTAATGCTACAGACTTGTATATGGGAGGTGCAGTGTTCAAATCTCAGCCAGGACACCAGCTATCCCGAATGAGTGTTTTAATGTTTTTCTCACTTCATCCAAGGAAATTCCAGGATAATATCTCAACTAAGCAGAAGACAAATCAAAATTATAACCAAGCAGAATAATAAAAAATCAAGATAAGATACAAAACACTTCTCAGTGTCAAGGACACAAATAAAACTGGTAGAAAATATTAACATCAGCGGTCTGGAGTGTTCAATCTTAAGTGCGTCACTTGTTTACTCAGATAACAAACAGATAAGAATTACAAAAATCATGCTTCTCCTTGAATCTCATTGAAGCACATTCAGAGTGAGGAACTCATCTTGCTACTAGACTAAAAGTGAGTATGCTTTCTTCCAGATCACCTGGAGGTTACAGTGTCTTTTTATAATCTATGAATACCTGAACATTAATCTGTATTTTATTCTTGTACTTTTCTCTTGTTTCATGGGGATCAGAGCTGAATCTGGTAAAATTACAAACCTATGTAAATTTCAGACACTTGGTAGGACTCTTGGGTAGGGAAACAGTCCATTGTAAGGCTACTACCTCTACAGGTGATTGTATATTCTGTAGATGGATAGATATTCACCAATGATTCTCTGAAATGAAGAGTTCTATCTTCTGAGATACAATGTTGTGTAGTCATTCGAAGGTCAAGCAATACTGACTCTTAAAACAGTGGATGACTTTTAGTGGATTACATAGAGTTGTACCCCGGATGACAGAACAAATAATAACTGCTGCTGTGAGAAAGAAACTCAACTCTTGCATTCCCCTGAAATGTCAGTGTCACAGCCCAGAAGATAGTAATGTTCAAATACACAATTTTACTATACATTAAATTGCAGTATTCATAGGTATAATTTTGAATATTACTCTGAGAGTAATTTCCATTTAAAAACAATATAGCAATGTTGTATTTTACATAAAATATAAATTGTTAATAAATTTTAAACATATCTATAAGATATGTAAAGGTAAAGTTGTTCCTGTGCTTAACTAATTAAGCACTATGCCATGAAGACGTATGGGGGAGGGATGTATAGATCCACATTTTCTTGACTCGGTACTAGTTGGAGGTGAGTGGTCAGCTTCACGGCCTGGTAGCTTTACCCCTGGGAAAGAGCCCCCAGTACCCATTGTACAGGAGGTTGGGTGGACACCAGAGTCAGCCTGGATGATGTGGGGAAGCGAAAATTCCTGACCCTACCGGTACTTAAACTCCATCTTCTCGGTCATCCAGACTGGAGCCAGTCGTTATACTGACTATGCTATCCCAGCTCATAAATGATATGCAAACACTATAATTTTTTTAACTCCCCCACTTTTCAAGCACTGGTGTATCCTCTAGAACAGCTATTTCTGTCAGTATTTCAGGATTTGTGACATTTCTTGGATGAAAGTTTCACCTCTTCTTCAATGTACTTTCTTTAAACATGCACGATAATATGAAAGTTCAAAAAGGTGTTATAATATGCGTGTATTCAATGTTGGTGTGAAGAAAATATACACAAAATGAGTACATTCAAGGTTGGTCCAGGGAACATACTAGACAGAGACGAGTAATTCAGGGTTGATCCTAAAAGAGTCAAAGCATACAGAGATGCTCAAACAAACATCTTCTGCTTCAATCATTAGAGCTCTGGAGACAAACTTATACTTGATGTATTACAGGTTCGTGAGAGCTACAAACCTTTGGAATTAAGCATGCTCATGCCTGAGCTCAGCAAGCAGGACCTGGAAGCCCTCTTACGTCCCAGACTTGGCAGAGAATTGGTGGTGGAATCATTTTCTTCAGAAGCTCTAACACAACCAGGGGAAAATTATGGGAGCACCATGCTGGCGATTGAAGTTAAAATTCGTAAAGGGAAAGATAATACACCAAGCGACAATTTATCTTTGGTAGCCAAGTTAGTACCCCCATGTGAATTTCTATGGAAATTATTTGATCCACCGAATACATTTTGCAAAGAAATAACTTGTTACACATCAGTGCAAGTGGAATATGAGAAATTACAAAATGAAAAATGTATCCCCAGGGACAAATTTGTCGATTTATTTCCAAAATGTTATGGTGTTAGGACAACACTGTCAGAAGAAATTGGAGATAAGGCTGATGAAAATGCAGCAATCCTTCTAGAGAACTTGAAAACAGCAAATTATCGTTTAGGAGATCAGAGAGTGGGGCTTGATTTGAAACATGTACAGTTAGTTGTGTCTCAGCTTGCACGTTTCCATGCGCTTTCTGTGGCGCTCAAGATACTGAAGCCTCAAGTGTTTAAAAATACAGTTCTGAAAGCTTGTAAACCTCATAACAGAACTTTTGATGAGGCAGAGATGCAGGCAAATACTTTGAAACTAATGAAAGTTATCAAAGCCATTCCTGGATGCGAAGATTATCATGATAGAATACAGAAATCTTCAGAAATGGCAAATCTAATGAAGGTAGACAGTTCAGTACTACCGCCAAGAGAGCCATATGCAACTTTCAGTCACACTGATCTCTGGGTTAATAACATGATGTTCTGCTATGACTCCAAGGATGAAAACAATCCTATAGCTGTGAAATTTCTAGATTTTCAGGGAATTGTATATGACTCACCAGTTAAGGACCTTTTATTTTTTCTATATACCAGTGCAGCTGAGGGCGTGCAAGCTAAGCACTATGATGAACTCATACATTTGTATCATGAAAATTTCACTGACTGCTTGAAGGATATGGGTTGTGATATCAGTTCCTTTACCTTCCAGTCATTGTTAGAAGAAATTGACATGTTTGCACCTTCAGAGGTAGAGCACATTCTGTTTAGGTTGATAGCAATCTGTGCTGACAGAAGTGAGGTACCTGACATATCAGCAGTTGATCTTGAATTTCTTTACTGCGAACCAAATGATATATACAAACGGAAAGCAAAAGAATATATTATTGATTGTGTGCAAAGAGGATGGCTGTAGAATACATTTATACAAGTGCTACAAAGAATACAATACAGTAAGATATAAAGCATACAAGAATACACCATCTATACCACAACACCCTGTATTTTAAAATGAAGACACTACTATATCAACATTTGCTTTTATTAAAGCTTTTATGGGTGTGACATGTTTCAACCCTTATATTGGGCCATTATCAGGCATACAATGTTCAGCTTTAAGCTGCTGAACTGCATCCAATTATCATTCAGTTCACTAAATAAGGATCCTTATTGTGTTATGGACTTCATTCAAATACATATTATTTTATTATTATTATTGGAGGGGGTGGGTTTCCCCATGCACCGCGACTAATAGTCTATTGTACGTCCCCCTTTGATATTCTACCAGTCGCCATACCCTGCCGGTACTGGTGCTCGCTATCAGCCCTGTTCAGCCAGCGAAGCTGGCAGTGGTTCCTGATGCTTCCCCATCTACCGGTGGCATTGGAAACTACTTGGGTGGGAAACTTTTTGCCTAATTTTGCTCAGATGTCTCCTAGAGACATGAGGATCTTTTATGTGCCGTAAATCTACGACACGGGACTCACGGCTTAAAGTCCCTCCCAGAGGACTTGTTCCCTGAATTTTTCCGCCCTTAAAAATTCCATGACCTCCGCTGGATTTGAACCTGCGTACCTTGAGTCATGAGGTGGGAACATTACCCCTAGACTACGGAGGCCGCTAATTCAAATACATAAATATATATGCTTTATATCTTATTTGAGACACACAACAGGATGCAAACTATTAAGAATACAATATGGTGTTTTAGATAAAGACAGGATGATCGATAATGTTCAGAAACATAATATTTGTACCAATGTACCATTGTCACACACTTTTAGATCTTCTTAGCTAGAATGAATGTTTAAAAGTATGGTATGGTAATGTTTAAATCTTGTGTGGGTATTTAAATGGTCAGCTGCTCTGCATGAGTAGCCTTTAGCCAATATAGTTCCTACAACCCACTATTTTATAGCCCATTAAGGCATGTACAGAGCATCACTCAATTACAGACATTAAAGTTATGGATTTTAATTTCTATGGAAACTATATAACAACTTGAAGAAAGCAGTCTTCTGGGATTTGGCACCGTGTATATGTGGTGTTAACCGACGTTTCGGAGGAACGTATCGCCTTCATCTTCAGGGTAGAAGTAAAATATAAGAAATCCGCAAGCGAAGAGACCGTGAGAACCGGTAAAAGCAGACCCAGTCACGGTCTCTGCGCTTGCAGATTTCTTATATTTTTCTTCTACCCTGAAGATGGAGGCGATACGTTCCTCCGAAACGTCGGTTAACACCACATATACACGGTGCCAAATGCCAGAAGACTGCTTTCTTCATAGTCACCGCCGTGAAAGCCTCAAATCTTACATTATATATATAACATCTTACTTTAATTTTCTATGTCAAAATAAAGACTTTCAAAATAAAAATATACAACCAGTTTCATATTGCAGCTTACTTCCACAGTCACAGATCAGTACTGGATGAAGCTCCGCCTTCTTCATCTGTGTCTTGTATATCTGCATGATTAGTTGAGGAGCCTTGTGAGTCACTCAGTGTGATGGTTCTGTTGGCATGACAACAGAATTTAAGTTACACGTCATTGTTATACGAACAAAAATTCATCATTCTAATAAATGGTATTACAAACTGAAATTTTACTACTATAAAATGATATTAAACTGCTATAAAAAAAATCTATGGTTATAGTTTGTAATTTCACTGTCATAAAACGAAATTCCAATGTTACTGAATTAAATTTGACTACTGTAATATGAAATTCCACTGTTACAAAATGAAACGCTAAAATACATGTGCCATATTTATTTGTGAGAGTATCCAGACATGAATAAACTGTAAAATATAAAGGAAATGCAAAATATTGGGAAATTCAAATGAGGATAAGGTGTGTTGACAAGAAAAATAAGGGAGAAAATTGGTATGAATTAAGTGGCGTGTTGGGGCTACTCATTTTTACCAATTTTGCATGCATGCACATTTGTGCAACATCCATTGAGAACTTTCATCATTATCATTTCCTATATAAGCTTTTCCACTTTTATCTTCTCCTACTTTCTCCTGCATTCCTTTTCAGTCCTGCATGTTATTGAATAATGCACTGAGGCTGAAGTTTAACACCGTCTCCTATCAATAACATGCATAAATAAAGAACTGTAAGCTGTCTCCTTTACATAGTACACTACAATTCACATATCCTCATAAAAAATATTAACAGTACCCACAGAACAGACATGATACACTGGACTGCTTACTCATTCATAACCTACCATGTAATTTATGTTCAAGCAATGTTAATGCTGAACAATTTCTTATAATGGTAATCCAGAATGTAATTTCATAGCTTTCATCTCTCTGATAAATTTGACTTGGTTCATCCTGGTCCATCACATTAGTAATAGTATAAAAATTAGTGACGTCATCCAGGGTGATTGATAAATGTTGTGTTTTTTTAATCTTTCATCCTTTACATGTTTCTGTAAGTATCGATAATGACCAATGACATTGTAATAGTAGTTTTCATATGTATTGATAACACTCTTCTGAAGATGGTCACTAAAGGATGAAAGATTAAAAAAACACAACATTTATCAATCACACTGGATGGCGTTAATAATCTTTTATACTTTCATCTCTCTGTTACATTACTTCTCCACATTCACAGATATAGACAGCAATTTTAATTATAATGTAAATTTATATACATCATACCAATTAAGTACACTATCTTTTTACTGATAGGCAGATGATCAAACCAGATACTGTGGATCTTCTCCTTGTTTTCAGAATTCAGGATATTGAAGAACAGAGGAAATGCAGTTATAATATAACAATTGGGGTGTGCTCAGATATTTCAGCTTGATTGTATTGAAAGATCAAAGAATAAATGGAGTTGTGTAATTACTTTTCTATAGTAAATGTTACAGTGGATTGTTGTTCATTGAATTTGGCCAATGTTTTTTTCCTTTGGTCATAGACGTCATCCACAAAATATAAATCAGACATGAGCACACAAATAAAGTAACAATGGCACGAAAAACTAAAATAGCTTAAAATGAGATATTTTAGAAGTATTTCACATCAAAATGGAAAGCAGAACAGTGTGACAACAGAGCAGTAGATTCCCTTAATCCAACATCTTATATACCTGACGATTGTGAGCTAGGATGAAACACAAAGTTTTGTATAATGAGAAGAGAAAAAAAAAAGTGTGAATATTAATATATCAACAAAGTTGCACAAAGACGGTGAGGAGTGAGAATGTGACATTAGATTTCATCTTGATGTTTTCTTTCACATAGTTTTTACCATTCTAATTTATCTTCCATATTTAATGCATATAAATTGTTATATTTTCATCTACATTCTGTTTTGAGTTTAAATATTAGTAGAACCTATGAGTAGAAAAGTTCTTAACATGTCAGGCAGATATTGTCAGACTACTGTATATAAAAACAGGATGCACCACAAGAAAAGATAAGGATGTCTAGGGTAGGAGATGCATTACTCCCCCCTCCTCCCCAAAAATTGTTCATGTGGACGTATAGAATTGAAGTATTTCTCCTCTACAGTTTAACATTTAATCTACTGTTTTGGTTTTTAATTCTGCCATGACAACTCACTGCACATTTGTAGCACTACATCATAAGTCAAGATTTCATGGTGATTTACTTAATAGCTACTTCTGATTTAGATCATGAATTGCTGTGAAATTAATGAATGGGTAAACGGGAGGGCCACGGATTCACTGCCATGGGAACCCCAGTGTGCTTCTACCAATGGAGCTGGAGACATAGCAAGATAGTTTCAAGGAGTGCATTTTGGTTTTTGTATCATAACCACTGGCAAAACAGACCTTTCTTAGCTATAGCCTTCCTTAGAAGATTCTGCCAGATGTGTCCATTCCTGGGAATGAGGCAATCTGCTTTCCACATTTTTGGATTTTGCAACAGTAATTTCTTTTACAGACCAAGGTCATCAGCCTTGTGTCCAATTCCCAATCTGGAGGACCAGGTCACCAAATTTATGGCCCCAGTGATTGGGTGGTCCAGTTGTTCTCCCAGGTACCATGTTCCTTTTTCATCACCTTCTATAACTTGCAAAGCTGTGGTGGAGGAGTTCTAATCTGCCTCCACATGGGGAGAGTCTCTGTATAGTGTTTGTTATTTTTAACAGATTTCAACCAAAATTGAATTATGTTGACAAATTTTAGTAAAACTCCCCAATAAAAACTCTCACAAAAATCCATCCATTGGGAGCTGGGTTGTCTCATGTGGACAGACAGATGGGCAAACAGACAGGGAGATGGACAGATAGACGTGACGAAGCTAATAGTTGCTTATCTTCACAGTGTTCATCCTGTTGCGTGTCCCAAACGTATATAGTTAGGTTAGTCGTTGCCACAACACTTACTATATAATCACTACACTGGGTACTATAACTCTCAAACTTTAAAACTAGGCACACATAATTTTTAATAATTTGAATAATTTTTAATACACCTTTCAATACTTTTAATACCTTTAATACAAAGTTAACACACTTCTATAATATATTACTTATAATATACAGGGTGGGCCAGACTCAATTAGGCAGTTTTTGATCATTAATAACTAACCAATCCACAACACACGGGATAATGGGAAAGTACCTTTTGCTGTCGATAGATGGCAGCATCATACAGTATGCTGTGAACGAGGTCAATACTCTGCCTACTTAGTGCACATCGAGGAAACATCATGGCCGGTAGACGGTTGTCTATCGAGCAGCGTGTAAAATGTGTGCGCCTTTTCTCACTTACTAACAATGTGTCAGAAGCCCAGCGCAGGATGTTGGAAGAGTTTGGACTGCCAGCAGTCCACAGGGACACAATCGTCTGAATAAACGAGCAGTTTGATGAAACTGCCAGTGCTTTGAATCCCAAGCATCCTGGTCAGCTGAGAACTGTCCAAACTGCTGACACACAAGCACGTGTTGCTGCAGAACTGGCATCATCTCCTCAGAAATCGAAGTCTACCCGCCATTTGTTGGCCCTACCGGACATTTCGAGGATTTTTTTGGGGAGAGTTTTGAGTGACATGAAGCTGACGCCATACCATCCACAGCTTATTCATGTTCTTAACGAGGACGACTTCGAAAGGCGACTTGAGTTTGCCGAGTTGATGCTGACCAAGTTTCAGGAGAACCCTGACGTTATCTGGAATATTGTCTGGACTGATGAGGCCAAATTTCACACATCAGGATCGGTCAACAGACACAACTGCGTGTTTTGGCGGCCAGAGAACCCCAGCACCACCATTGAATACAATTTCCAGTCCCCGGGAGTGATGGTGTGGGGCGGCATGACGTACGAAGGACTGATTGGTCCGTTCTTCCGTGAAGGTTGCGTCACGGGGGAACCTACCTAAAGTTGCTGAGGGAAAGTGTCATCCCAGAACTTCAGAGGAGAGAGAACTTTGATGAACTGTGGTGGCAGCAAGATGGGGCCCCACCACACTTCGCCATATTGTTCGGGCATTCTTGCATCAAGTTTTTCCTCAACGCTGGATTGGCTGTTGACGGCCTGCGGAGTGGCCAGCCCCATCACCCTACATCACCCCACCAGACTTTTTCCTTTGGGGTTACCTCAAAGAGAAGGTGTACGCTAATCCCATTGACAGTGTGAAACATCTGCGTGAGGTGATTGTTCAGGAATTCAATAAAGTTCTGGTGAATATGTGCAGAAAGGCGTGTGAAAATTTTGCTTTGTGTCTGCAAGCCTATGTTGACTTAGGTGGTGCCCAGATTGACCAGCATCTTGAAAATCGATGACTTATGTGTGTGCGATTCCATTTTTGTAACCATTGCAATTGTTAACATTTATCAATAAAAATAACATCTAATCAAAAACTGCCTAATTGAGTCTGGCCCACCCTGTATATATTTGAATATATCCTAGGTACATTAGATATATTTTATATACTTTTACACACTTAGTTTCAATTCTTATATTTAACTCAAGGTACAATTCTATATCACACAGTACAACACATTGCACCAAATATGGATCCATATTAGCAATTCAATGACCCTAGATGTATTGTCATATCACTGCCTGATGATGGTCCTATGAGACTGAAGCGTAGAGCAGGAAATAAATATTCAATTGCAAAATACTGACTGATCATAAATCACTTTGTTGTGGTGACAACTAACCTAACTATATACGTAATAGGTATTACCATCATAAGCAAACCTCTATTTCAAATATACATACATAAACATCAAATTATTCAATTTACCAAGATATGCAACACAAATTTATAAACAGAAAGCTACCAAGATGACACAAATTTCAAAATTAGTCTAGTTTTTCTCATGGTGTATACTTGTATGCTGTTTTGTACTAGAGTTCCATAACATATACAAGGTACTTTTGTCTTTCAATTCATTGTTGACATCACTCTTGCCATAAATACAACACGCAACAACACAATCCCACAACCACCAAGCCTCAACGAACTGTCTTCTGGTGTGACTGTACATGCATTGTAATTTGTGACACAGGGCTCAAAGTTGACATTTGTTTCACTGTTATCTGAATGTAACCGTTCTTTACACTATACTGAAGTTTCACAGATCAATGTATCTGAGATAAAGGGAACCAAAATATCTGGCATAACACTGGAAGCAGAATGATATCGATTGGCTTCAGCAGGCAGGATTTTGTGTTTAGTTGCACCAAGCCTGCACTTCATGCTGTGTCCTGAACTGGCTTGGGATCAGCATCAACATCTGCTGACCTCTGTGGGTGGTTACCTGGCTTTGTACTTGCTGGAGGCTTAGTGCTATCCCTTATTGACATGCTTTTGTTTGTTGCACCAGAAGTTGTTGTTGTCCCACTTCTCTGCACAAAGGTGTACTTAGAACTCCTTGATACAGGCGTAAGAGCTGTTGTAAATGTTACACAGATTGTTTGGTTTCCTCCTGCATTTGTTACAAATACAGGAGGAGAGAAAGTAGGCCTTGCCTGTGGAAGAGGGACAGAATTCTTTTGCTGAGGTTGTGCTGGTGTTGGTGGTGCATGAGTAGAGGGTGCTGATGGATCTATGGGTGAATTTCTTTTAGCTTTATCTGAAGCTGTGTGATAACGTGGAACAGGCCAAATAGAAGATGACGTTTGTGGCGTCGTTATAAGTGGTGGGAAAGAAGTAGAAAGTTTAATTTTTGTTTGTGTATTGACTACTGGCTGATCTGGTACTCTTGACGAGCCAGCGGCAGATGTGTGATGGTATGGAGCTGGTTGGCGGACTGAGGATGTGCAAGAACTTCCATCTGGCGGGAGATTAGTGGTCACCACAAATTCACGAGAACTCCATCTCTCCATGTTCCCTTCTCTGTGTTGGTCAGATGTACATGAGGTAGAGGAAGATGAGGTAGATTGGCCATGATCATTAGGAGGCTGCCGCAATCTGAGGAAAGAGTTAGGAAAAAGGATGAGAATTCTCAAGGATTAGCTAGAATCTTGGTTTAGCTCTTGGACAGCAAAACTGCAATCAGTATTTGAGGTTTGTGGTTCTTATAGCAGGGAATATTAAGATTACCATCTTCTGGGATGTGATGTTGGACTGTTTGGTAATTAGATATTAACATTTCAGAGTAACTTGCTGCTTCCTTCTTCAGAGCAGAAGAATGAACCTAAAAATGGAGGCAGAAGGTTCCTCTGAAACACTGGTACTTACCTAGCAAATTGTATGGTGTCACATCTCAAGACCGTAATCTTAACTATGTCCAATGCTGCTTAAGTTTTGGAATAAAATTTATGAAAATACTAGAACATTGTACAAGCAATGAAAGCATGCAGACAGTATGTGTGTTGGGTTTGAGATTCTCACAGCAGTGAGTATGGAGAGTAGGGTCTTCCAGAAGGTAACACCGTGTAGTTTGGAGAACAACTTCAATGTTTCTGAGGAGGAAAACACTTCCAGCTTCAGGGTTGAAGAGGAAGCTTGCTGTGAGCTTCTTGCTTGTTCTTTTGCATGGCTTACTTCTTGATACTGAAGAAGGTAATGCATTCCTCTGAAATATCCAGCTTTTACCGAACTACACTGTGTAAGAGCTCTCCATATGTAGCGTAAGTTTTCAACAGACTTACTTCATGTACAATCATATACTAATTTAGATTTCTGAGAGCATTTTCAAAAGCGTAGGAGGTTCAAACATGAAGAAATGGACACAGGGGATAGATTACTTAACAGTTAACATCTGAGTGTGTGAATTTGTTCCTGTGCTTAAATAAGTACCATGCCATAAAGATGTATAAGGAAGTGAAGGTATAGTTACAAACATTCTTAACCTCATACATCCTAGTTACATGCCCAACCCACTGCAGTTTCCTAGACTTTACTATGTGGATTTATGACTATTGGTTACATTTTCTATAACTATCAGAAAAGTGCAGCGGCAGTAATAGCAACAAATATAATTAATTAAAATAAAACAATTTTTGTATCTTTTTGTGTTTTACACTATAACACATAACTACCTAACCGACCAACCAGCTGAGCAACTAACTCCACGGGGCTGAGTCCTTGAGAAGACAAGCATCATTTAGCTACTCAAGAATTTTCAAATTTTTTTTTTGGAACCTGAAGGTTCATTACTGTCTTCACTAAGATCCCATCACCAGTCCCTATCCTGAGCCAGATGAATGCAGCCCATACCACCACACCTTCTCTCTCTCTCTCTCTCTCTCTAAGATCCATTTTAATATTATCCTTTCACCTACGTCTATGTCTTCCTAGTGGCCTCTTTCCTTCTGGCTTCCCCACCAAAATCCTACATACAATCCTCTTCTTCCCCATGAATGCTACATTCCCTGCCCATCTAACCCTCCTTGACTTTATCATTCTAATTATACACATAATTATGTGTATAATTATAATTATTATAATATATAATTATATATTATATATTATATATATATATAAATAATTAATTATAATTAAGTCACTATAAAATAGGGGTATGTGAGGTTCCATTCCAAAACCAGGGTACTTGAACTGAAATTTGTTAAAAAATGCTGATACAATGTACATACAATGATATGTCAATGCAAGGTGAATATTCTAGCGCATATTATTGTACTCTCTGTTCTGACATTACAAAGGTAACACAAAGAATCACCTTCTGCATTCCTCTTCCAGTCGAGCACGTTCAAAGCGTTCATTGGTAACACTCCTCTGTAGTTCTGAAACCTGGTGTGTCAATTCTGCAACCTGTTGCTGACTTTGCTGCAATTCTGATGATGCTCTGCCCCTGCAAAACAGCAATGTATATTGCTAATCAACAGTGGACAAGAACGGAAATACAGTCCCCTATGAGTCTTGGCTTACTTGTGGAGGTATAGCCCCAGTTTGCTCCACTTTTATAACAAGATGGAGGCGAGTGGCTAGTGTCATACAACAGCAGTCAAGGTATTATCCCAGTGTTCACCTGTAGGAAGGGACAAAACTTAGGGAAACATGAATCATGACAGCTTAGGTCTTAGCTGAAATTCAAACCAGGGACATCCTGAGTGCAAGTCAGAAGCACTCTTCCTCAAACCACTTTGCTTGCTGAGGAAAATGCGCAGTGCTCCTAATTACTCTCACAACCTCATATAAATCTTGACAGAAATGTAAGATCCGAGGTTTCCATGATCAGACGTATTGAGATTACAATCTTCTCAAGTGTGATTATCTTTTTCTAAGTTCATTCGTAATGATGCTGTCAGTATTCAGATTACATATAGCATCGATGCTAAGATGATTAACATATATGGAGCAATTTGAGGAATTAGAATTGGCAAGAGAAACAAAGTACTTTGAGAAAACCAGTCCCAGTGTCACTTTTTCCACCACAAATCCTGCATGACCTGACCTGAGATTGAACCCAGGTCACCATCGTGGTAAGCCAGTGACTAACTGTCTGGGTCTGGGGTGTGATGCTATGTAGTTTGGCAGATGAGTACCAGTGTTACAGAGGAACCTGCAGCCCCCATCTTTACTCTTTCACTCTGAAGATGTAGGCAATAAGTACTTATTTATCTGTCTACCAAGATACAAGGAGCCGGAATAGTCTGTATAGCGACTAGCTACAGGCTGGACGACCAAGGGGTTGGAGTTCGTGTCCCAGTAGGGTCAAGAATTTTCTCTTTTCCTCTTCATCTAGACCAGCTTTGGTGTGAACCCAACCTATCCAATGGGTACTGGGGGCTCTTTCCCTGGGGGTAAAGCAGCAGGGTTGTGAAGCTGACCACTCACCTCCAGCTGGTGCCAAGGTCAAATGTGGATCTATACATCCACTCCTTCATATGCCTTCATGGTGTAGTGATAAATTAGTTAAGTATATGGACAATTTTATTTATCAAGATATAAGATATCACATCCTAAGAGACCTTCATATTGATGAAACAGTGATTTCAACTAGTGACTGTACTTGAAACAGAAAATCTGTTATGTAACTGTGGTCACATTGCTCCCAGCACCCCTGAAGCTGCCCTACTTCCCAGCCCACCATCTTTAGGGGAAGGGAATAGCAAAGGATCTGCATATATCCAAACAAACTGCAAAAGGTACTTACAAGTATCACCAAGTGACTGTCTTTAAGACTACTTTCACAAAGCATTTTTAGAAAGCAGTTGACCTTGTGTGAACTTAAATAATAAAAATTCCCCTGTGGTATTTTGGACAGAAGAGGGCACACAGTAGTGTAGTTGGTTGAGGCATATGCTAAAAGTTGGAGTGTCATGGGTTCAATTCCCAATGAGGTCATTGTATTTTTCAATTGACGTGATCCTTCCAGCCGCACTATGGCCCTGGGGTCGACTTAGCCTCTAACAAAAGTGAGTATCAGGAATCTTCCTGGGGGGTAAAGGGTGGCTGGCATGCAAGGACGACAATGTTGCCACCATCTGTGAACTGACTGTCTAGAAAATGTATGAGCCTCAAAGGCTCACAGCCCTATGGACCTCCATGGCCGGTTACAGGGATAAATAATAATTTTGGACATAACAGCTGTAAATGATCCACAGAAACAAGGATGTTAAAGGATGAGTCCTTGATTATAAGGTAAACTTACAGTTTTTCCTTCATATCTGTAATCTTTAGGTGCAGCCTCTTCAACTCAGCCTGTGTTTCTTCGTGTGCAAGCTTCTGATCAAGCATTTCCTTGCGACATGATGACAGAAGATTCTCCAGGGTTGCAATTGATTCATGGCTCTTAGTCAGTTTCTCATGCAGCACCTTCTGTTCGTCACGAAGTCGTGCCAACTCTGTCTCCAGCTGACATCACAGAATAAAATGTAATTACAAAAAAGGAAATAAAAGTAAATGGTGAAGTTAAGTGAAAATGGAAAACTGTTTGCCCCTGTCCTATGGGCATCCAAATTACAGAATTTTGGGATAAATATTACATCTTCTGTAATATAAAATGCAAAACAATAAATTCGGACAAAACTATTTCTTTAAAGAAATCATTATTTGTCATGAAGTTCAGATCACATGTTTATGTGTATGTGGCAGTGGGGAATGGTATGGGTAATACTCTTGTCTCAGTTTACATGGTATAATGTATTACCATGATCTAACATGTCTAGAAATATGTCATATGTAAATAGTATACTTAGGGCAGTCAAAAAGTTCCCAGAATTCCCTTGCAGACTGAGAATGAGCGATAAGATAGCGCACACACTGTTGTGGTGGGAACTTCAGCATGTCTGCTTGAAGGCGCAACAGGTCTGGACAGTGTGCAGTGTCATTACTGTTCCGTTTGAAGTAGACGTGAATGTTGGTCATTCGGCGCAATGTCACAGATCGAACAGCGTGTGAACATCACGTTCATGTGCAAATTGGAAAAATCTGCTTCAGAGATGCTATTGGTCCTGCAGCAAGTTTATGGTGATACTGCACTAAAGAAATCTGCAGTTTATGACTGGTTTTTGGGGTTTAAGAATGGGCAGATGTTAGAGGATGACCAGAGCAGTGGGAGACCTTCGACATCCAGAACCAAAGAAACGATTGGAAAAGTGCGACAACAGATTCGATGTGATCGCAGAAAGACCATTGCGGAGTTGGAGCAAGAAGTTGGTACTGTTACTGGCCATTTCTATGTGCAAGTTCTGCAGAGGTTGTGCAATGCGGTTCAGAGGAAGCAGCTCAACAAGTGGCAGGGACAGTGGCTTCTGCATCACGGTAATGCACTGAGCCACACATCGTTTGTTGTGCAGCAATTTCTTGCTGAGAAAAATATTCCTGTCATCACTCAATCACTGTACTCTCTAGATCTTGCCCCGAGTGACTTTTGGCTGTTCCCTACTCTGAAAATGGGCCTCAAGGGGACATGTTTCGCAATCATGGAGGACATCAAAACGAATGCGATGACTGAGCTTCGGAAGATTCCAAAAGAAGACTTCCACTGCTGCTTCCAACAATTGCAGGATCAATGGAGCAAGTGTGTGTGCGCGCAAGGGTCCTACTTTGAAGGTGATTAGGTAAGCGTTGCTGCATGTCCTACCATAAGAGTGCATACCACCATTCCGGGAACTTTTTGACTGCCCTCATATACAGAGTGTCCCAAGAGGGACTTCGGGAGTGTGTTCCTTATGTTAAAGTAAGCTGATATAACCAAGAACACTTATGTCCAAAGTTGAACGGTTATGGAGATAATGGCCAGAAAAGTGCAAAACTTTGACAGGTGTTACACAATTGTTGATTACCAAATACATATTAAAACTGGCAGGAATATGTTGTTTCTGTAACGTTAATAATGTATGCAACATCAAACTAACTTGTAACTGACATGAAGCCATTAAATTGAACTACAAAAAAACTCACACGCCATGTCATAGTTGTCCTTAGGGTTCCAAGTACTATACATGACACATGGATGGCAAGCACTGACATAACATGGCTGACTGTGCATTCTGGTATAAGCTTAAGCTTACGGCTAGTGTGAGCCATCATCACCACACTCAAGGACAAACATCGATAAGATGTGTCAGATGACAGGTACAGTGCATGGACCCGCCAGAAGACCACACTTTTCTCGGGCCATTATCTCTGTAACCGTTCAACTTTGGACATAGGTATTTTGGGTTATATCGGCATACTTTAACATAAGGAACACCCTCCCAAAGTCTGGCATATTCCTCCTGGGACACTCTGTATAAGAGAGCACAGAAAAGAACTGTGTAAAAAGTGTGTTTTAGCCTATTTCCCTTGTTTTGAAAAAATAAAGGGATAAGTATAAGATCACTCTGTGTATCTGCCTGTTTGTGCATTGCACCCTAATTTTTTAAAGGTTGGTTGGTTGTGTAAAATACTGCTGGACTTCGTCAATACAGTCATTCTTTGGTTCTGAGTCCTGTGGGACTCAAGGCAATATTTTACAATCTCTGAAAGTCCAGTTGGGTAAATTTCTGATGGCCCTCATCAGTATAGTCATTATTGGTTCTGAGTCCTGCACGATTCATGACCCTGGCAGTAGTGCACCTTTCCCATTTCTGAAAGCCAGAGATTGTCCTATTTATATGATTTTGGGGCGGACCACAGAGAAAACACTGCCTCCACCAGCTGAATGTGTCATTATTTATGCGGTCTGTGTCATTTCAAAGGAAAGTAGGTGAGTAGTTCTTCCAATAAGTTCTTGTTATTTGTTACTGTTATCATTGGCAGTCAGGTTATTGGACCTGAATCAGTGACATCCAAACCTGCATCTTAGTGAGGCCGCTCTCAGTAACTTGCTGCATTAAGTTGTCTTTTTGAGTGTCCAGTTTGGTACACAAATCTCGCACGACACTTAAGTCCTCTTCTGTACGATGTCTTTGGGTACTTTCTTCATGTATCTGAGTTTCAAGTCGAGCAATATTTCCAGACAATTCTGCTATCTGAAATTAAACCGAAAGTTAGTCTAACACAAACTGCAAAATTAAAATATTCATTATTATGATCAGAGTTAAAATGTTTATTAATGCCATGTTTACATGGCAAATGTAGGTCATAAAAAATATTTCAAGCTAAATTCCACAAATGTGTATATTAACATGTTTACTTGGTAGTTAAATTTACAATGGTTTGGTCAAATAAAAAGAATGGATAGAACAAGGATAATAAGAATGGCATTAGAATTAAAATTTAAAGAAAAAACCATGGTATGACTTGCAACAAGATACTTGAGCCAGGTACTGAGAGATGTCACAAAGAGAGGAAAATAAAAAGGAAAAACTATGGGAAGAAAGAAGACAATAAACACTTTTTTACCACTGACCCATATGAAACATGAATGATGTTAGAAGAAAAATATAAAGACAAGTGTAATTACATGATAATGGAAGATGTCCGACAAAGATGTCAGCATCTTCATCATGGATCTTTAGTCTCATATAATTCTGTATACGGGCAAGCTACAAATGATGTTATTGAACCAAACTGTATCTTCAGAAAGCTTTAGTGGTGAGACAATCTGTATACTCGTAAAAATGAGATGAAACTACATAGTACACAAACCTGGCGTTCGCAGCTGTTCACCAGCGTATCTTTAGTCTCTAGCAGGTGCTCCAGGTCAGTGATACGGTCTTTAGCAATACGCAGCTGCATTCTGGTATCCTGCACTTCTGTCTCTAGACTGTGGTTATTACTTTCCAAGGCAGATGCCTCCACACTCAAGCTGCGAAAATGATCCAGCATCTCATTTCTTTCCCCCTCCTGAGAACAAGAAATATATTTATTATGAATCTGATTCATTTATATGTCTTGGTTCACCCACAACATTTTATAGACAGACAGTGTCACTCTGCATTCATTGGCAATGAGGAATGCCTTTAAACAAACTGCCATCATGTCTCTCAAAAATAAAACTCCCAAGGCCTAGAACTATATCATCATATCGGTTCACGAAAATATCTGAATACAATTTGTAGGTCTACTCATAAATTCTCAACACAGTCCACATGTCACTTCTTTGGAAAGCAAACTCAAAACTGCAATACTATTATCTACATCGGTACTTCTCAGCACAAAGAGCTGATTAGCTCAAAATTTATAGAAACCCTTAAATTTTTCATCATATCAAGTCTGACCCCTTGTTTGTTCTCACCACAGAAGTTCGAAGGGTACAATGTCAGAATCACTGCATATAAGACCCTAAACACACTATCACCATGCAAACAATGTTGTACATAAAATTTTTGTTACACACAATAGGATTTACACTTTTTCAGCTACATGTTTTTACCTATTCAGCCATCATCAGGCCTTCTTATATGCCCCTGCACTATAAAACTATTATCACAGCTGTTACAGGAATAGATATAGATCTCTGTTAAACCCAATACACAAATTCTTAAGTTATCAATGTAATGTTAAATTAAATTGATTTTAAAAACACAGGTCTCCAACAACACAACCTTTCAACAATTCATAAAAATCAGTACATCCATATACAAATTATTACAAAAAGTAAAAACCCCTACACAGAAGGGTCATCATGCATGGTTCCATAAGGTTTTTTTTTCCTTTCAAAACCATTACATATACAGAATAAACAAATAAAAGGAAATGCAAAAATAAAAGGGAGTTCCAAACAAAATACATAAAGCATACTTTTCTCTTGCATGGATTATAATTAGGACTGATAATTATCAGTCCTAATGTTAGGGAGTAAGACAGTGAGTGGGTGGGTGGTGGGGGAATACATGAATGAGTAGGTTCAGAGATGGGCTAGTGGCAATGGCTGTTCGTGCATATATTGCCCCATAACTCTATTACCAAAATAATTATTATTTAATTAATATTTTGTGAAGAACTTATCACTTAAACACAAATGCTATACAGAATAAATTTCTTCGATATAACCTCAAAGTTTCATACTGTTCCCAGGTTCGATTTTGCTGACTTGTAGGTATCTTAATCACGTATCTCCACACCAAATTTCATACACTTAACTCCAATGGTTCTTTAGGTATCACCATAAAACCAAACATATTCATGTAATTGTCATTTTGTTGTTTTACATTCTACAGAAAACAATTAACTCAACAAAAGCTGCATATTTTTTAAAAGACCTATTTATCTACCTACCTACCTACAACTTGGCACTACAGCCCTGGATGAGCCTTGGCCTCCTAAAAGACCTCTTTATATATATTATTTTATGAACCTACATTTAGTAATGTTAGTATCACTCTCACCTCACAGGCTGACATGTCTGCCATGCTGTTATTACTAATTGTAAGAAATTTAAAAATAAGATACTGAAATGGCCTCCAATGGCATAACATTCATAAGAAGTTTTGTAGAAGCTAGTCATTTGGTTTGGAAGTTGAAAAGAGACACACAGAGACACACAGACACAGCACTGTGATTGCATAAACCCATTTTATTTCCTCAAGAAGGAAAAGTTCACTACAATGGACTGTAAATGGAGCTCCAGATAGTTTGCATACCTTCTTTGCAAGCAGCTCTTCCACACGTCTCACTTCTGACACATATTCCTGTAACTGATGTTTTAAGTTTTCTACTTCCCGACGAGAGGATTCAAGGTCACTGTTGGCTCGCCGAAGGTTCTCTGTGATATTTGCCAAGTCAGAATGAAGGAGCCTGTCAAAATGACATACATATTTTTCTGTAAGGGTGACACAAATGTTTAGGAGAAATATGACTACGATAAAAGATAAAGCTATCCTTTTAAAATGCCATGGAGGCCCATAGGGGTGTAAGAGGTCAAGGCTCCCACATTTTCTAGACAATCAGCTCACAGATGGAGGTGAGGGTATCAGCCAAAAACATATAGTGTTTATAAAGCCAATGTGAAACTTCTAAGTTTAAAGGTATTATATGAGAGAATTAATCATTGCAATTCAGAGATAAAGACAGTGCAACACTGCAACAAAACATTCCCCATTGACTGCTGTTCCTTCATACATATGTACACAAAAGGGGGCAATGTACAACTTGTCTCTTCCCTGAAAGTAGCAATCATTGAATTTCTGACTTGTGTGGAACAGTTAATCATAAACAATGTCATCTCTTTAAGAAACCCAGCACAGATAATCATAAAAAATGTCATCTCTTTAAGCAACCCAGCAAACTGTCGACATTTGGTATAAAATATTCACAAAATTCTAACTGTACTTTGAATTTTGAAGCTGTAAAATAACCTTATAAATCTGTGTACATATATTACATATTCTTGTCTCTAGGCTTTTGTGAAGATGTGACTGCACAAAACAAGAGTGGGATTTTATTCAAAAGGAGCGATGACATGGTTTAATGAAGACGTGGTGAAGAATATGTTGACAAACATGTGGTCCTCAAAAGTGCGATGAAAAATGTTTCAGCAACAAGAGGTAACAGGGTTACTAAAACATTTTTCATTTAAGCAGTGATGATTACCAATTTTTATTATTCACAATTCTGAGCCATGCTAAGTCACACCTGCAACAAAATTTACTGACATCAGACAGAGTATGCCTACATTAGAAGAAGAGGCAAGTTTTATGGACTCTCGATATATTTACTTTCAGGCTTCATTATTGAGATCCAACACAATTCAAAACGCAATTTCTTTCAGCTGTCCCTCTGTTAAATTAATTAAGCACTATGTCATGATGACATATGGGTGAATGGAGGTGTAGCTCCACCTTTCTTGACCTCAGCATTACATGGAGGAGAGTGGTCAGCTTCACACTCTGGCTGCTTTACCCCCAGGGAAAGAGCCCCCTGTACCAATTTGATAGGAGACTGGGTGGGCCTCAGACCCAGCCTGGAAGCTGTGGAGAAGAGAAAAATCTTGCCCCTGTCAGGAATCAAATGCCAGGTGTCCAGCATGTAGCCCACTGCTATACCAAATGAGCTATGTCAACTCCTATTCAAAATGCAATATATAACTCAATCACGGTAATAAAAGATTGCAAGTATTGCCAGTTTCTTTGTGGATGTAACTTATGTTTAATGTTTTAAACCTACCTGCTCTCAGCAAGGGCGGATTCCCTGGCTTGTTCCAACATTTTCAGCTCATGCCGCAGGCTCTTTGCATCCTGTTCAATAGATCTTGCTTTTGCATCTCTTGAGGCAATATCATCCATTGCAGTGCTATTTTGTGAATACATAATTAAGTAATACATACTGATGAATTCAAGGTTTACAAGAAGAAATCACTGTGGATAAACTCTCTGAATTAGTTAACATTAAGAGAGAGTTAATTTGTTAAAATGTATAATTTCCAATCCTTTTTATTTCCATCTTCACTCCTACCAGCTACAAAGTAAGCTGTTATAAAAAAAACCACATGCACACACGCACGCCCCCCCCCCACATGCGCCCACACACACACACACACACACATTGGCATAGAATAATATTGTGACGGAATATTACCATTTGCTAAGCAATGACGCGGTAAACACCGCCTAAAAGCTGGACTAGTGCAGCCAGACAAGGGATTACCCATTTTACTAGGTAAGGGTTCATGCCTGTTTCCGAGACAGAAGATTCATGAAGAGCAACAATGGAATCCTTGGAGGTGCTGATCTCTATTCGGTTCTCTCGCAGTTATAAAAGGACGTTCGTTCATGAATTCAATTCAGTCAGAGATTTTACAGAGCATTCACACAGAAGTCATAATTCATCCGTAAGAGAATTCAGAAGGAGTTCAATGTGTGAGCTGTTATAATTGGTTGTAATTGTAAAGAAATGCCAATAAACCTAATCATCAAACGCAGAACCCATTATTATTAGTCACGCAAAACATGATACATGACAGTATAAAACAGATGCCATCTGTTGTTCCTGTATGCAAACTACTGAAAGAGATATCAAGGAACAGAAAGAGCAAAGATATAACATTCAGAACACGATCATGTAATATGCCAATAAATTCATATGTTTGATGGAAGGCTTCCAACAGGTGGGATGTTCACGAAGTAAACAATGATACAGGTCTTCTTAGAGAGGATAGGAAATAGTTCATACTTCTAACTGATGATGAAAACAACAGAAGCTCTCAATTACTGACATCTCCTATGACTATAAAATTAGAATAACCCAACCATTACACAATCAGAAAGCATATTTTAAGTTAAAAATCTGAACCTGATATGAAGATGAGGTTTGAAAATTCAAATTGTAGTCTTCTCTCAGAGGAATTTGCTGCATTATTCCTAATGGTAAGAGCAGAAGGAACATGATGAAGGGTGTAAATCCTTCCAGAACACCAATAACCATCTATGGAGATTGCATGGTGTCATAATGAGAAGTACACAATTTGTATCTGTTAAGATGAACTTCCCCCTCATTGGTGTCTCCACCTTATCGTGGTGAGGGGCTTTGAGTATGCCAAGGACCCTGAGAGCTATACCAGCGGTAGTGTAGCTACTGGCAAGGCCTCCCTTGTTGGACAGGTCAAACGGCAGGCATCAGACGAAGAGAGACATCAAAAACTAAAAACTGATGCTGGAAGCGGCATCATCAGCAGCAACTTGAAGCACGGAGCAAATGATGCTCGAGATGGTTCAAGGTCATATAGCAACAGGCATGACCAGAGTGGTTTGAATGGCTGCTGTACTGCGATGTGGAAAGCAAATGGATAAACTACCATATTATCACTTTTCCTGGATAGTCTCTTCCAAAAAACAGAGACACCATGTATGCAAACCAGAAGACGAGGCAGAAGACGTAAGAAGATGCTGGATGACCTTGGGGACAGAAGAGGATATTCTCATTTGAAGGAGAAAGCTCTAGATCGCATTAAGTGGAGGAACTGTTTTGGAAGAGACTGTGGACCTGTCGTCTGACAGATTACTGACGAATGAATGAAGACGAACTTGTGATGTGTGGTATTGCTCTACTAATTATCATATTTTCACTTCTGTCCCAATTATATTAATCAGGAATTATAATTTAATTGTGTTCACAAGCAACCCAGTATGGATCTATATTGATTTATGTTCTGACTTTCAATTTGGAAGAGTAAAGTACAAGTTTTTGAATTTCTGCAATTAGAAGCAAATAGCGCTTGATATGGAGTATGTTCATAATCACTACGTTGCATTCACTTAAGAAGTACCACAGTACTAATACAATCCTCTAAAGATCTGTGACTTTGATGTATCCATTATATGTATATGTTATGTTGGACATTGTTCATCGTCCTATGTCTATTAAAGTAGACAAACTTTCAGAAACTGGGTCTGCTTTCATCATTAGGTGCAATAGGGGAAATGTTACTACCCAGTCAAGGCCATTAGAAAGAGCACAGTGATTAGGACTAGCTCTGTGTAATGGGCCCAACTGGATAGGATCTTCTTCTCTTTTACCCCTGATGATGGAAGCAGAATCAGCTTCTGGAACATAGTATAATTTTAAAATACATCTATGATGATGAGCGCTGTCCAACATAGCTGTATGATTAAATATGATGATTATGATGAGTGAACTGACAGTAGGTATAGTGACCATGACCTATTTAAATAACACTTTCTTTCCTTCCAGGAAGCCAGGCAAGAATGTTACATCATACATCAGTGGCTTAGAATTTAAATTAAAACTTCTGGTTGGCTAACAGCAAGGGCATATATGTTTTACATGTGTTGCCTCACATACAGATCACAAGTCATAAACTGACCTCAAATACGGAGAGCCAACTGGGTCATCTAAGTGGGAAAATCACAGTAAAGTCACTTCACTTTCACTGCTGGGAAGTCTTATGAAATAAATACCATGAGGAACACACAAATGATCATGGTAACTGGCTTTAATGCAAAGAATAGGAATGAAGAAATTAAATAGGCAACAGGAATACCGTGTTGTAGCAACAGGGTGTTTGCAATATTAGTGCTGTATCTCGACAAAGCAACAGGAAACACAACTGGTTATTCAAAGATTTGAGCCATGAATGCAGTATATCTGATGAGGTGAACTGGTAAACAGAAGAGATTTTATAAATATTAAAATGACTGAACCATTATTTAATGTGTTTGTGTTATGTTGACTGGTTTCAATCGTTTTTGAGACTAGGCATGTATGGGACTTGTTCCACATCCAATGGCATTTTAGCCCCTCTGGATCTATGGAATTGGAAATAAATATGAAATGAAATCTGGGGCTCTCATGATCATGAACACTAAGATTGCAGCCTTCTGGGATGTGACACTGTGTAGTGTGGTGGAGGGGTAGCAACGTTTTGGAGGAACTGACTTCTTCCGTCCTGAATAAGGAGGCAGCATGTTTCTCTGACACATTAGTAACCAACCACCATGCTATACGGCATCACATCTTGTATTCAAACTTACGTTCTTGTGCAGTAATTGGCAACAAGGGCGATTTTGCAAATGTTGGATCATATGACTACACAATTCAATAGTCTTGTGTCAGTCACTGGGATTCAGTTTGCTCCATGTTACAGTGTACCACACTTGGTATATAAACAGATGGTATTTTTGCCACAAGCCTGGTGAAACATGGCCACCAATACAGAAAATGCATGTACAGAAACTCAACTTTGCTTTCTTGCAAATGTTATGGAAAAACAGCTTAAGATGATGGGTTAGAACCATTCCTGGATGGGCATTTTCTTTGTGGTAGAATTGTCACTGTGTTTAATTAAGCACCATGCCATGAAGATATATGGCACATACAGAATTATCCTTAATGTCACCGTTAGATGGACGTGAATGGTCAGCTTCACACCCTAGATGCTTCACAGGGAGAAGCCCTCCCCCCACCCATTGGTGAGGAGTCTGGATCGGTACCAGAGCCACTCTGGATAAACTGGTAAAAAGACACATCTCTACCCAGGCCAGGAATCGAACGCCAATTTTCTGTTCATCCAGCCAATACTCTGTGTCACACTGACTCTCATGCAAAAAGGGTGAAATGTGATTGTCAGAAACTTTGTGGACTGGAATGCCACTACACTTATTTCTTGTGGGCATAGGAGCTGGTGGGTGGGGGGAGCCCCCCTGGATTTTTAGAAGACAATCAAAATTTAAAAAGAAGGAAATATACCACATAATAAAAATTAAAATTACTTATAAAATCATTATTTTAATGTGAATACCTGGGACAATCAGTACTTAAAGGACTTACACATAAGTTTGTAAGAAGATTTCCTGGCTGTNCCATGATTTTGGACTTGAAGAATTTTTTAATTTTTTAACCTTTAAAACGACCAAGGAATATAAATGTCTGGAAAACTTTGCTATAAAGAACTACAACAAAGTCTCTATACAGAGGGCGAACTCATTGTGATATGGGACAATCAGAGTTGAAGGGAGAGAATCGTCCATCTCTTCAAACACGAGCGTGTGCTCGTAAAATAATTTTCTGTAGATCTGGCTTTTCATTTGAAATCCAAAACCTAAGAAAAAATTTCAACAAACAACCCAAGAAGTCAACAAAACATTTGGCGCACACAGTTAAGATGGAGGGACCAATATACTCTTCAGGAAGACAGAAAAGACCAATCGTGGCTTAATTCATGAAGATGGTGACGCTGATCTGATATCTAGCATATCTTGCACAGAGAGATATTTTCACTTCTGCGCCTCATGGCTCTTACTGAAGCGTTCATGATGTATTGGTTACAAATGCTAGAATTATACAGCATGCTAAAGATGTCCACAGTCACACTGCCAAGGTCGGACGCGTGCTATTTTATTATTCTGTTCACATAATTATTACGCGAGAATTGACTACCAAGAAAGTCCCACTGATACACGACAAAATTTCTGGGTTGTGCATTTGGCAACAGGATGTAAGATAAAATACATTATAGCGAGTATAGGGGCAGCCATGATGGAAAATGGAGTATAGGGGCAGCCATGATGGAAAATGCATCTTAATGTACATAATATTCTGTCAGCCCACTTTGAGACAGTGACTTTGCGGTTCTAATGGCGATAACTATGAAAAGTACGGTCTTCTGGGTTTTGACGCCGTGTAGTTTAGAAACAGCCAGACGTTTCGGAGGAAAAAAATAGCCTCCATATTGAGTGTCGAAGAGTAAAGCCAAGCAATAAACTAGCAAAAAATAAAAAAACCTTGGCTTATTTTTCAAGTCTATTGATGGAGGCGGTAGGTTCCTCCGAAATTTTGGACTCTCTCTGAAATGCACTGTCTTAAACCCAGAAGATCGTATTTCGGTATGTTGATTTGACTTGTATTTCGGAGGTGCCAGTTCGAATTATCACGTGGTTTTCATGTCTTGCCTCACTCCTACTGGCAGATCTCGGGACAGTACTGCAGTTTGGCCAAGACCGCTTCCTGTCAAACATTTTCCAATTCATGATTCATTAATCATCCCACCATTCGACGCTACATAACCTGCGCCATTTTACAGCACCATTAAAGAAACAACAAATAAACAATCAAGAGATGCAGATCAAGAGAGAAAATAAATGCGTTTAGATTCCGGTAGAAAAAAGCTATCTCTGTAACAGGCCGTGGAGGTCCACGGGGCTGTGAGACGTCGAGGTTCCCACATTTTCTAGACAATCGGCTCACAGATGGCGGTGAGGTTGTCAGCCTTATACGCCGGCCGCCCTTTACTCCCAGGAAGATTCCTGGTACTCATTTCTGTTAAAGGCTGAGTCAACCCCAGGGCCATAGTGCGGCTGGAAGGATTAGGTTAATTGAAAAATCCAATGACTTCATCGGGAATCGAACCCGCGACCTTCCGGCTTGTAGCATAGTGCCTCAACCAAGTACGCTACCTGCGTACCCCATTTATATTCTGGTTGCATAACGAATCGATTTATAATAAATAAAGTGTAAATTTCGTTAATTTATCATTCTCCAGAAGTAATGTTTAATATCCTGTATACTTTTCTCGCGACTAGTAACTACTGGGATGGAACTTAAAGAATACAAACTTAATGTAATGCAGGAAATAACAACTGACAAGAGAAAGTCTTAAAGCCACTCGTCATGAGCGATTTTCAGTAATTACTTCCTGTTGCTAAATACGCATTATTAACCTACGATAATTAAAATGCGCAGTAAAAAGTAAAGGTAAAGCTATCCCTGTAACAGTCCGTGAAGGCCCGTAGGGTTGTGAGACGTCGAGGCTCCCACATTATCTAGATGGCAATAAGGTTGCCAACCTTACGCACCGGCTGCGCTTTACTCCCCAGGAAAATTATTTAATTAATTCCTGGTACTCATTTCTGTTAGAGACTGAGTCAACCCCAGGGACACAGTGCGGCTTGTAGGGCAACATAAACAAAAATATATGGGGGTTCTAACGCATTATTTGTAACAAAAAAAGCTATCCCTGTGCTTAACTAATTAAGTACTGTGCCATGAAGACGTATGGGGGAGTTGATGTACTCGTATATATCCACGTTTCCTTGACCTTGGCATTATTTGGAGGCGAGTGGTCAGCTTTACACCCCGGCCGCTTTACCCCCAATACCCATTGGATAGGAGGCTGGGTGGGTTCCAGAGCCGGTCTGGACGTTGCGGATAGGAGAAAATTCTAGACCCTATCGGTATTTGAGCGCCGGTCACGGTAGCCGAACGGTCTAAGGCGTTCACTGTCTTCGCTCGCTCGGAAGCCGGGATCGTGGGTTCGAATCCCACTCAGGGCATGGATGTTTGTGTGCGTTTTTCTGTGTTTGTCTACAGGTAGAGGCCTTGCGACGAGGACAAGGAGTCCTACCGTATGTGTACGATCTAGTAAACCGAAGTGAAACGGAGAGTTTCATGGAGGTAGGCCCAAATTGGGGCTGTAGCGCCACATAAAAAAAAAAAATCGGTATTTGAACGCCGATCCCTCGGTCATCCAGCTATCCCGGTCCTAAAATGAGCAATCTCATAGAAGCTGATCTCATAAAGAGAACTAAGTTGCAAGCTGAACGGTACTACAACTGTAAACAAACATATACTAAGTTTTCGTCAACACTTCTTTATTGGAGAATCAGATTTCACTTTCACCTTCCTTTTAAGCCACAAGAGAAAGTAATCTAGGCTTACTCTCTCGTTCCCTCCTCTTTCTCCGGGGCTACACAAACCTCGCGATGACCGCGTACTCATCATCACAACAGGTTAGCATCTGTTACAAGGAGCGCTTATGAGCTTACCATTACTTCCTAAAGCGCCACCTACACATCCAGTCAGTCATTAACGCACGGTTTTTCAAACCGTGGCTCGCAACACCCACGAGGTCGAGACATACTCCAAAAGACGGTTGTATCCAAGCACGGTTTTCAAAAGTACGTAAGATTTAACACAGGTGCTTTGGGAGTCGGGATAGCTCAGTCGGTATAGCTACTGCCTGGTTCGATTCCCGGCAGAAGTAAGAATTTCTCTTCTTCATATTGCCCTGGACGACTCTGGGACCCATCCAGCCTCCAAACCAGAAGCTTTTTTTTCCTGGGGGTAAAGCGGGTAAGACGTGAAACTGACAACTTACCTCCATCTAGCGCCGACGTCAAAAATGGCGGAGCTATGTCTCTACTCCCCACATACGCCTTCTTAGCATAGTGTTCAATTAATTAAGCACAGGGAAAACTTCACGTTTACAGGTGATTTCGGAAAATGTATCTGCAGCGACAGTGCTCAGGGGATAAGATTAGGTAGGCCGCACACCGGCATGCGTCAACACATGTAACAGTCAAGACACGATGTCTGCGACATGAGGCAAAGAAAGGAGCACAGTTGAAACGAATGGGATTATGAAAACCGCCGCACACCGGTCTGAGTCATTATGCTGACGAATCACGAATTAAGCAAGACTGCGTCTTTTGTCTCATGTCTTGATGCTTGTCTTGACGCAGTTGGTGTGCGGCCGCCCTTACACAGACAAAAGACTAAGTCCTCAGCAAGAATTTCTCATACGGCTGCCTCCTTAGGTCCGCTGGAAATTCCAGCCACGTCGTATCTTTAAATCTGTAAGACGGGTAAGATTCCAGCCAAGACCCACCATTGTTGCTACGTTTATCCGCTTGTACAAGCCTTGTATTTCAGACTGGGGAGGCGAGACAGCTCACATGTAACGGATTTATCTCTTCTTCGCCAGGAATAGCGACGGGCTGGAAGGCAGGGGTTCGGCCCCCGGCTCTGGGGCCCACCTAGCGTACAGGGGGTAAAGAGAGGCCGAAATTTCATGTCATATTCAGCTTGCCCTTTCCGTTAAGCAAAGCAATTAACATTGAGGTCGTCCCAATCCATCGTGAAACAATGTTTTAGTTGATTCTTGGCATATTTAAAGACGTTCTCAATAGATGAGGTATACGGTGTACAATGATCGGAAGGCTGCAATCGTGAGAGCCACCGGGGTTTGTTTTCCAGGACATATTAAGAAATCTGTTTACAAACTTAAGTTTAAGATACTGAAGACTACTTTTACTGATCGCCATAGAGTATTCAGGGTACAACATATTTTTAAAATAATTTAAAATTTTGGTATTAATATTTGGCATACTCGTATATCTTTCCTTTTCAAATTTTGTTTTGTTTCCAAAAATCCAGGGGGTGGCAGATGTCTACCCGCCCCTCTCTCCTCCTCCTGTAAAAAAAATCCGTGGCCTGTAGTCCGCAAGCGAACTATACCGTTAGCGACCGCCGTTTGTTGGCGAAGTTAGTGCCAACTTTTGCGGATAGAGGGTGTCAGGTGGTCAGCACAACGAATCCCCACGGCCGTTAATCTCGGTTTTCTAGACCGGGGCCACTATTTCCTTAATAAGCTCCTCAATTGTCCTCACGAGGCTGAGTGGACCCCGTTCCAGACCCACTACCTCTGAAAAAACTGGTAGCGCCGGGAATTGAACCCAGACATCTGAATCTGTAGCCAGGAACTCTGACCACTAGACCACAGATGCGGCCCTTGTTCTCCCGTCACTTAAGGTTAAAGCGAATAATCAATTATAAAAGTTTTGCGGCCTAATTTAAGGTACTATCCCACCATATGCCTACAGTTACTGAGGAAAACCACAACAGTCAAGATAGTCTGCCACCTGGGCGAGAAACCAAACGGAGAACCTCAGAAGCATCAACACTTGAGCCAAAGAACTCAGTACAGTGAGTGGCCTTACTGGGAGGAAAAGTTAATACGCAACTGTACTATGCCTGAAGCACATTCTACAAGCGGTGGAGTTTATTGAGGTGGTGGACGCAGAGACATTAACATGCCTTACGTACTTCCGGTGGAGCCAGAAGACAGAGGTGGGGCAGAGACGCAAGACCGACAAAGTAACCATCCAGCTTTTCAGTATGGCGTAGGCTGGCCCTAAGCAAGGCAACAACATGCAAACAGCTCTCCACGTGAGCAGGGATAGAATCAGTCTCGTCACTGGATAAAACAACCAAGCAGGTAGGTACAGTAGACTGATCAAGTAAAGGAGGATGAAATGGTCAGGGCGTGTAGCACGCATCAAAACGAGCAATGCATACAGGGTTTTGGCGAGAAAGCCCCCACACGAGACACCACTAGAAAGATGTGTAAAGTAAAAGTAAAGCTATCCCTGTAACAGGCCGTGGAGGCACATAGGGTTGCGAGATGTTGAGGTTCCCACATTTTCTAGACAATCGGCTCATAGATGGCGGTAAGGTTGTTAGCCTTACGCGCCGGCCGCCCTTTACGCCCAAGAATATTCCTGATACTCATTTCTGTTAGATGCTGAGTCGACCACAGGGCCATAGCGCGGATGTAGTTAGTTAGTTATTGGAGAGGGTGGGTTTCCCCATGCACTGAGACCAGTATTGGTCCATTGTGCTTCCCTCTATGATATTCTACCAGTCTCTATACCCTACCGAGATTGGTGCGTACCATCAGTCCCGACCGAGCCAGCGACTTCGGCCTCTACTGGCTTGGCGGTATCTACAATGCTTCCCCCATCTATCAGAGGCGTTAGAGACTACTGTTGGGCGGGAAATGTCCTTGAATTTGGCTCAGTGACCTCCTTTGGAGATATTAGGTCCTTTTACGTGCCGTAAAGCTACGACACGGGACCCACGGCTTAAAGTCCCTCCCGGAGGACCTGTTCCCTGAATTTTTCCGCCCTTTAAAAATTCCACGACCTCCGCCGGGTTTGAACCCGCGTACCACGAGTCATGAGGTGAGAACGTTACCTCTAGACTACGGAGGCCGCTTAGCGCGTATGTAAGGATTAGGTAAATTGAAAAAAAATCCAACTCATCGGGATTCGATCCCGTGACCTTCCGGCTTGTAACATTGTGCTTCAACCGACTACGCTACCGCGTGCCCCGCAGAAAAACCTGTACGGGTGTATAATATTAAAATGGATCTTAGAGATAGGATGGGATGGTATGGATTAAATTGATTAGGCTTAGGATAGAGACAGTGGCGGGATCTTGTGAATACCGTAATAACCATTCGGGATCTATAAAAATGTTGGGAAATTCTTGAGTAACTGAGCGACTGGTGGCTTCTAAAGGACTCAGCTTCATGGACTTAGGTGGTTCTTCCAGATTCTTTGCGGAGGCTAGATGCGTAACACGAGAACAATGAATGAAGTCACGTCTACTTGCGCAATGTCTGATGAACGATTTCTCTGTCCGTGATCTTGAGACACTGCAATGGCGTGACAGCGTCCAGACGGTTAAGCAGACGCCTTCATCAGGGACGGCGTACGCACAAGTGGCGCACAATGAGACGCTAAACTCCATCGATCGCTCAACTCTCTCAAATATTCTTTACGATTTCACGAAATTTCTATACCCTGTGACGAAAACCGTCTTTGGTGTTTTAATTTTTAACCTAGTTTTATTAAGATTATTGCATAACATGGCTAAATCATTGCCAATTACTTGTCACGATACGTGCAAAACGTCACAATAAATTAATTTTCATTTGCGGTAGAGATAAAGTTGTCCCTGTGCTTAATTAAGCACCGCGTCATGAAGATGCGTGAGGGAGTGTACGTATAGCTCAATGAATTTTTAACCTCGAAATTAAATGTAGTTGTGTGGTTAGCTTCACACCAAGGGCCGCTTTATTCTCGGGGAAACAGCCCCCCTTACTCTTCGGATAGAAAGCTGTTGCGAAGAATTTCTTGTCCTCGCCAGGAATCGAACTTCGTATTCATTGGTCGTCTAGTATGTGGCCTAGTTGATATATTTACTAAGTTATACGGGTTTACATTTTCATTTAAAAAGCTACACTGCCCCTTAAATCAGCTTGGTTCGCCCGTGCGACTCGTGACAAAGACTCATGACAACTACGAAAATAACTACTGGAAAGGGAGAGTGATTTTCGTTGTCGCGGGTGGGAAGCAATTGTTGAACGCCAGACAGCGGACTCGACTGAATGGGAGAAAGTCTATACGGTGACTTCTTATTGTTGTTTGACTTATTTAATGCAGTGTTCCTCAATTCGGGGAATACTTGTTGCCCTTCAGTTCAGAATATTTTTATATAATTTTAGTAAAAAATGATTCTCTTCTGGATTCTCTAAGATGAATAATGAATTGGTAAAGATGCAGAAAGAAATGGTTGTGCCCTAATTTGTGGTAATATACAAGCATTTCGCTGGAGGGTCTGAGGAAAACCATGAAAAACATGTGAGGTTAGCCAATTTCCAGAACAAGATTTTAATTCAGGACCTCCCAAATGGTAGCAAACATAAATAGTTATGAAAAATGATCAAGCAGAAAAATGAATTCTTGTTAACAGGGGATGTTGGGAAGTAGGAGCATAGGCTCTGTGTTCCTGATCTGTGTCGTGTGCCTGCAAGCGGCAGTGTTGCCACCACCCTGGGCAGATCCTGTTCACAACCCGTGTGCAGCCCAGCCTGGTGGATGGCAATTGCTGTTCTGGCCAGCAGATGGGCGGTGCTACAGGATATTTCAGCAAGGTCCCCCTTGTCCTCACACAATGGAACTTGGACCTGGCATTAAAGGGAACGCAGAGTGTCACTGCCCCCCTGGAACTGCCCAGTCACCCCAAGATGCACTGTGTCATATGCTCTTTAAGCGTGGACCATGTCCTCAAGGGCAGTATTTTGCCCCTGTCTCAGACAAGCCAGGAAAATCTAGCATCAGGTAACGTACACTTAGAGAAATGTTAACTTCTTGTTCTGAGATGAAGCCCAGAAACAGATTGAGGATGTGATAATATGTATCATGTTTATTACCTGAATTTGGATTGAATTACATTGATATTTTATTTTACAATGTGGAGAAGAGAAAAAACTCTTGTCCCTGCCAGGAATGAAACCGTAGGTATTCTTGAATATGGGAACATGTTTACAGAAATAAATGTAGGTTTCTGAAACTTTACAACATAACGGACCCTTAAATGAAATGTAACTGTAATTTTGATATCGTTTTTTGCTTTCATTATCCAGTTTTTATTCCCACATAAAAGTGCCAGTAAAGCTAGGGTATTAAACATTTTTATTCTAGCGCATTCCTGGACTTTTGACGGCTTAAAAGTTGTGCTCCTGAGGTCTATTACTTTGAATTAACACAAACTGTACATAACTATTACAGCAGTGACAGTGTCTGGACAAGACGGGGAACCTGTCGTGTGCCTGATCAATGTCTGGAGCCTGGTCACGTGTTCTGGGCGAGAGATGAAATGTGTTATGCACAATACACAAGGGGACCTTGCCCTAAGGGGGAGCTCCTTACAGACATAGGAAGTGGAGGAATTGCAGAATGCAAGTGCAGATCAACAGGTGCACTTGGGCAATATTACTGGGCTTCAGGAGACAGCTGTCACGAGCACTTCACACGAGGGCCCTGTCTGGAGAAAGGAACATTATTCCTGCCTGGTGGTCAATGTGGCTGTAATAAGGACCTTCCACATTATGATGCAAACACAGGACTGTGCTATGAAATTGGTGAGAGAAAATGTTCTTACTTGTATAATTCAAGACAGTACACATTTTAAGATAACTGTGAGGAACAGTGGCAGATATAGATTGAATTTGTGGAAAACAAAGGTAGAATCAGATACCTAAATGAATCTTAAAACCATTCGTTAATCTGAAATAAAATTTCTCAAAATAAGCTCATCAGATGAAAATTATTGTGTTTCTTGACATTATTCATCATCCTGTTTTAATTTAAAACACGTAACATTTCGGTGACTGGATCCTGTATCTGCCTTCTGATTCCAATCACTAAAATGCTGAGTGTTTTAAATAAAAACTTGAAGCGGGATAATGTCCTGAAACACAATAAATGTATTAAAATACCAGCATCGCAAACATTTATATCTTATCATCATATGACAATGGTTACACAATTCAAAGTACTAACAAGTTTATGATTTGTATCTTCTGTCTGATACATTATTCAACTTAGTGAATAATTAATAACGTTTCTCAGCAGGATGAAACCTTATGTCATGGGGACGTTTCAAGTTCAGTTCTAGGACAATTCTGACTCAGGTTTTCATGGTTCTCTTCAGTCCTTCCATGAAAATGCCAGAATATCATCTCCAATCAGGCCGTGACTGCTTCCTTCCACATTTTTTCCAGTTTACTCATGTTAGTTAATCATGCTCTCACTCAAAACAGACAAAAACAAACACACTCCGTGGTTTTAGTCCGGAAGCAAACTATACTGCCCGAGTGATCGCAGCTTGTCGGCGAAGTTAGTGCCAACTTTAGCGGATAGAGGGTGTCGCACGGTCAGCGCAATGAATCCCCATGGTGGTTAATCTAGATTTGTTAGACCAGAGCCGCTATTTCCTTGAAATAGCTCCTGAATTATCCTCACAAGGCTGAGTGGACCCCGTTCCAGAACCACTCTTCTCAGAAAGGCTGGTAGCACCGGGAATCGAACCCAGACTTCTGGGTCTGTAGCCAGGAACTCAGACCACTAGATCACAGAGGCGTTCCATTCTCTCATTCAGGGTTGCAAACTGAGCTACTTGAAAGTGTCATTAAGTAGACCATAAATAGAAATAAAAAAAAATTAATACATATCATGTTTGTAGTCTTCATGGGGATGAAAATGAAGAATTTGGCTGCATTGTTTAGTATCACAACCCAGAAGTCTGCAATCTACAGGATGAATATAAATCAAAACATAATATGTTCACAACCTTACATACATAATCTCTGTTTCTTGCTTCCAAACAGAAAGTTTCTCACTCACAAATTAAATGCATTTTTTATTTTTCTTTCTTCCCACATTTAACGGAACGTCATGATCCATTACTTGGCTTAGCCACCAAGTTCCATAGTACTATCAAGAGTACAGATATGTCAGACATGTTACGTTACAGTTTCTTTCCAGTTGGCAGCAGAAGTACAGCTGTCAGGCATATATTAGTAATACCAAATTCATCCAGGATTGCTAAACAAGAAACAGTGAAGTAATCAGATTACAGTCTTCTAGGAGATGACACCTTGGAGTTTGCCTGCTTCCATCTTCATGGTAGAAGATGGAAGTAGCAAGTTCCTCCAAAACACTGGTTACCACCTGGATGTCCACAATATTAAATGATGGATAAAAATTTTGCTGCAATAGTATAGTGCTTCCAAACATCATCATTCACATACAATTTTTACAAAAGTGAAAATTTCAGTTCCCCAAAATTCTTGTGATAAGTTGTTCCTGTACTTAACTAAGCACCCTATCATAGAGATGTATAGGGGAGTGAAGTCCTGTTCCACATGATCTCAACCTTGGCACTAGGTGGAAGTGAGTGGTCAGTATCACAGCCCTGCCACTTTATTGCATGGGAAAGAACTGTACCCCTTAGACAAGGGGCTATGAGGGCCACAGAGTTGGTCTGTATGCTGTGAATAGATAAGCATTTACCTTTGTTGGGAGTTGAATCTGGGTTCAGTTTCACAGTTACCCTTTAAAGACTAAAATGTATGTTTGTATATTACATTACAGTGGCTTAATAATTTAATTATCTTTATGATAGATCAGCATTCATGTTTTCTACAGGTGGGACTGGACCCTGCCCACCAGGTCATGAATTTGTGCTACTAGGTGACAAGAAAGAGCTTTTGAACACCACAAAAGCCATGTGTAAATGCAAGGAAGGTCATGTGCTCTGGTCAGAAAGTGGAGCTTGCCATCGCCTATACACACGAGGACCTTGCTTGGCTGGACAGTTCCTAGTCAATGCAACAAGCTGTGTGCCTATTCCTTGCCCACAGGGACAACTATACTTCCCTTGGGAATCAACATGCTACAAGATTGGTACTAGGGGATCTTGTCCACCAGGTCAAATTGTGATGTTTGAAAATGTTGTACAGCCATCCGTGGATGAGGTGTCCTACAGAGGAATTTGTGGATGCTCAGGTTCGACAGACACTTTTAAGCGCCATATGACGTATGATGAAAGTGATGTTTCTGAACAAGAATGCGATTCAAAAGCAGGAATGGTTAACTGGAATGAAACCTGTTATTTAATTTACACTAAGGGACCCTGTTCAACAGGCCAGTGGTTGGTGCCAGTGAGGGAACACAGACAGTGGTATGAACAAACTGGACAAAGAAAACAACTAAAGGCCATATGTGAGTGTAGACCTGGATATAAACCAGTTAAGAAAATAGCAAAGAGAGAGATTAAAACAGGAAGTGACATTTATATTGAACAATGCCAGCCATTTTCTGTCACTCTGGCACGCTTCCTGAATCAGAACTACAATACACAACAGTGACTTTCTAAAAGCAAGAACTTTTCTGAACTGATATAACTGAAAGTGATCTCTGCATTATTATTATTATTATTATTATTATTATAGTAACAGCATTAATTTTATACAAGTCAATGGACAAACCATAACTGAAAGTGGCCTCTGCATAATAATAATAATAATAATAATAACAATAATAATAACAACAACAATAATAATAACAACAATAACAACAACAACAACAACAATAACAGCATTAATTTCATATAGGTCAATGGACAAACCATCTCCAAACTTTTCTTTCTTCCCACAATCTTTACTTTTTGATTTCTTGCCATCTACATACTGAAAAGTTCTATTGATGCCTACTACTACACACAGACTATATTCAAGATAAGTGTAGATTTGTTTACTCTTAACCCTTTCCAAAATATTTTTATTTCCAACCTCATTTCAACAAACAGAAATTAATTAGTGCAAAAATTAAAAGAAAGAGAACAACACCGCAGTATGGGAAAAATGTAAAACTCCTGCCATCTGTTGTTGCTATGTGTGAACTACCAGAACAGATGTCAAAGAATATAAAGCTCAAAGATACAGCACTTTGAACATGACCATAATGTGGTGATAAATTCCAAAGTTGGTGACAAAATGCTTCCAATAGCATACTAGTGCAGAAAAATATCATAATTTTGCTGCTCAGGTGTTTCCAACAAAAGGATACTATCAATAAAGGTCGCAGTTCTCTTTTAATAAAATTGTAGATATAAAACTATGTTGAAAATTTTAATGGTAATTTATGCACCTTACCTTAATTTTTTCCTTGTTTCTGTTAGAGCTTCCTCTGTCTTCTGTAACCTGTCTTCCTTTGCCTTTAATTCCTGTTCAAGTGTTACTGCTCTTTCTGTTTTATTGTCAATGTTTATCTGTAAGAGAAACACTTCTTTCAACATCCTTTTGATCATTTTCACCCAGCAGGTTGGTGTAGCAGTAAGACTGTAGACTTGTATTTGGGAGATGCTCCGTGAAATTCTGTGGCTTTCCCCAGTCCCTCCAGGATAATATGACACAGTCCTAAATTGGGCTTTTTGTTTCTGATCCTGCAGCTATGGGTTCTATTGCAGAGCATTAATTAGTTAATGCAGAACTGCAGTAAATAATTCACAGTAAAGAAAATTCACATGGAATTTATTTTTAACCAAAAAAAGACTGGGGATAACATAAAAAAATCGACTTCTTCCTATGTGTACCCGATACATATTGACAGGCAACTTAATATTACATTGGGATATGTACGATAGGAACACTTGTGAGTTTCTTCAAAATTTTACAAGATACAGCACACTCCCACATTATGGACGTTTAGCTGACAGAATTTTACCCTTACAGAAATTATGAAACCCGACCACAAAATTCACAGTATGGACCATAAATCTGCTCTTTCAGAAAAATTGGATTATTAACATCTATTTCAACACAAAATTCATAACAACACAAATTCAGCAAAAAATCATTTTGTTCTAAATTGAGGTATGAGTTCTGGAAGGTCAGTTAACTTCTTATACTAAATGCCAAGTATTTACTAAATTAAAATACACTATATACAGCAAAATTTTGCTTGTGGTTCTGTATGGGTGTGACTTGGTCTCTGACATTAAGGGAGGAACACAGACTGAGGGTGTTTGAGGAGAATATTTGGAACAAAGAGAGATGAAGTGACAGGAGGTTGGAGAAAACTGCATAATGAGGAGCTTCATAACTTGTGCTCTTCTCCAAGTACAATTAGAATGATCAAGTCAAGGAGGATGGGGTGGACATGGCATGTAGCATGAAGGGGAGAAGAGGAATGCATATAGGCTATTGGTGGGAAAGCCAGAAGGAAAGAGACCACTGGGAAGACCAAGGCATAGGTGGGTGGACAATATTAAAATGGATCTTAGATAGGATGGGAAGATATGGATTGGAATTATCTGGCTCATGATAGGGACCAATGGAGGGCTCTTGTGAACACGGTAATGAACCTTCGGGTTCCATAAAATGATGGGAAGTTCTTGAGTAGCTGCACAATTGGGGGCTCCTCAAGAAGAGCTGAGCTCCATGAGTAAGTAAGTAAATACAGCAAAATCCCTATTTAAGGTTTCTTTGTGGACTTGTGGATTTGAACACTGAACTAGGAAAAATCTTAACTGGAGGTAATTTTACACTAAAGTTACTGAATTAGGTGCACTGAAATTGAACATTAAATGGGGGAATGCCTTAAATCAAGGAACATTAAATAGACCTTTCACTGTATGAACAAATAATATATTGTTCATATGCTGGGACCAACAGAAATATTAGTTGAATATGGGATATCACTAAATGCTGGAACATTAGATCAAACTTTCATGACTCACCAGCAGTTCATCCTTTTCTCGATCAACTTCCGCCAAAGTTCCTCTCATAACTGAAATCTCATTCTTAAGGAGGGCTACCTCTTGGTCTGATCTTGCTCGATCTCTTTCCAGTTGTCTGACACGTTCTCGGCAATTTGTGAGTTCCATTTCTGATTGAATGACTTTTCCTTGTGAATCAGTCAGTGCACGATCTGTCTGTTCTTGCAAAGTCCTAAATAGCAGACAAGTTGAATGTCATCATCAAGTTAACTATAGCTACGCTGTGGCAGATGAGACAGCTGTTACTTATAGTGTTGTCTTCCAGGCTGTGACATCATGTAATCCTGTGTGGTTACCAATGTTTCAGAGAATCTCTGCCTGTATCATCAGGGTATCTATCCTCTTCAATTCTACCTGAACACAGAGGCAACGCATTTCTCTAAAATGTAATAATCTCTCACATGACTACATGATGTCAAATCAGAAGACCAAAATCTAAATTTTCATCACATTGAAAACCTGAAACGTTATTTCAATTGTTCATTGAATGCTAAGGCTAAAGACTGAAATAAATTCCATATGCAAACCATCAGTTGTTACACTGAAGCTCTGGTTACCTCTGCTTCAAGTGAGAGGTGAGTGACTGATCTTTGGCGAGGTGTCTGCCCCACCCTCTGGAGTTTTGGAAAAAGTCAAAATCAAAGAAAGGAAGAAAATATACTGGCTATTAATAACAGGAAATAAAAACACAAAAAAAAAAAATTCTTCTATCCTGAATACTACAAGAAGCTCAGTCAAAATAGTCTTAAACGGCTAGAAGGTTATTTACTTCCAATGAAGCAGTTATTACAGCATAATCTCTTAAGAGATGCAGTCACAATATAAAACTGTTCTCACCTACGAGTATTACATGAATCATTAATTAAGGTAAAACAAAGATGTTCCTGTGCTAATTAAGCACTGTGCTATTAGGGCTATGTATCGTTAAGTATCATGGTATGAAGACATATGGGGGAGTGGAGATATAACCTCAACCATTCTTATTCTTCAGATGAGTTAGTGGTGACTGGTTACCTTCATGCTCTGATTGTTTTAACCCCCAAAAAAAGCACGCAGCAGACATTGGACGGGCAGCTGTATAGCACCCAGATATGTTCTGGACATGGTGGTGAAGAGAAAAATCCTTGTTGGGAATAAAACACTGGATGTCTAACCCTTAAATCAAGAGGAATATTAAATGCCACTTACTTAATTTGGTTATACAGTGCACGCTGTTGTGTTAGTTCTGACTGTGTAGTGAACAGCTGATTCTGTAATGATTCTATCTGGCTCTCAAAGTTGGAAACTGTTACTTTATGAGCTCCTTCAGAAGCCAATAGTTCCCGCTTCTCTGCCTCTAATCTTCGTACTCTCTCCTCACTGTCGGCTATAGTCTTCTCCCGTCGTGCATGTTGTGCTAGTTCTGACTGTGCAGTGAATAGCTGACTCTGCAATGACTCTATCTGGTTCTCCAAGCTGGAAACTGTTACTTTCTGAGCTCCTTGAGAAGCCAATAGTTCCCGTTTCTCTGTCTCTAATTTTCGTACTCTCTCCTCACTGTCGGTTATAGTCTTCTCACGTCGTGCGCGTTGTGTTAGTTCTGACTGTGCAGCAAACAACTGACTCTGTAATGATTCTATCTGGCCCTCAAAGTTGGATACTGTTACTTTATGAGCTCCTTGAGAAGCCAATAGCTCCCGCTTCTCTGCCTCTAATTTTCGTATTATGTCCTCGCTGTCAGTTATAGTCTTCTCACGTCGTGCGCGTTGTGTTAGTTCTGACTGTGCAGCGAATAGATGATTCTGTAATGATTCTATCTGGCTCTCCAAGCTGGAAACTGTTACTTTATGAGCTTCTTGAGAAGCCAATAGTTCCCGCTTCTCTGCCTCTAATTTTCGTACTATATCGTCACTGTCAGTTATCTTCTCACGTCGTGCGCGTTGTGTTAGTTCTGACTGTGCAGCAAATAGCTGACTCTGTAATGATTCTATCTGGCTCTCCAAGCTGGAAACTGTTACTTTAAGAGCTCCTTGAGAAGCCAATAGTTCCCGCTTCTCTGCCTCTAATCTTCGTACTTTTTCCTCGCTCTCGGTAATAGCCTGCCCACGTCGTGTATGTGCTGTGATCTGAGTCTCTGTGGCAATCTAGAAAGTAAATATACAGTGATACATTTATAATTAGCTATATCTACTTTCAGATCAATTTCTCTGTTAGTCTGTTAGCAGAGTCCTCTGCTTACTGTTTGCTTAGCTTAATATTTGTACCTGAAGATTGAGGCAGTATATTCCTTTAAAATAAGAGCAAACTTCTGTAAGACCACAAGGTGTCACATCCCAGGAGATAGAACTCTTCACAGTAAGCAGACCAAGAATTTCAAAACATCATGCAGAGAATGTGTCTAGAAAGTCCTTAAAACACTGTCCTGTTGTATGCTTTGATTATGAAACAAATTAATTAATGGAATTAGATTAATACCGGATGATGCTCTAGCATGACAACTGGGCAAAGGGCCAGCAAACTTCATTGTAAAATAAGGCTCTATATTACATAACAAATGCAATGAAACAATTTGAGAAAACTTTAGGGGTACCAATATGTTGAGATACAGGATGCAATGAACAGTATGTATTAAACAACCATAAGATGATTGTACCAAGCCTTGGAACAGATCTTGTTTATCCAACCCTACTTAGCACGTGAGAAGAAAGCAATAAAACATGAAGGAATTTAATCCTGCATAGCTTTGAAACTTCTACTAAATTATATTTTAATACCTTAAGACGTTCACGAAGCGCATCTCGTTCCTCTTCCAAAGATTTAACATTACCTCTTGCCAAATCACGTTCTTGTTCTAAATGTTTTATCACAGCCTGAAAAATAAATATCATTAGCAGCACCAATATAAAAAACAAAAAAAATGTGTGGTTTTAGTCTGCAAGTGAACTATACCGACCGAGTGACCACCGTTTGTCAGCGAAGTTAATGTCAACTTTTAGCAGATAGAGGGTGTCACATGGTCAGCACAATGAATCCCCATGGCCATTAATTTCGGTTTTCTAGACCGGAGCAGCTATTTGCTTGAAATAGCTCCTCAGTTATCCTCACGAGGCTAAGTGAACCCCATTCCAGACCCACTACTTCTCAAAAAATCTGGGAGCGCTAAGAATCAAACCTGGGACCTTGGGATCTGTAGCTAGGAACTCTGACCACTAGACCACAGAGGTGGTCTAGCAGCACCAATACAAATTACAAAACTGGATAAGTTTGTAAGATTTGAGGCTTTCACGGCGGTGACTATGAAGAAAGCAGTCTTCTGGGAGTTAACACCACTTATACACGGTGCCAAATCCCAGAAGACTGCTTTCTTCTGGATAAGTTTGCTTTTTTGATCAAATTAGGCCTATTAACCTATGATAAATATTCACTGTAAAAACAACAAAAGCTTCAAATAAAAGTTGTAGATCTTAATCAGATTCATATTTTATGATCAGTACCAATGTTTTCATGTGTTTCGCCAATTCGAACTTCATGTAATGCAGCAACTACACTGAACTGATACAAACCAAAATTAAACTTGCCTGACAAAATTTTATGCAAATCTCTATACCAAATCTCACTGAATATACAATCTGGAATTTTGAGACATAATGCATGGACAGACAAACATGGTTTAGCCATTATGCAACCATTTCACATACTTCATACAAAAGAACACACATGAATTTGATAAAAACCTCCAGGAAACGGATCTACAAGAAACAGCATATCTTTTAAATATTACTTTTATTCAATCAGTGTATTAAAATACAAATATTTATTGCCTGTACTCAAATGAAAATCTGAAAATATAAAAATTCGTAATTACCATCCAGGACACTCCAGAGGCTGGGTCTGTACCAGGACTTATGTAAGTGGGAGATGTCATTGTTGAATGTGTTTCCCTGTGTGGCAAAGACCTCAGAATTTCTTTCTCTTTGATTAAATCACGATTTGCTTGCTGCAGCTCCTGTAACTGTTGCTCTTTTTCACTGAGTTTGCGTTGCAGTTCACTGCACTAGTAAGATACAAGACATCATCATATAAAGAACTGGATTTCTCAAGAACACTTTCACAACTAAATATTGTCTGGTAAATGTCTGCTAAAAATACATGCGAGATCAGTACATATAGAAGTCACATCAGATTTCGTTTTCTAAATTATGCATTTTTCCGTTACATATAATGACATAAAATCTTACATTACAGATGAGCAGCCTCCGTAGTCTAGGGGTAACGTTCCCACCTCATGACTCAAGGTACGCGGGTTCAAACGCGGCAGAGGTCGTGGAATTTTTAAGGGCAGAAAAATTCAGGGAACAAGTCCTCTGGGAGGGACTTTAAGCTGTGTGTCTCATGTCGTAGATTTACGACACACAAAAGATCCTCATGTCTCTAGGAGACCTCTGAGCAAAATTAGGCAAAGTTTCCTGCTCAAGTAGTTTCCAATTCCTCCGGTAGATGGGGAAGTATTGGGGACCACTGCCAGAAAGGGCTGACCTCGCTGGCAGAACGGGGCTGATAGTGAGCACCAGTACTGGAAGGGCATGATGACAGTAGAAATTAAACTGGGACGCATAGTAGATTAACAAATAGTCGCACTGCATGGGGAAACCCACCCCCTCCAATAATAACAATAACAATAATACACTACAGATGTCTCTCATATCCTGGGAGCCATAAACTTGTTAAAGAAACTTACTACCTTTACTTACATTGGTACAGGATGCAGTGGCACCTGTTTCTTCTCTCAAACGACAGCATTCACTGTAGTAAAAATCTCTTTCTGACTGCAATCTTTCAATCAAAGCTTCATATTGCTCAGAATTTAGCTGCGGATAGAAAATAATAGCACAATGTTAGATCTAAGAAGAATAAATTTCAGGCTTCCACTAGTCCTCCATTCTATAAGCAGTACCTAATTTTTTTTAAATAACTGTAGAACAGTTAATGTATGTGGAATGAAATCACAATATTGCATTGAAAGAACACACTATTGGGTAATCTAAAAAGTAGATCTTAAGAGACAAAGCAATAAAGAATTACATTATATATATGTTGTCGCGCGTTTCATAGGTAACGCAACAAGAAAATTTATGTGGGTCTTGGATTTGGGTAAATATTTAGTGGATGATCATTCTTTACATTCACAAATACAATTATTCATATTTACAACGTCCTTGGGAGTTTCCTCTTCTGTTGTTGTACACTCTCGCACCGCTATCTCGGTGAAGTGTCTTTTGCTCTGCTCGGAGCTCAATTGTCCTTAGCTCTCGTCAGATACGAACTCTACTGGTCTCTTGCTGAAGTTGTACTGTTATATCCTGCACTCAGGCTGAATAGGGAATACCTTATTGAAGGGTTAATTTTGCCCACTGCTTTGCAACGAATCTCTTGTTGCCATGGGAATACATTTCATTACAAATAACGGTGGAAACCCCACTGTTAGACTTTCATCTCCAGGACAACCATTTACTAGGCACTGTTAGCCGTTGACTAGTAATGGACGTCTTATAGACCGGCTTTCAGGCAGCATGTCACAATACACACACACACACACATATGTATGTGTGTGTATAGTATACTCCCAGTTATCTGTGCTGATGAAGGGGAAAAGACAGACGGCTGAATAAAAAGTGAAGTGAATTCAAATTTTAGGTACGATCATGAGATCATGGTGATTATTGAATACAGAAATTTGGATATGCATACAGTGTACCTGATGTGTTTCCTGTTACCTGGTTTCCTGCTTGGCTTATTCTTTGACCGTAAAAATGAGGCGATGTGTTCCTCTGAAACATCGCTTGCTGTCTGAACTACAAGCCAGAAGACTGTACTCAAGTACAAATCAAATGATAATCACAAACAAATAAACTGTATCTTACTTGGACACCATTTTCTGGAGAAGAGGTGCGCTTATCAATGCTACCATCTCTTTTATCTTTTGGAGCTTTTGTTGGAACTTTATTCTTTGGCCTCTCTTCTGGGTGAACCTTCTTCTGGGTTTTGCCAGTCACTGTGCCAAGATCAGTTACCCTAGATGCCAACTGGCTTTCAAGTTCTGCTATTCTGCGCTTCTGTAAAGTTGTTTCTTCAATCAGGTGTTCAATCTCTTCGTTGAGGTCACGTTCTGTAAAAGTCACATTAGACTTTGACTGATAAAAACAATTTTATGGAGTACAGCATCTTATTGCATCGTACAATATTCTGATAGAGTTTGGGGTACCCATGAAACTAGTTAGGCTGATTAAAATGTGTTTAAACGAAACATATGGTAAAGTCTGTATAGGTAAACATTTGTCTGATAATTTCCTTATCCAGAATGGTCTAAAACAAGGAGATGCTTTATTGCCACTTCTTTAAACTTTGCTTTAGAATATGCCATTATGAAGGTCCAGAAAAACCAGGTGGGACTGAAATTAAATAGGACACATCAGCTATTGGTCAATGCTGATGATGTGAATCTACTGGGTGATAATGTAGATACCATAGAGAAAAACACACAAACTTCAATTGACGCTAGTAATGAGGTTGGTCTAGAAGTAAACACAGAGAAAACTAAGTATATGTTACTGTCTCACCACCAAAATGCAGGGCAAAATCATGATATAAAGATAGGAAAAAGATGTTTTGAAAATGTGGCACAATTAAGATATTTGGGAATGACTATAACAAATCAAAACCTGATTCAGGAGGAAATTTAGAGGCGATCGAACTCAGGTAATGCTTGCTACCATTCAGTCCAGAACCTTTTGTCTTCTCGACTGCTGTCCAAAAACATAAAAATTAGAATATACAAAACTATAATTTTGCCTGTGGTTCTGTATGGGTGTGAAACTTGGTCTCTGACATTAAGGGAGGAACACAGATTGAGGGTGTTTGAGAACAGGGTGTTCAGGAGAATATTTGGAACAAAGAGAGATGAAGTGACAGGAGAAAACTGCATAACTTGTACGCTTCTCCAAGTATAATCAGTATGATCAAGTCAAGGAGGATGAGATGGGCAGGGCATGTAGCACGAATGGGGGAGAGGAGGAATATATATAGGATATTGATGGGAAAGCTGGAAGGAAGGAGACCACTGGGAAGTACAAGGTGCAGGTGGGTGGACAATATTAAAATGGATCTTAGAGAGATAGGATGGGATGGTACAGATTGGACTGATCTGGCTCAGGATAGGGATCACTGGAGGGCTCTTGTGAACATGGTAATGAACCTTCGGGTTTCATAAAATGCTGTGAAGCTTTTGAGTAGATGCACAATTGATGACTTCTCAAGAAGGGCTCAGCTCAATGCGTGACAGCATCTTAGTTTTAGAAAGTACAATACCAGAAATGCGAGGTTCTACAATGAAAATGGAGGCAGCGGGCTCCTCCAAAATAACAAGCATCCCAGAAGAACTAATCATGAACAGAATAAGTCATACTGTGGATGAAGAGGGTGGGAATAAAAGATGAAAGAAAATATTATGCATTGTGACTTTAACCTTTCTTCTGTTGGCTGCATACGTTGAGCATACCTGCAGTCCCCTGATGAATACTCACAGAGATCACAGAAGCATCTGCCATTTGTAAACCTTAAATATATCAATAACATGGACCTGTTTAGGTTAAGACTATTATAGGAATGTGACACTTGAGGTTCTTATGGCATGACAATGGAGAATACTGTTTTCTGAGATGTGACACCATGTAAATCTTTATATGGAGACAGCAGGTTCCCCAAAACATTGGTAATGATCTACCTGACTCAATGGCATCTCATCCCAGAAAACACCGGGGACATATCCACAACCATCATAACAACTGTCCACAGAAAACAAAATGTCAGGTCAAGATCTGAGATTTTCATGGCCGTGAAAATTCACAATGTGGAAATCTGGGCTATGACCAGGGCCTGGATTTTGATAACCTGAAAATATTTAAAAAATTACCTATAAAATGACCAGAAAAATCCAGAAAAATTACCTAAAATACGACTGAAAAATGTAATATGCAGGGCCCAGATTTTGATGACCTGAAAATATTAAAAAAATGACCTATAAAATGACCTAAAGAAGAAAAGAAATAACACTTCACTTCCATGTTATTCACATTTCAGAAAACATATGAAGAAAAATTCCCTAAAATTGCCAAAAATGACAAGAAATATCCTTAAAAGTCCAAAAATTTACCAAAAAATTACCCCCCAAATAAAAAAATGACCTTAAACCTAAAAATGTAAAAAAAATGACAAAAAATTACCTATAAAATTTACATTTCTGTAACCAGCAGCTCATATCTGAGATTTATATATTTAAGAGTATCGTATAGGATACAAGCGAAAAAAGATGACATGTCATCAAAATCTGGGCCCTGGTTATGACATTCTGGCAGGCAGATACTATTTCTACTATGATGATAATGGCGGAAAGTTCTGCCAAACAGTTGGCACATACGTAAGGGAGTTGGGAGAGACAATGAAAAAGAAGTCTGGCCAATATGTAGCAAAGAGCAAGATTAAAACCACATATCTGGGTGTGAAGGAACAAAGATTTGAAGGGATGAGATTTTCAACAAGAGGTCTAGCAATGCTGATGCAGAAATAGGCATTAGGAGGACAGTAATCCAAGAATAAAAAGCAATGGCAGAAATTAGTAAGAATTGTAAAGACAGATGGGAAAGGATGGTAAGAAAGCACGAAAGTTAAGCGTAAAGTGTACAGAATAGTAATTTAAGGGGGTGCTTGAGCATAGCACTAGGGAGTCAAACTCCTGGCACCCCAAAGTGTGAATTGTAATGGATCTAGCAAGTACCCATCTATTGGACTGTGTGGTGTCATAACCCACAGGAATGGAAAATGAAAATAGCAGGTGTTCAGGTCACTTTCATCATGCGAAACAATTATACTAAACAGTAGACAAAAATACATATTATTTTAAAATAATCATATACCGATAATTGTAAGTTCATTGATGCGATCTGAATATTTTTTCTCATCACGTGCACTTTCCGATTTCCTTTGGAGCTCATCTTTTTCATTTCTCATACGTTTCAAGCTCGCTTTCAGTTCCTGGTTAGTTCGTTGCATTTTTGACATTTCTTGTTCTAAGTGAGCGATTTGCCTCAAACTGTTTTCCAGTTGCACCTAAGAGTGAAGAGAAACCATATGACAATGTTGTGCATGAAGTGACAGAAAAGGAAATGCCACTTGCCATAACACATTAAGTCAGTTAGTTTAATTACATCAATATTTTAGTCTAGTCTAAATTTCTAATGATAGGAATTCCTTTATGACAACATATGTTCATCATACAAGTAAAGTGTTTGTAGTGTTTCGCTTAGTGGGGGGTGGAGTCCAGTGTGTCCACTCGGCACGGCGGCCACTGATTGGCCTATTGTACCTGCCCCGGGTGATTATGATGATGGAGAATTTGGTGGAATGAAGATTGGCAGGAGAAACCGAAGTACTCGGAGAAAACCTGCCCAGCGCCACTTTTCTACTACAAATCCCACTTGACGAGACCCGGGATTGAACCCAGGCCATTGCAGTGGAAAGCCAGCGACTAACCGCTTGAGCTATTGTGAGGCCCTGTTTGTAGTGTTAGTTTTACCTTCTGATGATGACCAGTAGTAGCCAAAACATGCAAAGGCAATATCTTATATACTTAGATTAAACTTGTTCTACTTGATGAACCTTACTACTCACCTATGTATGGATATATATTTATTGTAGCAACTGAGAAGAGCTCTGTTTTATATATTTAAGGTTTATTTGCTGATCTTGTCAGTGCCTCAGACTATATAGCATCACGTGGTACAATGATTCATGAATGATGAACCACAAAGGCTGTAGAAGGAAGTGGTAATGGCTTACTTCATGGTACTATCCTGGACTTTACCTGGAGAGATCGAGAAAACCAGGGGGGTGGGGGAACTCTCAGTTACAAGAGTCATGAATCAAATTTTGCACCTCCCAAATTTTTGTCACAAGCATTAGTGCCTGACACTTCTTCTGCCTCCAAATTTACATTGGGTTTTTTCATAGAGAATTGTTTTCTTACCTGAATTTTTGATACTCTCATTGTGTTCTCTTGAACAGCTGAATTACATTCAGCTTCAACTGCCAGAGCCACCTGATCCATATCACGCAACTCCTTTTCAAGTTGCTTATTACGATCGGCCAGCATAACTGCTCGAGTCATTGCCTCATGCTGACTTGAAACTGATTCTGAAATCAGTAAAATAAATCACTAACGAATAAGAAACCAATTAGTCAATTCTAGAGCGTTCTGGTTCTGATATATTATACTTATGATGACTGGGCTTCTGGACTTCATCCGTCATCTAGTACTAGAAAATGAAACAGTGCGTCCAGTGACTGAGGTAAGCTCCTTCCAAGTGGTTAGTCACTGGCTTCCCACTGCGGTGGCCCGGGTTCAAACCCGGGTCTGGTCAAGTGGGATTTTTGGTGGACAAAGTGGCGCTGGGGTAGGTTTTCTCTGAGTACTTCGGTTTCCTCTGCCAATCTTCATTGCACCAAATTCTCCATCATAATAATCGCCCAGGGCAGGTACAATCGGCCAATCAGTAGCCCAATGAGAAAAAAGCTCCTTCCAACAAACCCAAATGACTATCATCACACCTTTTCACATGAGGATGAAAACAGATCCAGTTTTCAAAGAACTGCGTTCTATTCAAAATACCAGACAATGAACAAAGTCTAGAAATAAAATATTAAGATACTATTAAGTATATCAAATGTTTGTTATATCTCCCTTCTAAGAGGAGGTAAAAGGTGAACAAAAAATGATAAAGCTATCCCTGCAACAGGCCGTGAAGACCCATAGGCTTGTGAGACATCAAGGGTCCCACATTTTCTAGACAACTGACTCATAGATGGTGGTGAGGTTGTCAGCCTTACATGCTGGCCGCCCTTTACCCCCAGGAAAATTCCTGGTAATACTTTCTGTTAGAGGCTAAGTTGACCCCAGGGCCATAGTGCTGCTAGAAGGATTAGGTCAATTGAAAAATCCAATGATCTCAACAGGAATTGAACCTGTGACCTCCTGGCTTGTAGCACAGTGCCTCAACCAACTATGCTGCCACGTGCACCGTCTAAGAGGAGGACATGGGTTTAATTTGAACTATCATTGCTAAAACAAAATGTTTCCCAAACCGCCGACCCACTCAAGTCAATAGTCCTCGTATATTATTTGTATAGTACCACCAGATAGGATCTGCACTGACCTGGCCTCTAGCTTTGGACATAAAAGTGCAAAGTGCATGATGTTGGAGCATATATGACAGACTGTTACCACTAGTGATACACTGGTGGTTGGCAGAAGGGACCTACAGATTAATGTGGGCTCTGAACAATACAGGCAGGTCAGGTACTTATCACAATTCCAAAGTTTTATCTTTGGTAGAGGTTTTCAGCCTGTGGGCAGAAAACTTCACACACACAGACCTGACCATACATCAAATTTTGACACCCTGGTCAAGTGCTCATTATCTTAACCCAAGACTATAAGGTCCTGTAAACACTCCTTATGTTTCAACAGACTGTGCCATGAATCGCTTATCATCTTCATCTGCTTTCCTCTAGTAAATTTGTAGTTTCATGCTCACCTTCAACTTGTTCTTCCAGTTCTCTCTTCTTTCGTTCAAGTATATTAATTTCATTAGACAGAGTATTGAGCTGATGGGTCATGTCCTTACAAGTGCACTGGCAGTCCTTTCTGACAGCATCAATTGGTCGACCACCCTCCAACATGCCTCTGAGGCGCTGAATTTCTTTGTCTCGATTCTCTAGCTACATACAAAAACAATGTATATGTATTGCCATATATCCGGGGTTCGTGTGACCGACAGTAATGGGCCCTGGATTGGATGATTGGATTTACTGACCGTTCATAGGTTGTAACTACAAAAAACTACAGCAATATGGCTGATTTCAACACTACTATTCACTCCACACTAAGTATTTTAAGTCTGCTTTCAGTAGTCATTGCTTGGTAACAGTCCTCAACAATGGCTAGCCCTCTGCAAAGTTTTCACTAGGCATTTCCTGGTAATGAATCTTAGCGATGGAGATCTTCGGTTTCCGTTGCCCACTGCTTACCACTCAGCAGCTGAGCACTCAACTCAACTCAACTCAACTACCGACCTCTGCAACTGCTCTCACATGTCCTCCCTTGGTAACTCTGGGAAGCATGGAACACACATCACCACCTCCAACAGTTCCTATAATATATATGCTTATTCACTGCTGTGGGAACCCCTGGTGATTCTGCAGCAACAGTCTGGTTTCCACAAGTCTATGCCTTTTCATTTCCATACACATGGACATGTTTCTTAAACACCTAGCAATGGCTGGTGTCCATGAATCTTCTCCCTGTGGCAACATGTTTGCCAATTTGTTTCCTAGAAACGCCTATATGTCACAGTATTTTATTGAGACGAATACTGACAATCCACATGACACACATAGAACTTCATTCCATGAATACAGTCTATTTAAATCAAACATAGAAAAATTCAAATATCAACATGTAACAAAAAATGAATAAATGTGAGTAATTTATATTGAAGTAATTCTGAAACGTTTGCAAAGGCTGTTAAAGTTCTGCAATTAGTCAGTGAAACAAATTCAATCAATCCCCTACTATACCAAGGCCACAGAAAGGAGCCCCACAGATGGAGTCGAGGATGGTGCTTTATGCTTGCCACCGCTGCTATATTCTGTTCCAGCCCTTTCTGTCCTATATCAAACATCCTAAAGCATCTATTGTTAGCAACAATTATAACCACCAATATTCATGTAAACATAATGGTTAGATGACAGGGTGGAAGTACAGGAAAGTACACTGGAGTGGTACAAGCAACAGCTAAAGGGACTCGTGTTCTCAGTACAATTCACACACAAAACTCTGAAACATTAAATCAACAGACATCTTATAACAGCATCATTTGAACAGCAGCTGGACTGTATCAATAATCTTTAAATATTTTAATCAATACTTTATTAACAGGGCTGCAGTGAAGGTAAGGAAATCTGGGGCAGTGCCCCAGTGCTTTTCTGAGTGCCTGGGTGCTATCCTGACACTTCTCAAAAGATTGTGAGGATAAACACAGGAAAAAGCTACTACAAACTAATAAATTCTCTTACTGTTATTGCTGTCCTTAAAAAGGACAATTTCACTTACATAACAGTATATTATCTTCACAAAAATATATTAAAAGAAAATTTAAAAGTATTTTTATTAAATGTTTTATGTTCAATGAAAATAGAAGAATTTATAGCTTGTTTAATTTTTGGTATTTCTATCTGAGGTAGAAACATCAACATTTTTAAGTAAGTGATATTCCTCAGCTGTTTATCATGTAATACTGTGTTTAAAAGTGCAAATCTGTCATTATGTAAAGCAACATGAACAGTTTCATAGCATGATTCTTGTACATTATTATTTCAAGCTGTGTTCCAGACTCCCCTGGAATTTTTGTTTTTAGAACTACATCTTTCTCTTACAGACAAAACTTAGGAGGGAAACAAAACGATTTTCCTGTTACATAATACCTTGATTATGAATACAAAATCATGATAATCAAACACATACATAAGAAGATATAGACCACAAATACCTTATTCTTGAGCGTGGCAACGACATCTGACTGCTGAATTTTCTCCTCCTTCAGGAAGTTTATCTCTCGATTTAAGTTACTAATTTGCTGATCTGCTAATTCCAACAAATTTGCAACATAAGGATTCTTTGCCTGTGTTGATACACTGTTATACTGTTCTTGCCAAGATGTTCCCAGTTTTAATGGGGAGTCTAACTCAAAAGTTGCTTGAGGTTTCGTAGAAAGAGTCTTTTTCTTGTGACCTGAGCAAAATGTTTCAAGCCTCTGTATATAATTCAGTATTACGTTTAATAAATTAGGCACAAAGTGTACATACATACATACATGCACACATACTTGTACGTACTTCCTCATGGAGCTGAGCCCTTCTTGAGGAGCATGCCAATTCTGCAGCTACTCAAGAATTTCCCAACATTTTATGGAACCCAAAGTTTCATTACCGAGTTCACAAGAGCCCTCCACTAGTCCCTATCCTGAGCCAGATCAATCCAATCCATCCCATCCCATCCTGTCTCTCTAAGATCCATTTGAATATTGACCACCCACCCATGCCTTGGTCTTTCCAGTAGTCTCTTTCCTTCTGGGTTTCCCACTAATATTCTATATGCATTCCTTGTTTTCCACATTCATGCTACATTCCCTGCCCAGCACACATACTTGTACACACCAAAATGCTACCTAACTATGAACTACACTGGACATCAAGCATGCTGTAACCATGTATGCATCACTATAATAGTGCAACACATGGGTGATAAAAATTAGTAAAACTACTGTTATATATCAAGGGTATTACTCTGTGTTCTATGTATATGTTACAGGCAAGTATAAAGTTAGGCATTGTATACATTTCCTAAGCACTACAGAATGTGGGATTTGTAGTCTGCACAGTGGTGGTTCTGAGCATGTCTGCTCGCAGGCGCAACAGGTCTGGACAGGTTTCAGTGTGCAGTGTCGTTACTGTTCCATTTGAATTAGATGTGAGTGTTGGTCATTCGGTACAATGTCGCAGTTCGAACAGTGTGCAAACATCAAGTTCATGTGCAAATTGGGAAAATCTGCTTCAGAGACGCTATCAGCCCTGCAGCAAGTTTACGGTGATACTGCATTAAAGAAATCCGCAGTTTACGACTGGTTTTCCTGGCTTAAGAATGGGCAGGAGATGTTAGAATATAACCAGTGCAGCGGGACACCTTCAACATCCAGAGCCGAAGAAATGATTGGAAAAGTGCGACAACTGATTCGATGTGACCGAAGAACGACCATCGTGGAGTTGGAGCAAGAAGTTGGTACTGTTACTGGCCATTTCTATGTGCAAGTTTTGTAGAGGTTGCGTGATGCGGTTCGGAGGAAGCGGCGCGACAAGTGGCAGGGACAGTGGTTTCTGCATCACGATAACGCACCAAGCCACACATTGCTTGTTGTGCAGCAATTCCTCACCGAGAAAACATTTCTGTCATCACTCAACAACCGTACTCTCTGGATATTGCTCTGAGTGACTTTTGGCTGTTCCCTACTCTGAAAATGGGCCTCAAGGGGAGATGTTTCGCAACCATGGAGGACATCAAAATGAATGGGATGGCTGAGCTCCGGAAGATTCCAAAAGAAGACTTCCACCGCTGCTTCCAACAACGGCAGGATCGATGGAGCATGTGTGTATGCGCGCAAGGGTCCTACTTTGAAGGTGATTAGGTAAGCATTACCATATGTCCTACCATTAGAGTGCTATACCACCATTCCAGGAACTTTTTGATTGACCCTCATTTAATAATTTAATATATTAAATTTATTAATTATTTATTTATAATCCATCTACCTATTATAATTTATTATCATGCTTAGTTGTAACTAAGGGTTAAATTTCTTACCAGGTGGTGACTTAACAGTGTGTACACCTTTTCCCTGTAACTGCACAATCTTACGAGTCTTCTGGGCAGATTCCTGCTCTAAAGTCTTAATTCTTGCTAGACGCTGTGAATTTAGGAACTGAAGGTCTGAATTTTCACTTTTTAGTTCACGAATCTGAAGTTTCAAATCTAAACATAAGAAAGTAATGGATTAGCTACTATGAAAACGTAATGAACTTATTCTTCTTTTAAACATAAGAAATAATACATTTTGGGGAATTTGATGACTGTGACAGGAAATAAAATGAGGTAAAATGTGGGAATTAAGATTTGGGAAATCAAGAAAAGTTTGTTGATACATTGTTGAAAAAATTACAAAACTGCCAATTAACTTAAAATTTAAGAGTTAGAATATGTAAAATGTTGACTCTTTTAAGAAAATTATGGTCTTTTGGGATGTAATGCAGCATAGTCTGGAGAAAACATGACATTTGGGAGAAACATATTTCCTCCATTTTGAAGTATGAAGAGTAAACAAATAAGAAACCAGCAGAAACAGGTGACAAGCTTAGCTTATTCTTCAACACTGAAGCTGGAGCCAGCACAGTCCTCTGAAACATCGGTGGACTTCTACCAGACTACAAGATGTCACATTTCAGAAGATAGTACTGCTCATAGTCAATACAAGAATTATGTTTTTGGACATTATCCATTGTCCTGTCTATTTTCTAAAAAACCGTCCTGTTTATTTTTCAAAATATGTTTCGGAGACTGGATTCTGTCTGGAGATAGGGACTACTCTATCTACTGGACCCAACTGAGTAGGTTTTACCTGAGGATGGGGACAGACTCCAGTCTCCGAAATGTTGTGTTCTGAAAAATAAACAGGATGGTTTTTTTTTAGAAAATAGACAGGATGATGGATAATGCCCAGAAACATAATACTTGTAGCAGTGTACCATCTTCACGAACTTTTAGATCTTACTCATAGTAAATGCTGTGAGAATCTCAGATCAAACACGGAGGGTATCTTATACCTAACCAGCTACCAATAAGTTGATTTAAATGCACATTTTTACAGCTTCACACTCCTATATATTCCCAAGCATTTAATTATTTCACAGAGGTGACTGTACTGTATGTTGACATCTAACCTTTCTGATTCTTATCAGCATCTTCTTGCTGATGCAGTAATTTCAAGTGCAAATCATTGCATTCCTCAACAAGTTTGGCATTATCAAGCTTGTATGGTTCAACTCCTAATTGAAGAATTCTGGATTCCTAAAATACAAGTACAAAATATGTATTAATTTTGGAATTACTGGGTATTTGGACTTTGTCCATTGTCCAGTATTTGAAAAAACTATATAACACATCATTTTGGAAACTGGATTCATTTCTGTCCTCAGGTGAGGGGTCCTTTAGAAAAAGGTCACCCCAAGCATTGGTCCAGCTCTTTCTAAGGTACCAAGTAGAACAGGTGTCTCTGCCCTCATCTGAAGACAGAAAAAAATCCAGTTTTTTAAACAATGTTCTCTAGTTTGTAGAATACTGGATGATGGACAAAGTCTAAAAACTCAGTAATTCCGAGTGTTATACACCATTGTCAGAACCCTTTAGAATCTACCTGTATTAGTTTGTATAAACAAACATTTTAGTCACTGCAGTAATTCCACAGGTGTTTATATAATATTGTGGTATACCCTATATATTACCAGAGATTACACATAAATAACATTACAATTTTATTTTACACAGGCTTCCTACTGAATTTTGTCTTTTAACAAAAACACAGACTTTTGGGTAATTATGTGGTTCACCAACTGAACAAATGCAGTAGGAGAAAGCTGAAGGAACTACAGGTAAAGTTTACTGCTTCCACAGTGATTCCTCCAATTCGTAATCATAATACACACTAAAACCTGAACCTCCATCTTCAGTTTTGTAGAAAGGTGTAATTCATTCATTCATTCATTCATTCATTGTATATTCCATAAATCCATACACATAGATATAGAACCAGTCATATAATTAATATAGTACAATACAAATATAAATATATATGTACAGTTTATAATCATTAAAACAGATAAAAAAATGTGTTAAATTTATATAAAAAAACAGTCTTACATCACTATACATAAAATTATGCAATATTAAAATTGTTTATGCTATCATCCTTATTTCTAGGCAAATTTGTTACTAAAGAATTCATCACCTGTATAAAAAGAAACATGTGTTAAATTTACAGTCTTACATCACTATACATAAAATTATGCAATATTAAAATTGTTTATGTTATTATCCTTATTTCTAAGCATATTTGTTACTAAAGAATTCATCACATGTATAAAAAGAGTTTTGCAATAAAAATGTTGTCAACTGAATTTTAAAATTTTTCAAGTCATTAGACATAGATTTGATTTTTGGTGGCAAATGATTAAAGATCTTTACCCCCATGTAACATATTCCTTTTTGGAATTGTGTCAGACTAGTCTGCGGATAATGCAGATCACAGATAGATCTGGTACTACAATTATGCATTTGTGAGTTGAATGTGAACAATCTCTTATTTACTATGACAAACAGAGAGATCGACAATATATATTGAGCTTGTAGGGGGAGGATATCCAATTCTTGAAACAAACTACGACACGATGTTCTCTTTGTTGTATTTGTTATAATCCTAATTATCCTTTTCTGCATCCTAAACACTTTTATACTATGCGAGGAGTTACCCCAAAATACCCCAAAATGAATATGGAGATCAAATTATGCAATAAATTACCAAATAAAATCAGGGACTTGGAAAAAATGAGGCAGTTTAAAAGAGAACTGAGATCCTACCTATTACAATATACACTTTGCTCTGTTGATATGTTATGTTAAATTAGCAGAATATGGTACTTGAGTTGGTTTATTTTTATGAATTTCTTCTGTATGGAGTGCTAGCATGAAGGAACTCAGCTGAAATATTGATGTTACTTTCAGATGCGTATGTGTGTATACAAGATGTATCCTATGTCAATAGTTTGACTCAAAGGATGAATAAATTGTATAAAATTGAACTGAAATCAAAGACAGCTTGACACCTAACCATTGACATAAAATCTTGAAATACTGCATTATTTAGATCATAATAACACTGACATATATTTTTAATACAATGATAAGGACCACAGGTGTTCACAGCACTTAAATTCTATCCACATGTGAAAGATTGTCATACCTCGAAACTTTTCTGTGCTAGTTCCTTATAATGACGTAACCTTTCTGTAGTGTGTAAAAGGTCTGATACAAGCCTTTCTACCAAGGGAAGAGATTCTACTGCCAAAGGGTACTGATAACCCAACTTATCCAAGTGGTTACGAAGGGCTCTGTACCTATGTTCCAGCATTCCATTATCCATTGTATCAATATATTTAAGATCTTTACCTGAAATAATGGCAAAATTAGTAGTGGTATGGACAGCAATATTTAAGATAGTGTCAAAATGAAACATGCTGAAACAAAACATGCAATTCAATCTGTCAGTTCACTTACTTTATATGCCAATGTATAATGTTATAATTTGAAATTAAATATCACAAACCTCAGAAATTTTTGTCCCTAATCAGTACCACTGGTTAAATATTATCGCATCTGTTTGTTAGTAGATGTCACATCTGTTATATGGAAGAAAACGGGATTGGGTTCATTGGGAAGCCTCGCTCTGAAACACCTGTTTTAACACTGGGGTATATTTATTAATTACATAAATTTACAGGATTCCTACGGGCTCTGGTTACAGATTTATGTAAATATCGAACAGGCAGTAAAAAACACGCACGGATAACCTATGCATAACGTAAAACAGCTGCTCCAATAATAATTCATTATAATAAAAAAATATATATCGTTTTCATAGTCATCATAAAAATGGCTAAAGTGCAAGGAATCCGACAGACGATCTCTTCATTTCTGTGATCCACAAACTTCAAAATGTGGATGTAAAATCATTCTGAACAACCACATCACAAGACTAGCCCACACACACACTCCACGGCAGCGTAGGAAATTTGTGAACAACACTATAGATTAATTTTCGAGACCCTCACGGATAATGTGTCGTTACATTTCAATTATGATATCTCGAAATTTCAGAAAATAATGTGTTTAATCCTCACTAACATGATGCCATGCCAACATTATTAGTTTCGCCATTAAAATTAATTTATTTTTTGTAATTCGCGCGAAGAGTTGTACACTTAAATCGATGTGCGTTCTAACGTTAATTTTACGTATTGCATGTTCAAGGCGGTCAAGGCGGCATGGTCACTTTTATGCCTGCTCGTCGTACATCCATGTTATGCACCTGCTTGTCAGCATTAATTTGTCGCAGGTTAAGGTTATTCCGAACGACGACAATGTACGTTTTGTCTGATTTCTAACGGTGTAACATGTATGTGGTGGGGTACATACAGTCCTTACGGTCCTTACTCAATTGCCACGGATCCGAAGTGTCAGGCTTGTCGCACCGCAGAAATATTTTAGAAATTCGGCGAACAAAATGAGGGTTCTGTCTCGCTTTATATTGAATTACAAAGTATAATCTTCATAGTGTCAACAAAATACCTCCTTTTAAATAGCAGTCGAAGGATATATAATAGTTGTTTTTTATGCTAGTGACGGATGAAAATTCTTTTTCTTGAACGAAATTGCAAGTGGCATCAGATTGCCTTGATTCACAAGGGGACTTCAAATGAAGCCTGTAAAAGTTCAGAGTTTCCATCCAATCCAATGCCTAAACTTCTATGACAGAGAAACGAATATAAATCACAATTTGAATTTCACATAAACCAACAATGTACTGAAGAATACTTCCACACTGTTCCGCGTGCCATCTTCGAGAGCAGGGGATCTCAGCTTTTTAAGGTCTGGCATCATATTCATCCTATTCTATTGACTCATGGGCTGCTGGGATATGACTGACAATTTGTTAAACCTATATGACAATTTATTAAAAATGCTGCTAATATACTACTGCAAAAAGGTTCACATAGGCATATATTTATTACATTTAGTTAACAAATCTGGTGATTTGATTATTTACTTACAGTCAGTTATTTAATTTCGTGTTAACTCTTTCATTGTACAAGATGGTACAGTACAAATTTTATGCAGCTCATACAAAACACACTGGCCTGTGTTAAAAATTCAAATGTTAGAGATATTTCATTTTCTGTAGGCCTTTTTATAGAATTCACAGGCAGTCAGAAATGCTGCACAGTCTGTTGTATACTTGAAAAGTTCTATCTTCTGCAGTATAATGCTGTGCGGTCTGTTGAAAGCCAGCTGATGTTTCAGAATACACAGAACTCTTCATAACTACACAAGAATGACATGTCTTATATCATGTATAATGATCCATGGACACGAAATAAATGAATGAATGAATGAATAACTACTGCTATGAGAACCTCAAATCCTCCATGTTGTATACTTTATTCAAAAACATGTCTGGAAATAAAATGACACTAACACATATAGCACACTGTGATTTTAATAATATTAAGATTAATATTTTTCATATGAATTTCATTCTATTTCTGTATATTAAATTTTATACACTGAAAGTTGATGGTACTCTTTTCAATTGCCGCAGAGGTACACACTTTCATCTATTTCACTGATCTGGAAACAGGATCAGAAAGGATATATGGGCAGAACATGCTTACTGGGGTTATTGTTTTGTTATATAATAAAAACACCCAAATTATTTCAATGCTTTATTGCTAAGTATAAACATGACATAATAAAAATAGTTTTACAAATAAATCTATTAACATCTGTAATCAAAATTTATGTAATATAAAATCAAGTTTCTTCCTTTAGTATTTCTGATTATAATTTGCATCATAATTTGACAGGAACAAACATACTTATGATAAATACAAATCTGGTATGTCATGTAATATGATCCTTTTTAATTTATAGACAATTTTGAGAAATTACTGGTAATTAAAGTTGTGTGTGTGACATGTCATTAAACATTTAATCTTTTACTCAGTTACAATTTATTTATTTATTTCATATCATATCCATGGATCATTGTACATNATACTCAGCTACAATGCCTGACATGTTTTGTATCAATAATTTACATAAACTTTCTTTGTGATACTTTAATGCCAGAATTAATATAAAAAACCAATAATAAAAATTTATCATTTGACATCCTTCTACAAACATTTCTAAGGCTTTTTATTTCTGGTATTCAATTCCTTTAATGTCTGCCTAATTAGCACAATCTTTTACCACTGCGTGTTCTTATCACAATTGTTTCCAAAGTCCAAAGTGCTTTAATAACATTAAATTTGTACATCAGTCATAATTATTTTATGATTGCTGTGGTAACTGCTTAATCACATTAACTATAACTGCTACTACAAAACTATATAAATTGGATATATAATACTGAGAAAGTTATAATAATTTCTTTATCTGATTTTTTAATAAGTAACTATTATATACATTTTCCAGTTCAGAGGGCTATAACAGTGAAGTCCCCAGCTTACATGGTTAAATTGTTCTGAAGGTTTCCATGTAAGGCCAACAGTGTTTAAACATGATATATTTTTTGACATATGTATTCACCTCAATGAATAGTTACAAGCTAAACATGCATGTACAATAAAATGTATCATAACATACCATATTATAACGTGTTATTACATACTGTATAAACCCTATAAATCCGTAGAAGTACTTAAACTCACTAAATAGAAAGAAATTGTACTTGTGTATCCATATATCTACAAATTCATGTAACTCAAATCTATGTAAGTCAGGGACTTACTTCAGTCAGTTAAAAATAATGGATATACTCGTATACTGTAAAAAGCTTTTTAACTATGGATATTTTTTCTGCAACTATAAATTCTGAAGAGAGAATAATGATCTCAACAAAATAATAACAACTGACAACTGAAAAGTATATTCACATGTTATGTATATTTGTTTCCTGGATCATTTAGGTGCTAAATTATTTGTATTATCGAAGCAGATGTGAAGACTTAAAAACACATTATGTTATACTTTATTACAATTAACAAGACAGTACTCTTAAACAGCAACAAAAACTGTTATTGGCAGTTTTTATTTTATTTACATTGCTGCAGAGCGTGTTCAGATTACTGCCAATTAATGGCCAAGATATGAAAAAGAAGACTGACAGAAATTCATTTTTATTTAAAAACCGAGTTTGTAAAATGTCTGCTCCTAAAATTGTGCCACCCCAGATGGCAGCTTGGTTCACCTGTGATGTAGCATGGCCCTGATTAGTAATCAATAGTGGGTTGAGGGGTGGGTGAAAGAGGAAGTGACTTGGCTTTACTTGAACTGTTAATATTGACCCATTGAATGTGTGAAGGCTATGAAATCTAGGTTCTGGTAGAGAGCTCCCTGTCTGACTAACAACTTAAATTCTTCTGCTGGGACTGAAATGACTACCAGCAGAACTTATTTTTGATATGTAATATTTATAATATTTATTATAAGCCACTATATATTTTTTGCCCCTTATCGTGGTGAGCAGGTTTGAGTAGGCCAAGGACCCTGAGAGCTATACCAGCGGTAGCGTAGCTACTGGCAGGGCCTCCCTTGATGGACAGGTCAAAGGGTAGGCATCACACGAAGAGAGACACCAAAAACCAAAAACTGATGACGGAAGCAGCATCATCAGCAGTGACTTGAAGCACAGAGTAAATGATGCTCGAGATGGTTCAAGTTCATATAGCAACAGGTGTGACCAGAGTGGTTTGAACGGCTGTTGTACTGCGATGTGGAAAGCAAATGGAAAAACTACCACATTATCACTTTTCCTGGATAGTCTCTTTCCAAAACCAGAGATACCATGTATGCGAGAGGTTTCCTCTGGAGACAAAACAAACTGGAGGGGCAGATAGAAGTGACCAAAAGACGAGAAAGAAGACGTAAGAAGATGATGGATGACTTTGGGGACAGATGAGGATATTCTTATTTGAAGGAGAAAGCTTGAGATCGCATTAAGTGGAGGAACTGTTTTGGAAAAGACTGTGGACCTGTCGTCTGGCAGATTACTGATGAATGAATGAATATTGTTTTAATTTTTAGTGATCTACAGGTGGAATCTGCTACAGAAACCCCTATTATTGAATCATCATACTCTCTTGCAGGTTATTTAATTGATATGTATCCATTACGACTTGGTCTTCAATGTGTTACATAAGAGAAATAAAAAGTAAAGTGAAAAGTAAAGATATCCCTATAACAGGTCGTGATGGCTCATAGGGTTGTGAGATGTTGAGGTTCCCACATTTTCTAGGCAATCGGCTCATAGATGGTGGTAAAGTTGTCAGCCTTACGCGCTGGCCGCCCTCTACCCCCCAGAATATTCCTGGCACTCATTTCTGTTAGAGGCTGTCGACCACGGGGCCATAGTGCGGCTGGAAGGATTAGGTAAATTGAAAAAATCCACCTCATTGGGATTCAATCCCACAACCTACCAGCTTGTAGCATACTGCCTCAACCAAATATGGTACCACATGCCCCCACATAAGAGAAATATAATTCATTATTTTATAGTGCACTGTAAACAAATCTGAAGTGGATCAATCTCAATAATATGACCTATAAGAATACATGACAATTCAATATCAAGGTCTTCTACAACATTGTTACATGTGAATCCATTGCATAGGTAACGGCTTGTTGATACATGTATCTGGGATGACAAGCTGGAAGTTGGTTGTTAAGGAATGGCTCGATAAGCATTGTTCTCACAGCAATGTAGACAGACATTTCCTGCACAATGGAGATGTAGTTTTCATTACAATGAATAGCTGAACTGTTCGACTCAGTGTCCCCTATTTGGTATTCCAAGCAAATAGAAAGTAGCAATAGTAGTAGTAGAGAAGAATAAGAATAATAAGAAGTGAGTTGGCAGTGAATCGGCGTGCTTTCGAAAACTAAGCAGAGCTATGCAGAATTTGAGGAGACCAGAGGTGCAAGATCTGAACAACAGTGAGGGATTCGTTATCCAGAAGGAGCTCAATGTGTGAACTGTTATGATAGAGTGTAATTGTAACATGGAGGTCAAATAAACCCAGTCATCAAATCTAGAATCCAGTTATTAGTTCCGATACTCCAGATACACTTGACAATATGTAGCACCTGAAGATAACTAAAAAAATGGTTGAAGCATGAACTGTGTTTTAATAATTACACACACCCATATGCACACATAAACACATGAAATATATCACTGACAGCCGTTTCAATCGCAGTACAATACAAATATGCAACAGGATGCAAAATTAGAAATTGGATTCTCCTGCATATGAATTAGGTTTGGAATCCACTACATAGTGAATCATAGCTATGGGAAAATGTGGAAATTTTGGAAGTTCTGTTGATTGGACCACAGAAGTGCATATAACTTAGAAGAAAGGATAAGTTTTTTTGTTACAGCCATCCTCTTTGCACAAAATCCTGCACAACAAATTTAACCTTTTCCTCAAAGAGTTCACCACCATAGTTGTCCTGAAGCATTACATCAGCATTCACATCTGACAACTGAGGTACTTCATTTTCATGAGCAGTAATGAATTTTGCCATGAAGAGGATGTGTGGCAATTCTTTTGGAGCATTTGTATTGAGTTCATCCTGAAACTTTTCTATGGAGAAAGGATCAATATCACATGCTAATCCAGTGAGACAGTCAATGAATTCATGATGATAAAGTCCTATCAGATCATCACAGTGGTCCTTTACCACACCACTAACTGCACTGCTATATATGAAGAATATTAGATCATGGATTGGTGAGGCATAGAGTGTGGTTTGAAAATCCACAAATTTTATACTGATAGGAATTTCAGTCTTGCATGGATCATTTGCATTGTCATCATCAGTTTCATATAAGAACATCATGTTATTTACCCAAAAGTCATTATGGACAAATGTAGCAAATGGTTCCTTAGGAGGAGGAGGAGAAGGATTCACCTTCCTCTTCAAATCCTCTCGTAAAATCCTTTCTATCTTTTCAAGATACGGCAAACATTCTTGAATACATTTCACATCATTTACTGTAGATGTAATCCATTTCTCTGCTACTTCATCATCTGATATGCCAGCTACTATATATCTGTCACATGATTTGAGAACTGTCTCTTTGAAGACATTTGGTTTCAAGATTTTGAGTGCTACTGAAACAGCATGGAATCGGGCCAGTTGAGTCACTCCCAGCTCCATGTGTTTCAAGTTGAGACCTTTTCTGCGATTTCCAGTGCAATATCCATCCACCTTTAGATTCCCTAAAAGAAGAACTGCTGTGTCATCTGATTTATCATTAAAATCTCCTTGTTTATTTGTACGAGCACCATAGAACTTTGGGAATACATCGACACGTTTGTTGCTTGGAACTCCTTTCTCTTCTTGTAGATCCTTATACTGTGGGCTTACAAGCCTGTATGCATTCACCTCTTTGCTGAATGTAACTTCAATATCAAAGGCCTCACGAAGAAACGCTGATGGTGGTACTAGTTTAACTACCAATGCGAGTGTGTTTCTCTTGTTACCTTGTTTAATGTTAAGTTCTGCAGATAGAATGGCGCTGCCATAATTATCCCCAGGTTGAGTGAGAGCCTGGGTTTTGAAGTCTTCCACTCTGACATCAGAACCCAATTGTGGGGAAAGCAAAGATTCAAATTCTTGTTTTGTTAGCTCAAATATAGTACTATCTTTATCAGGACACACTTCCATCTTTTGCACTTGACAACGAAATCTGTGAAAGAAACAATTTGTAGAACATTTTAAACTGAGGGAAGGAAACAATGAATTTCAAAGTTTCTGTGTTTTTAATTAATCATTACAAATTTGTCATAAAAAGTCAAGCTGTTCGTGTGTGTGATTAATCGCCCCACCATGCAGATGTGTGGCGAAGGGGAAGCATAGTTCCACACATTAACCTTGGTAGTACATGGAGGAGAGTTGTCAGTTTCAATTACAGACCACATTACGCCTGGGAAAACAGCCTCCAGTGTTGACTGGATGCGAGTCTGGATGGGCCCCAGGGCAAGTCTCGATGCTGTTGTAAAGAGATCTTTTGCCCATCAGAAATCAAACCCAACTTTCTTTGCCCTCCAGGCAATATACTGACAGACCTATTCCAACTGCACCAAGTATACAGGCAGTAAACTTACACTGTAGGGTTACTTACAAAAACAATACTAAGAGAGGGTATTTTTTGTTTTAAGTATGAAAGCCCCCTCGTTGAACGGCTGTTGTACTGCGATGAGGAAAGCAAATGGAAAAACTACCACATTATCACTTTTCCTGGATAGTCTCTTTNGAAACACAAGAATGAGAATTATCAATGTAAATTCTTCCTGAGCACCTAGCTAACCAACAGATGACTGTAACTTACTATTATCATAAATTTTCATAGAATGATGAGCTCCAAATTTTTATACAGTGGATCTTCAGTCTGACAATTTATCTCTGCTAACTTATCACACTACAAGGAATGTTGCAAATGAAAAACACTTATCACATCCACCCTCACTGATTGTGTTCTGTATAATCTTTGTAAAATAGGGTTTTTCATGACATGATTCACATTCCAGAACATTGTCTGAATAAATGTGTACTGCATTCATTAACCTTTTGCAGGCCAACCTCAAATATACTTGCTTCTGCCCAGTGTCTGCTGGGCCAACACTGAATATTCTTGTCAATTCTAAAGGTACAGATGATGGCCTGTTACACCCAGGATTACTGAACTTCTGGACTTTGCCCATTGTCTGGTATTCTGCAGGAATTAAATGTTTCAGAAACTTGATCTGTTTCTGTCATAAGCTGAAAGACTGCGGAGGCACCCACTTACGTTCGATACCCTAAATGCCTAATCTCAATTACAGGACCAGTGATTCAGAAATATGTCCAGTTTCCTAAATGCTGTGATCTTTTAGAACCTTAGACAGTGGACAATGTCCAGAAACTCAGTACTTCAAACTGAATATACTTGGTTCCAGGTTTTCTACTTTTTCACCCCTTTACACCAACACTGAGTACCTTTGTTATTCTGATGGTTCAAAGCACAAATACTGTACATCCACTTTTTTCAATTTAAAGTTACTGTGTCTCCTTGATTGTCACACTTGTTTTGCACAAATACTAAGTTCAGATAACCATGATGTTGAGAAAAATGATTATGAAATATTGTATGTCACACTATGAAATTGTGCTGGTGCATCCTCAGTGTGAGTTTAGTAAAAACTGTTCCGTTAAGGGTATATCAAATGTAAATAAATTATATCTAATTTTAACTGTTACTCTCCAAAAGAATTTTTAGTTAAAAATTCTAAAGTATTGTAAATATGCACAATAAACATATTCCTTTGACACAATTATTTGGTTTGCATAATATAATGTTCTTATAAGATGTCTGTAAATAGCTGCAGTAACCATGTATTTATATTTATATTGGTATTATGCGATGTATTATGACATGTTGTAGATCTTTGACTTAGTCCCATGAAGCATTAATGCATTGTAATTATAAATTCTGTTCTTTATACTGGGCTTAAAGCCATAAATATATTCTTTACAACTTCTTTATTAAAACTGTCACAACACAACTATATCAATGTCAGTGCCTAGTTCTGGCTCTTACTACATGTTTCGGCTATTAATAGCCATTATCAGGCAAATACATGGCTAACATATATGCACCACTGAACTGCAGTATTAATATATTAAAATACTTGACATAAAAAGACAATAAATTAGATATATATAAAACAAAATTTATGGTATAAAACAAGAATAAAATTCGATTGATGCTTTACATCACTGAGTCAGTCGTTGGTTTTTGTGATTTTTGTTGTGTTCCCACGGACAAATTGGAGTATTCTATATTTTGTGTATAAAACTGTTATATGAGGCTCGTGATGTAGATGTAATATAAATGTTGATTATTTAGTTGGTGCCTCATCTTACAAAGTACTGTCCGTTCTGTAGGGAATGTAATTCTTTGAAAGTTTAAATTTTTGTGCCTTTTCAAAAAAGTGTGAAGAGATAATCAGCAACTCCTCCAAGCAAATCATCAAGAATATCAACAAAAATTAGTAAAATCTGGAGCAGCCTGAACTGAATTGCAGTCCCACTTTCTCTGAATTTAATCTGCTCTTAATCTGTCTGGGAACGTAATTCTGGTTTGCTCATAACAATTTTGTACAATATTTGTAGCATTTGAGATATTACCACAGGAGAATTATTCCAACTTGAACTTATAATGCATTTTATTTCATGTTGTACTACAGAGTGTGACAATTATTCAATAAACAAATTAATAAAATTAACCACTGGACAGTAGTTTCAAGAGTTGGTTGGCCTGATATTTCTTTGCTTGTTGTTAAAACGGATAATCATACACTAAAATCTTCATAGGTGGCCATCAAATTTGAGTTAAAAACCCTCCATCTATCCATACTTGTTTGAATTTTCAGCATTTATACAACATTAATTACATGTAACAAACCTCATAAAACCCTCAGTCCTTGCTGTTTTATTCCTGTGTGAGCCCACACTGGCATTCACACAGCCAGTGCTGTTATGAAACTGAACTACAGGCATTCATTTGAAACTGATAAGAATTTGCATGTTCATTTTTACACACATACTTTTTTTTGTTAATGTCAGAACATGTGTGTCCTTTATCTGTTAAACCATGCCCATATTTTTATCAGTAAACTTTGTATTGTCGTTACGTAACAGGAGCCATCAAACCTATGACAGTTCATCTTTATCTTCAACATTTGTATGAGTTATGGTTTGCACAAGCTCTACTACTGTAAAGCACTTTATTTTAGTCAAGCCATTTATATTATGACTTAATTAGTGAACATATCATATCATGTAATGTATGGAAGGGGTGGGCCATAAAAATCGGCCCCCGCACTGTGACCTTCAATGATCTATTGTGCTTCCCCTTGGATTAGCCCTTTATTAATCCTACTCTCTTAATAAAGTGTACGACCCTGCTTATGGGGGCATCATAAAAGTCACTTGGCTCCATAAAAAATTAACCCAACTGGCAAAATCTTAAATAAGCTGTGGCCTCACAATCACACAGGATTATATCATATCATAATACATCATACAACGGAATCCCCACTTAAATACTCAATTTAAGTTTTTTTTTTATTTAATGTTTGTCCTTCATTTATAGTTAAATTTCAGAGGTCCCAAGTATATCCTTTCAGTGTTAAAGATATTCCTCAGTATAGTGTTCAAATTCAATGCTCTCAAAAAGAAACCTTAATAGTTTCACTGCATACACAATAATTAAATATCCCTCCCAATGTTCCTCCTGAACAGCATGCTGTAGAAAAAAAAAACGATAAATAAAAATGTTTCCTCTGGAGAGAGAACCCTGGCAGAATTGCTAATTTTACTGTTACTGTATCAGTTGAAGTTCAATCCAATTTGTTCCCCAAGTTAAAGTCAACGTCACATTGCAACTGATGGCCAGTCAGTCAGTAAGTCTTGGTGTTGAGCACCCTCCTGGGGCTCATGACCAGATATTCATTACTGTTTGACAGTTATGGTCTTGTTTTTTGTGGGTGCCCTCTCTGATGAGAGGACGGCTCTGTCTTTTGTATATGTTGCTGGTCCTTGCCAGTGCACTCTTTCTTGGGTTGGAGTCTCTTGGTACTCGAGACCATATATTACTGTCTCAAATTTGTGACTTCTCTTTAGTTTCCTCCTACGACTTGCAGGGTCACGGTGGAGGTATTCGACCCTGCTGCCACACGCGTGCTCTCCTCTGTCAATTTGTTCCCCTACTGCTTCACCATTAATAAGAGAATCAGGCCAGCAACAGTGCTTATATTTTCAATGTAACCACGGTAATGAAACATGTTCTGAAGGCCACAAAAATGTAAGATTTAAGTAACCACCAAATACTCAAATAGAATCTGTCAATGAATCTGGTTATTAATCTATTAATGGAGACAGCTTATCTGGATTAAATTGACAAAGACAACAAGTCCTTACAGAAAGCAATGCTTTTCTAACCTCTGTAAGATTGAAGATCTGAAAAATTCACACCAAAATGAATAGCTCTGTTAAGTAATGAAACTTGTTACTGTGCAAATTAGTTTACTTGGGTATGTATTATGATCTCTTAGAGGGCTTTATTTTAAACTATTTTATAACTTGAATGGAAAACAAGCTATGTACCTCCAAAATGTAAGGCTGTCTTCAATTACATTCCATTAGAACCCTTCATAGGCACTGTCACATGAACAACCACAACCCTAACCACAAACAATTTTTTTTATTAGATATATGATTAGAACTACAGGAACATATGTGTTTTCATTTAGGAATATTTAAAGTACCTGTGATCATGAAACTGACCACTAATTAATGCACACCATGAAATAAATTCATAGATTCTATATATTTGTAAGAATAAACATGTTATGCCTCTGTACATGCATGAGATCCCTCAAAATATTACCAAAGCCATTTAAGATACAATAAGGAAAGGTACGTAATATATGAAATATAATATACACCTTTATATAAATATATGCAATAACAATATATTAAAATAGTTAAATATGTCACAAAATCTACCTGAATACTCTTTATGCTTTATATCAGAAAACATCTCTTGGAGGGTCAAATCACAGTTTTATTCCAGTACTTCTTATTGGTCTGTAAATATGAGAAGAACATCACTCCGAGTTAGCATTACAGCAGGTTTCAGAAGTTTCTGCCATGACAAAGGAACCATTTTTCATCTTCTGCCAAATTACGACATTTCTCAGGTGGTTCACATGTTGCTAAATTGACTGTATCACTCTTGAACCATCACTTAATTACATAGAATCTTAAAACAGTTGCAGTTCTATGCCATTCGCTTCAGACTGTAGTGAAATGTGGCTGCGTACAGGTTCTCACTGTCGTGATGGAAATATAATGCTCTTCCACTAATGCAAGTGATTTAGTGACCAATTTGGATGATGGCAAAGCAAGGGAACACCCAGGAGGGGCACAGTACCACCCCCCTCTACCGTGCTCTCTCCTCTATTTCCCTCTGGCACACGTGATTCAGCCCAAAGCACTTGTCCCCAGTGAAGGTCATCACATAATTATCATTACCAATGATCCTGTGAATGGAAGGGCTGGAAGAATGAAGGGGAATATATGGATGCATGTTGGAGGTGCAGCTGTGACAGCCTGAGAGAGATGTGGAGAGGCTGATCTGTTGCTTCAGTAGAAATATGAAATTCACACTGACCAAATTCAGTAGAAGTAACTTATAATCAAATTAGTAATGGAAATACACTGAAAATGCCTCTGCTAGAATACCATCAGCAATAAAACCTGTATATAAACTTGCTTCAATTAAGAATTTTTTTTTTTTCACCGCTGTGCTCAATATATGGTGTTCTGATAGAGTTGTTAATTGCCGCTGAAGTCAGACCACGGTCCATCAATCAGTTTACTATGTACATTCCAAAGATTCTGTAACATAAACATCACAAACTATATTTTGAGTCTCACTGGCTGTGCTTGCCAATCAATGAACAAGCAAAGCAAATAGTATTTCTTGTAATGCAAATTGGCAATAGCAAATCTCTCTTCCTTATGCAGTCTACTACTGCAGTATAGGAATACATTAGTCAGGTGAAGCATTTTTAAAGAGATGTCAGCAGAACCTTGCAGTGACAGAAATACTTGAAAAAACTAAAATTCTTGATTTGAGAGGAATGGAACCATTTAGAAGCAAGATATGCATTAATGACAGGATATTGGAACAAATTAGTACTTCTAATATTTGGGATATCCCCTGATGGAGAAATGGATTAGGATGTAAAATTTGTAAATTTATTCAGAATAAGCAGAAATTATAAATCAGATCTTCAAACCACCATTGGTTTCTGGGCATACAAGAATACTTAAAGGATGTTTGTTAGACCAACATCTCATGGTTGATAAGAACTAATGACAGAAGATGGAGAAATGAACATTATGACGGCTGCAAGATATGCCATTTCAGACCATAAAAGAAATGAAGAAATTATGAGAACTAGAAGTTCCACATATAAGAGAATTTACAGAACAACACAGAAGAAACTGAGGGGGCAAAAAAAAAAAGTTTACAAAATGAACTCTGATAGGATTCCAAAAGGATCTTAAAATATAAACTAAAAGAAAGAATAAGTGTGGAAGACTTCTGATACAATGGAAAACTTATGTTTTGTATCCTCTGTGACATCACACTAAGGTGACAACTAAAGCACATACAAAATAACATTTCATATATAATCCCTTAAAAGCAGTACCAAAACTGACATACCTTGAAATACTTGACAGTCTTAACTCTGAGTTCCAATGTGGCATCTTCATCACAGAGAAATATTGTGTGTCTGTGTTGCTGGAATGCAGATACTGTCCACATGTGGTTTACACCTTCTTCTATGGCTTTGTACAGTGCAAATGCTTTGTGGGTTCCTGTTATGAGGATCATAACCTGTCAACCAGGAAATAAATATTGTATACTGTTACTGACATTTCCAACATAAATATCAAGGAATATGAGACACTTACCAGCACAACATTATCCAATATACTTCATATGAGGCCTATAAAAAAACAACACATTCCTGAAGCCAGAACAAGCATAACATTCACCACAACCTTGTGTTTTACTTACTTACTCATGGAGCTGAGCTCTTCTTGAGGAGCTGTCAATTCTGCAGCTACTCAAGAGCTTCCCAGCATTTTATGGAACCCTAAGGTTCATTACTGTGTCCACAAGAGCCCTCCACTGGTCCCTATCCTGAGTCAGATCAATCCAATCCATCCCATCCCATCCTATCTCTCTAAGATCCATTTTAATATTGTCCACCCACCCACGCCTTGGTCTTCCCAGTGATCTCTTTCTTTCTGCATTTCCCACCAATATCCTATATGCATTCCTCTTCTTCCACATTTGTGCTACATGCTCTGCCCACCTCATCCTCTTTAACTTGATCATTCTAATTATACTTGGAGAAGAGCACAAGTTATGAAGCTCCTCATTATGCAGTTTTCTCCAACCTCCCGTCACTTCTTCTCTCTTCGGTCCATATATTCTCAACACTCCGTTCTCGAACACCCTCAGTCTATGTTAAGGTCCAAGGCTTTTTGAACATTTCTGTAACCTTGTGTTTTACTAAGAAGAAATTCATACCACATAATTTTGAGATTATTTATATATAATTCTAATGTACACATAAGCAATCTGCTTTCATTATACAAACTTCTGAAGATGGAATTATGGGACTGAAAACATGCAAAGTGATTATATTCATTGAACAAGATTGCACATTTTCTTGTCATTTCCTGCTGACTTAGCCTGGTCTCAAGTAATTAAAAAGCTGTAGTGAATCTGACAAGGGTTGTCCAGTGATTGAGGTTAGCTCTTTCTAAAAGGGACACAACAGAGTAGGTGTCTCCACCCCCACCCCCCACCTGAGGCTCGGACAGATCCAGTTTTCAAAACATTGTGTTTTCAAGTTTCGAGAACACTAGACGATGGACAAAGTCCAGAAAAAGTCAGCAATTCTGAGTATTCACTGAAGTGTTTAGTAAAGCTTGTTACACTTGATGGTTGACTCACTCCTTAACGATTCTATAATGTAAGATTTGAGGTTTTTGCAGCGGTGACTATGAAGAAAGCAGTTTTCTGCGATGTGGTGCCATGTAAATATTGTGTTAACTGACATTTCGGAGGAACGTATTGCATCCATCTTCAAGGTAAAGAAAAAAATAAGAAAATCCATGAGCGAGGAACCAGCGTGAGCAGGTGCTCACAGACTTTTCTTCTTTTTCTCTTCTACCCTGAAGATGGAGGTGATACGTTCCTCCGAAATGTCAGTTAACACAATATCTACATGGCACCACATCACAGAAGACTGCTTTCTTCAAGCGTATAATGCTTTGAAAAATACTTGTATAATAATATTACTTAAAAATATTCTCATTCCACGTCTGCATGGTGGCTCAGTGTTGATCTGATTAAGGTTTTTGGGCCATGATGTGTATGTACTGACCGTCTTCTAGTGCATACAATCTCACTTGTCACTTCACTACATGTTTCGGCATCACTGTGCCATCCTCAGGTGTGTTATTTACGTTAAACTATTGTACTAATCACCATCATGTGTCGTTCGTAAAATGATTTAAAATGTATATTCGTCATGTACTATAATAAAATTTATATATTAAAATTTTGTTAAGATTTATCATCTTATATGTCGTATTTCAAACTCGTGTATTATATCAATCTTCCACTATGGGAGTTGTTCTTCCTATATTTTGTGTATACTGTGTCTTGTGATGTGTCCTTCTCTTGTGGCTCTGTGGTTATATTGCTGGAGCAATACAACACACAGAGTCCAAGACACTGAGTCACAGAAATTATTAGGAAATGCTGTTCATAAATCAACAGTTACAAACACATGAATGGTATAAAACTTTTAGGTTACAGTTAACAAATTTAAGGTAGACAGAATCTATACTCATACAGTAAGCTCTTCACAAAATAGAAGAATAAAACAATAACAGTAGTATCATATCTGTATGAAATATATGTAATATGAAAGAAGGATTTATGAGTTGTTACGAACTTCTCGTATATGCTGTTTTGTGTGAGTAGGAAGTACAGACGTTAAGACATAAGAATTAGGGAGGCGGTTAAATTAAAATTACGGGCTTTGATATTCATGATGTCAAACCTTTCTGTTATCAGAGGCTCACCAATGAGTGAGCTGAAAGAAGAAACTCATCCTACCTCTTTGGCATCCATAACAGTACCAACACCTACTGTTAAGGCTTGCTTAGGAACTTTTGACATGTCATTTCCGAAGAAGCGAGCGTTGGCTTCCAGAGTATCTTGGGCTAGGGTCTTTACTCTTGTTCTTGACACCAAAGATGATCCAGGTTCATTAAATGCTATGTGTCCATCTGGGCCAATACCTGAATATGAACAGTGGTCATTAAACGGTAAGTATGTACACATACAATGCCTGGTGCATGGGTATGGAACATGGTCCTTTATTTTGAAAGAAAAGAAAAAGACATACATTTCAAGTTTGATTCTTTAAATGATAATCTATATGTGTCACAATAATTTCTTTTATAAGAAGAGCATTGTCTTCTGGGTTTTAACACCGTGTACTCCGGAGACAGCCAAACTACTGCCTCCATCTTCAGGGTTAAGGAGTACACCCAGCAAGAAACCTGCAGAAGCAGGGAGCACAAGCTGAGTGCCGTTACATGTTCTCCCAAAATTCTGGGCAGAAGATAGAACCTGTTATTTAAATTAAATGTTAAATGACGGAAAATCTTTAAGTAACCTTAGATAACGGCTCCACATATATTAAATCAAGAAGGTACTGGACGTATATTATAGATGGGGGGGGGGGACTAGACATGCATGCAGAATTTTAGTTTGAAACCCCTTGAAAAGCAGTAACTTGATCTGCAAGCGAAGAAATGCGTCTGTCTAGCCCTCTGATGTGTGTAAGTTTGTATACATATTCAGATGAGTACAATTCTTTACCTCCGATAAATAATTCTATTCCTCCAGCTTCTGTTATTTTTCTCTCAAATTCGTCACATTCCTTCTGAAGATCTGAAGCATTCCCATCCAAAATGTGAACATTGGCAGGATTTATGTCAATATGCTTAAAGAAGTTATTCCACATGTAATAGTGATAACTCTCGGGATGATCCCTTGGAAGATCTGAAAACCATACACTGAGTAATCTGGAGATTTTATCAGAATTAATCCACACTGGGGGGGGGGAGACAAAAACATAAGGAAATAAAAACTGAAGGAAATGTCTCAGGCAAAGCAGGAATGATACCAGGTCAAAGTACAGGAACATGGTATCAAACAAAACTGTCTGTATCTGTCAAAGATTTCTACTGGTAATTGTAAACTTATCAACAGCATGGTAAGGTTTATCTGCTTTTCAAGTACCACTAATACAGCAAATTAATACATTTCTTATATTTTGATCCATCTTATTACAAATTGAATATTCACAAATTAACATAATTGAATAATTATCCTTGATATGGCAAACATAGACAGAAAACCTTGAAGTACTACAAAATTTAGTCATATGAATAATAGTGGTGTAAGAACAGAGAAACAATATCCATTATGTAATATCTAAAGGGTATTATGAATAATTTAAGAAAATTGGTATACAAAAGTAATTATTTTTATAACCTCACACTTCTATCAACCCCATCATGTTCTACTTCTTTATCTGAAACAAACAAATTTAATTAAATGAAAACAAAATGGCACTGTCAACTGTGACTCCTTATTAACCTTATATGATTACAACTTAGATGCAGCTTTCACCCAACCACATTTTAACTTTTGATGCTTTCAAAAATTCTACCAAATTATCATAATTCTTGGATCTACAGTAACATATTTACTAGCAATCCCATCATTTGATGCAATGAAATTCACTGCATGCCAGTGACAATCCTGTCAAATGACTATTACTAATGTCTGTGTAAATGCAATTTTCAATTGAAATGTGAAGAAACTTCAGGTGTAGCTTGTTGAAGCTCAAAAGAATCAAAATGTACAGCAACTGTCAACTTGTTTCCCTTTTCTCTCCAGTTTTTGTTTTGAATAAATAAGAGACAATCTTTAGATGATTCAAAAGCAGGAAACATAATTAATTATAGTACATACTTTTTTTTTAGTTGTAATCTATCTCTCCATTAAATCGGACATTTACACAATGGAATCGTCCGTCAAATAGAATCAGATATTAAATAATAACATATAATGGGCCTCTGAACACTACATCAGCCATTGTGTACATAATATGTCCGTATAAGCATTACATATAATACAATTACACCTGCCAACTTCCAAATACCATCACATATAAAACTTTTGACTATGTAACTGGTAAGCACCTGAAGATGGCATTATTATGCCGAAACATGTAGTGCGAGGGAAAGAAGGAGATAAATGAATGTATGCACTGCAAGACGGATTAAATAAATCATGGATGTAACTGGTTATTTAAGACTTCAACTTTTATTGTAATTTATATTTTATATTCACTCATATCATTTTATACCACTGCATACACTTGGAAGGTTAGCGCTGTATCCTATATTCGACATGCAATTCAACAACGAAAAGTTTGATATATTTGCCTGATGATGGCCTTTTGAAGGCCGAAACATGTAACAAAAGTATCTCTTAGAGCTACTTACACGTATTATTGACTGTTGTGTTATGACAGTTTTCAGTAAGAAATAATACAGTACATCCTTTCATTCATTTTGAAATGATTAATTCAAGTTTTGATAGAGAAACTCACCAACATACTCATCCATATTGAATGTCTTCACATACTTGAATGAAATCTTCCCAGCATTGTGGAATTCAATCAGCTTCTTATACATACCCAGAGGAGTACTCCCTAGGAACAAGAAACAACAGGAAAATACCTAGTAAATAAAAACAGTTAAACAAAACAAAAATAAATAGAAAACCATATTATCTCAGATTTACATATCATACATGGGGGATGCGAGTGTAGTTAGTTGAGGCACTGTGCTACAAGCCGGATGGTCGCGGGTCTGAATCCCATGAGGTGATTTTTTTTTCAATTTACCTATTCCTTCCAGCCGCACAATGGCCCTGGGGTCGACTCAGCCTCTAACAGAAATTACTACCAGGAATATTTTTGGGGGTAAAGGGTGGCCAGCACTTAAGGCTGATAACCTCACTGCCATCTGTGAGCCAATTGTCTAGAAAATGTGGGACCCTTGACATCTCACAACCCTATGGGGCCTCAAAGGCCTGTTACAACAACAGCTTTATCTTTTTTTACCATATATCATACATTAACAAAAGTCCACATGCTTATGCTTTGTTTTAAAAATAAATACCCAAAAACATTCTAAAGTTAGATTCTGAGTTTTGTTTTTAAAAAAAATCTTCTACAGTTTGCAGTGCTAACATGGCAGACGTGACAATCGCTTTCAAACTTACCTGGGTCAACCATTAATACATATATACCAATTTTTGTGAATTATACACATCACCTAGAATTACAATACTAAGATCAACAAGGCTATGATGCTTGGGAATGTGGCAAGGATAGAGTAGATAAAAAGTGGATACAGAACGTTGGTACAAAAGTCTCTTGGAAAATGTACACTGGTAAGACCAAAAAGAGATGAAAGCATAACATTACTATGTAACTTTGGAGACAGGTCACAGGATAGTGGATGAAATGGATCAGGAAACTTTATTAAAAGTGTAGGATTAATAAAAGGCTAATCCTAGGGGAAGCACAATAGATCATTGAAGGTCGCAGTGCAGGGGCCGATTTTTATGGCCCACCCCTTACATACATTACAAATGGATCAGGATCATTTTCAGTGGAAGGCTTTGGTATTAGCAGCGTTTAAATTTTGTGTTCTGCTATCATGGCATTAGTTTAGTAGTTCAGAATGTGAATATGTTAAGCACTGGATATATGACAAAGCATGTCACTACTTAAGATTTAATTCTTGCCAAGTTTGATGCCTCCTGGGAACAGAGATCATCTTCACAGCTGATCTTTGGGGGTTCCTAGCTACTGCTGGTAATCGAACCACGATTCCTCAGTCATCCAAACCTGTAGCCTGGTCTATCATGCTTAATATCTTTGAAGCTTATTTTCGTTACTTTTCAAGATCAGTTATTTTCGATGAAACTTTTTCCAAACATTTTCTTGTCATCACTTCAACAGATCTGTTGTTATAAATTATTTTACTATTTACCTGTTGGCAGTCCAAGAACGAAGTACTTATCAGGTCCAGGGTTGAAGTCATTAATTCTCTTGAGAACATATTTTGCTGACCATTCAGCTACCTTGTCTGCAGTATCCAAAATCAATAATTTCATTGTAGTACAGTAAGGGCTTCAAACCTAGAACACACAATAGGGAGTAGTAGTAGAAGAAGAAGAAGAAGAAGAAGAAGAAGGAGAAGGAGGAGGAGGAATAAAAAAATGTTTTAGTGTTCAGACAATATTCAAGAGTGACTGTACTCACCCTCGTTTTGATATAAATGTGTATAATCTATTACACAAGCCTAACACTGAATTGCAGTTCAAAGACCTGCCATCTTAGTTTATCTTTATTATACAGTTCGAATGTTATGCACAGTCCTCAGAAACACAGCATCGTTCAAGCAGTTCCGTCAAGATTATCAATCCTGACGTACTTTCTAACAAGAATCGTACTTGTGACATTTGAGGTTTTCACGGTCGTGACTATAAAGAATGCTGTCTTCTGGGATGTGGCGCTGTGTAGATCATGTGTGAACCGATGTTTCAGAGGAACATATCTCCTCCATCTTCAGGGTGGAGAGGAAGATGGAGGTGATACGTTCCTCTGAAATGCCAGTTCACACAAGATCTATATGGCGCCATATTCAAGAAGACGACATTCTTCAAGAATTCTATTTCTGTGTCTCCTGTAGTTTTAAGTCCACACAGTTAAACTTGAGACGACAAAAAGGGAAAGAGCAAGGACAGCTCAGTAAGTTACACACCTGGGGCCACAGCAACCTTTCCTTGGGATCATGTGGCCAAAGTGTGATTATTCACCTACATTTAAAGCAGCAGTAGGCAATGAATGCATGGAGCCTTACCTCCACTCTCACATTTCCACATGGTGTGTGGTGTTTAAGTACAGGAATAACGTTACAGCTCAATAAATCTATGCATGTAAAATATGTAGTTATGGCTGCAAAACATTACCTTCTGTAGTTCAATAATAATTAATAATTTTGATTAATATGCTGAACACTGCTACAGGCATAACAAATCCTGGGAAATACCGTGTACTAATTAAGTAGCTTATTATGTAACCATCCACATGCTAGGTCAGAGAATAAGTGTCCAACTTAAAGACCAAGGATGTGACAATGCACTGCCTGCTCAGGGCTAACACAATTCTGGTAGTGCCCATAACCAAAGATACATTCATGAAAAAAACTGTAACAGATGGACAGCCAGGATAGCTCATTCAGCACACTGAAGGGCTATGGGCTGGATGGCTGCAGTTAAATTCCCAGCAGGGGCAAGAGATTTCTCTTCTCCACAGCTTCCAGACTGGCTCTGGGGCCCACACAGCCTCCTATCCAATGGGTATCGGAGGTTCCTTCTTGGAGCAAAGTGGCTGTGGCGTGAAACTGACCACACACCTCCGTCTAGTGCCGAAGTCAAGAATGTTGAAGCTATACCTCCACTCCCCCATGCATCCTGATGGTATGGTGCTTAATTAATTACAGTGACAACTTACATTTTTTACTTTACTGTAACAGATGTATCACATCAAAGGAAATTTCTTTCATGAGGACAGCACAGAGCAGTTGCTGACACCACAGGTAAGTCCTCCTTAAGAGACTTATGGTTTCTCCGTTAGTCAAACAACAAAATGGGGTGGGGGGGGGACAAAATGAATTTAAGAGAATTTTGGTGTGAAAACTCTTGACAAGCACCCACTTTGAAAACAGAGGAGTTGTGAGGATAATACTGAATTAGATCTTAAGGAAAGTGATACAGGAAGGGTGAACTGGATTGAACTACATTGATTATGGATAAAAGTGGCCTCTGATATTACTGGTACTGTATTTTTCTGATCTATTACCACGACATTTACTTATTTCCTGCTGGATTAGTGGGTGTCCTTCATAATTTATTATTCTGTCATCCATCATTAAACTCACAGCATAATTAAATAAATATTCATAAAAGGAAGCCTTACTTTCCACCACCCAACCAAAGAATAATTACCAGTGTGTCATGCATACTGGAACCAAAGAACTGAGTATCATAAGCACATAATGCAGATAATTACAAGGTTCATTCAGCAAGGAAGAAATAAATGCTGATTTAATTGAATTTTTACGTTCTCATGCTGGTGACTATGAAGATCATTGTATTTGGGGTTGACTTCTTGGCTCTTCTGAAGATGGAGGCTGCGGGTTCCGCCGAAACGATGGTAATATTCTACCTAGCTACACGGAGTCACATCCCAGACGACAGTAGTTTTCACTAAATTAACATGGTTCACGTATGTCGTGAAGGTCAGCACTGTGCACTATTTAATATAATAAATTCCTTGAAGAAGGCATTAATTATAGTGCTGGATAATGTCGCTTAAGTTACCTTCAAGGGATCTTTGGACACTTCTTTAAGGGTGAAAATACAAACGATGTACCTACCTAACCGCTGGAATTGACACAGAGGGCCCACGGTCAAACTGACTGACTTTTTGTTGCTTCGTTACCATACAAACTAACACATTTCAAACAAATCTGGTAACTATGGCAGAAAATGCTTACTTGGCTTACTTCAAGTCACTGACCTCACTCACGCCTCTCACTCCCGGTGCTCCCAGTCCGCCCGGTAACTGCTTATATTCGGCATAGCGGCGTGTTGATAGCATCCATAGCATACTCTTCCTTTTTGTAATCAACAACGACCTTAAATTTTTATGTAATAGATGTCACTGCAACCTATGTTGCTTGTGCTTCCCTCAAGTGCAAATCTGTTAAACTTCAATCCATGAGCGGGAACTTCAAAGACATCAGACGAAATGAGTGCATTTAAGAGAAAATAAAGAGTATTTGATGAACAGGTGTAGAAAGTAACTTTCAATAAATGCGGTGTTAATAGTACAAAAACCATTTTGAATCCTTCTTGAGACGTCAACAGTCACTTAGCTACTTAAAGAATTCCCCAATATTTTTTTTCCAGCCTGAATACTCATACAGTGCTCACAGGAATCCAGGCTATACCATCCCATCATATTTTTGTAAGACCCAGTTTAATAGTATTCTTACACCTACAATGACTTTACCATTTCTCTTCTCTCCCATGTGCGCTGATTGCTCTTCACAACTCAACTTCTTTTGCTGTATCATGCTAATCACGTTTGGCAAATGGTACAAGTTATGAAGCCCCTCATTAAGCTCTTCTCTACGTCTTCTTATTATATATTTCTTGGGCTCAAATATTCTTCTCAGCACCCTGTTCACAAACACCCTCGGTCTGCTTTCTTCCCTTAATGTCAGAGAACATGTTTCATATCAATTCATAATAATTATTTTATTTATTAATTTTTTACATAGCAGATGAGAAGACAAAAGATTCTGAACTGAATGGTTGCAAGCATGACCCATATTCAATCTTCTTTTAACTTCCTCCTCAATCAGATTTTGATTTGTTACTCTCATTCCCAAATATCTGGACTTCCCCACATGTTCAAAGGGCCAATTCGCCATCTTCATGTTATAACTTTATCCTGCTTTCTAGTTATGTGACATCAACATATATCAACATATACATTTCCCTTTGTTTACCTTTAGACCAACCTCCAAAGCAGCATCAATTTGTCCTGATGGCATTAATGTTATGGCTCAACAGATTTATACTATCAGGATAGACTTGAAGCTGGTGTATTCCACTCAATTTCCGTTCTTCTTGGTTTCCTTGGACCTTTATAATGACTTCTTCTGAAGAGAAATTGAGAAAATTGGTGAAAAAGCATCTCCATGTTTTAGGCCATTTTGATTGGGATATGTACTAACCAAATATTTACCCTTATAGGCAAAGTTGTCACTGTACTTATCTAACTAAGCACTATGTCATGAAGGTGAATGGGGGAGTGGATGTATAGATCCACATTTTCTTGACTTTGGCACTTGATGGAGGTGAATTGTCAGCTTCACAGCCCTGCTGCTTTACCACCAGAGAAAGAGCCCCTGGCACCCATTGGATAGCAGCCTGGGTGGGCCCCAGAGCCGGTCTGGATGATGTGGAGAAGAGAAAATTCTTGCCCCTACAGGGACTCCGACCCCTCAGTTCTCCAGCCATGTAGCCAGTTGCTATACCGACTATATTATCCCGGCTCCTAAATATTTACAACATCCTATCACTAGAAAACTTCACAATTTTAACTCCTGATATGATTTCTGTATGCACAAAACCTATATCTAATTCATGATTGTCATTCACTTTTCCCTAGAAAAATTCATATTCACCTACCGGCTTGGCGCCACTTCTGTCCCATCTGACTTCCTGTACTCCCACTAAATCTAACTTATACCTCGTATATTGATATTTCTGCTGCAAGAACTGTCAATGATCCTGCCCTACAGAGATTCCCTGCAATCAGCATGATAACTATCATATTTATTTTCTTTCGTTTAGGTTGAAGAAAATTATGAGATTTCAAAAGCGCAGACCTAGATGGGATTTGGAGAAGTTATATGCTCAAAGACAAAGCTTGCAGGAGACCCTAGAAGAGAAACTCGGTGCAAATGAAGGTGAAAGCGGAAATGCTGAAGTGTAGTGGAACAGTAT